GTAAAAGTTGCAATCACCAAAAAGACTCACGAACTCAAATTACTTATGGTGGTTCTATAATAATCTGAAATCACGAACATCTTATGAACAAGTCACCGCCTTTAAAATAGTTATTTGGTCTATAGTAAACAATCTAATATTGCAACATACTTTTTGAAATGTAAGAGTGAATAAATTTTGAGACATACCTATCTATATGACGAATATCCATACAAAATCAAACACATATATTAATAGGCCCCGGCACAATATGCAAATATACATATATATTTTTTTAATTACACTACAAATGTTTGACCTATGCCGTAATATAGTGGAGCAGACGAGTGCAGATGAGTCAGGGGTCGCGGCAACACTCACGCGCGCGCACTCACGAGCCGCGCGACGCCGTCCAAGCCATAAGCGATAGCGGTTTTACAAATGTACTGAAATATTACGCACTTCAAAAGTTTACGTAACAGGCATTATTTTGAGAAACTGTATGTTTTCTTAATTTATGGTAATTTTTTTTATTAGCAAAGAAGATTGGTATTTATATATTACAATAGTAAAAATCGTACAAAAGTTCAGAACTGTACTGTATTATAGACTTTTTTGATGAGTATATTTAAAATAATATGATGAAGCATGAAATAAATTCGCCTGATTGTGGTTTTAGTACTTATGTTCGACTTTAATTCATATATGTAATAAATTACTTAATTGTTTGTGATTATCATCATGTTTTATAAGCTTGATGAGATATTCTGGTTTATTTCATTTTACTAGTTTGGAATTTATTGGAACGACATTAATCCCAAAAATTGGGAAATATCGCAAAACCTACATTATTATATGGTCCACTTCCAAATGCTACGTTCGCCCGTTGAATCTCGCTAGCGCTGCTGCCCTACGTTCCTCCAGCCAAAGCTTGATAAACACAGCAGATATTTGCACCCAACATTCAATTACGATTATTGTTGCCATCACGGCCCTCTAATTGAGATTTATAATCATAACCATATAAGTGATAAGTATCTAGTTCGTTAATTGCAAACTACAACGCTTTTGACATTCTGCACAGTTCATGTGTGACCGCACGATTATTCTATAAATTAGTTAGTGAAGTTTGCGATCTAAGATCGGTTCGCCAGCCACCCCAATGGGTCAAACTCAGGGTCAACAAACTTAACTTTAATTAGTAGTAAGCCAATTTGGTAATAACCTTTTCAACGTTTCAGTAATTAATGTTTGTTCTTTTTTTTATAATTTCAATTGGAGATACTTGTAAGAAATTCTTGTTATTAATTACAAGTGTCATTACATCGATTAATATCTTTTTCTATGATTTTCTATGTTTTCCTAAGTAACAATAGGTATTTGAATAAATAATTAAAAAAAAAGACAACACACACCAATTAGCATAGTCCCAAAGTAAGCACTGTAAGGCTTGTGTTATGGGATACTAGGGTAACGGATAGAATAAATATACTGTACATATATAAGTATTTTTATAAAGAAATACTTATTAAACATCCACGATTGGAGTTCAAATGCTCGTATTCATCACACAAACATCTGCCTACACCGGGATTCGAATCCGGGATCTCTCGAGTCGACGACACCATGAAACCCGGCGTACAAACCACTCGGCCACGGAGATCGTCTTAAATAAAACTTTTTTATAAAGCATAAATACCTAACCTAATTAAATTTTCGGTAGCATTATAGTTATCTTAAAATTATTGTCATTAAATGATAAGTTATAGTGATATGATAAATATTGTAGAACATTATCATTCATAATCAAACTGATAAAATATTTAATCCAACGTAGGTATCCTTTTAAATTAACGCTGAGGTGACGCTACCCACTGTCCTTATTTTTTTTATAATATTAGGTACATAAGTCAAAAACGTTTCTTATTATTAGTATATACAATAGTATCTACTAATATAAGTGGTCACAACATTATTCGATGTAGTAATAGACCACGCGGTTAGGTGAACTGAGGATAGTAAGATTTGTAGCGGTACTTTAGGTACACCTCTAAGGTGTACCAAGGGTCGGTACAAGTCGACTTAGTCCACCCAGGTTGAACTTGTTGGGTGGACGACGGGTAAGCAAAGGCAAGTTCTTTTCTTGAGCTTTTTTCAAGGTACGCAAGTATAATTATGACTAGTAGTGTACATGACTCATCAAAATAGAAAACGCTTACACACCACCATACCATAACACGTTTACTATATTGGTATCGAATTAGTATTTATTATTCTCAACCTATATTCGGACGTTGATATTATCAACAAAATATGCTGCAACTTTAACATAATTGAGATATATAAATTCGAAGCCATATTTTAGCGAATAAATAATTTATTATAATACCGTCTTTTTTTGAGTAACTTATATTTTTTATTATAATTTTATCAATATTATTGTTTAATAAACTATAATTACGTCACAACAATATCAAAAAATAATTGTAAAATAATAATCAATACCGTCTAGTCTTTTATAAAAATAGTCCAACCCGTTTCAAGTACATGAGATTACTAGCGGACGCCCGCGAGTCCCTCAGGAACCTAACATTTTTTCTTGGTAAAAATTATCCTTTGTCTCAATTCAGGTAATAAACTATATTTGTGCCAAATTATATCCAAATTTATTTAGACGTTTTCCGATTTATCAAGCACCACAGTAAAATTTACTACCCTTCTCACCCTGTTAGGAGCAGAATTTCAAAGAACCCTGATACATATTATTCTTTTTTTCAGGTCTTAAGTATAAATACTGAGTTTGCAGATAATAGAAAAGCGCGATAGATTTATAAGCTCTAATATCGAGTATAGAGGTTTTGGTTTTGGTGGCCGCTACCATCAAGCTGACCATTTGCTTGCTTGCCTCATTACATAAATTAAACATAGTGTCAATAATCCTTACGGATATTTAGCTTTACCTACTACTGTTGGCACTCTTAGGGTCCCAGGACCTCACCCATAGGGGATAATCTCGCATCGCAAGCATTTCAAAAAGATTTTCCTGACCGCTTACCATCATGCCAACCGTATACTTCTTTGCCATAGACTTTACATTAAAAAAACATGTCTCTAGTCGACACCGAAATGCACGAATACTTATCTGTATCGGCTACTCCGTACTGAACTGTACGGATACTTTATCTTTAGTTATCTACTAGCTGTGGCCCGCGGTGAAAATAAATTGTGTATTAACAGTAAGCCTATGTGTGAATCCTCGATGTCAGCTAACCCCATACCAATTTTGACTAAAATTGCTCCAGCCGTTTAGATGTGAAGAAGTTACAAACATACACACTCACATACTCAGAAACTTTCGCCTTTATAATATTAGTGTGATAAACATCCTGTTTCTTTAAGGCAGCGCCTTTAGATGGGGAATTGAATCTTTACTTACACTCGTGTGTTGTTACAGGCAATCGGTCATGTGTCTGGTGGGCACATCAACCCTGCAGTCACCTGCGGACTGTTCGTCTCTGGCGACATCAAACTGCTCAAGGCCATCTTCTACATCGTGGTGCAGTCTCTCGGTGCCGTAGCAGGCGCAGCCTTCGTCAGGGTGAGCAGAACCTTCTATACAATGAATATTAAAACAAAGTAAATTTGCACTAAAGAAATAAAAGGCCTTTATACACCTGCGATTATGGTAGGTTCAATTCTCACCTGCTGAGGATCCGAATTTTCCGGTGCCAATAATTACCAACTTTATGTTAATAAGATAGCTGAACAAATTACTGTTTTGTTAGTCATTAATTGCAAGTTTATTTCCTAAAATATTTATGTTTAAATCTGCAAGAATCCTTATCTGCCGCCCTATTCGCTAACTTTTTTTGACATTTACAGTGTGCAACTAAAGTGAAATTGCATATCTATCGATACTTCTCAGGACCAGTGTCTTAGTAGCGTTATAATAAAGCAGTAATGGATCACTAAATAGCTCGGTGATTATCACTTCCATCTGTCAAAAACATAGAGCAATTAGCGATTAAGCCTACTGGTCCCTGCAGTCTCTGAGCAGTGGCCTAGTGTGTAATGTATCTTAGCGGTTTTAGTTTAGTCTGACCTCAATTATAATAGTTTAGTCATCGCTCTTCCTTAAATATAATACATTGATGTAATTTCAAAGCATGCTATAATCGTTCTGCAACGACATTCTAAACACCTTATACGAGTGCATGTGTGGTGACACTGGTTCTTGAACTGTCTCGTTTGCCCTGACACTGATGGTGTATAAAGAACTGGTGCATAGACCTTGGCGTCAGATCATACAGCGCCATTAACGCAATGCTCTCTGAAATTATTCAATCCATCCATCTTCTTGCTTTTATCTGAGTCGATTCATGATTAGCACAAAACAGCTGCAGTCATTTAACTGAATTATCTAACCGATTTACATTATTTTGAGATTTATAATATAATTGATATAATAGAGCAACATTAATTGCCTGAATCAGAAGGATTCAATTTCGAAAACAATCTGGTTGCAAACTTGCAAAGCTCGTACAAATTCTTATCTGTTTAATGATATTATGTTTCAGCATAACAGATAAATATATTATATCGTTTTAAACTTGATTGTTTACTAACATTATAGTAATATAAGTTATTTACGGAATTGTTACGCGAAATAATCAAAAAAGTGTCGTGTCGCGTTCCGATACTGTAAGTGTTGTGTGTCGAGAACAGTTTCAAGTGAATAGTGAGAATGTGAACGGGTACGGGTATCGAACGCAATAAAAGACTTCTTCGGAGGGTAGACCGATATGTCTGCCAATAACAGCCTACCCGCAATTACTTCAGTTACTCCGCGACCATGGCACTTGCAACAGTGCCGAAATATCAGAAACTCGCTAAAACAAGGTACATGGTAACAATCCCGTAAATAACTTATATTAGGATAAATACAGCATCAATACGTAAATTAATTTATATAGGCTAGCTACCCTTTGTTTAGTTTGTAAGAGCACACGGAGCATCCTCAAATGCTCAGCCAAACGGTTCAATTTAAACCGGCTACATCTCAAATGTGTAATATCACTCGCCTCTCATATCTACAACTCATTAAACGCCTGCCACCACAGAACAGCCAAGTGATCTCTCTGTTCTGTGCCTACTATTACGCAGGTAAGAGTAAGTAAGAGTGTGAGAAGAAAGTAAGGAAACAGGATGCATAATAGAAATGATAACGGATATTAATTAAATCCGGTTGAATTATATATTTTACAAGAATATGAACGCTGCCCAAGGAGTTTTGCCGGCAAGATGTAGTTATTACTTCAGTTCTCTAATTTGTTGTCTTATTTTTTCTATATTAAATTAATAGTGATAGTTTGTCAGTTCGTCTTTTATGATAATTTAGCAGCTAGAGAAAAGTTATCTTCATACTTCCGGTGCGGCGGATATCAGAAGCGAAAGAAAATTGTGAAAGCTTCATTCGAGAGACGACTCTATATACGTTTGTCCCATTCGTAAATCGGATGCTGTTAGAAAACCATCGTCCCTAAGTTTTCCTTTCACTTTCCATACGTTCAACTTTCCATGATAAACTTAATGGGGGACTTCCCCAAACAATACTCGACAACAACCTGGCGTGTTTTCATAAAGCATCCCATGGAACATTTCCCACGGCTATTGTCGATCATGCAACGCTATGATCCATTCTTCTCGGCATCATTGTGAGGTATAGTTGCCTGATAAGTATCTAGTGATATGCGTGAGTAAGTATCAAAGGACCATACCATCTATTAAGTTCAAAGTTCGCACTAAACTATTGTAATGTTCAATACTTAATGTGATGCAGTAAAATCTCCGTTTGTAAGAAGGGAAAGGAACTTAGAATATGATTGTTGACTGTATGTGGTTGTATGGTTTTTTATTTATCTCGTCTATCCATCTTTTGGCGTACTTGTAGCTCATGAACTGTAATAGGATGGTATCGTTATTTTCCATTAAGAGCCGCCATACACGGACAGCTTCAAGCATTCGAAATGGACTGGTTAAAGCTGTCAATAGTGAGTCATAGTGAATCTTCAAGCTGTTGCCACTGACTGCTTGCACGAGTCCATGTATGTTTATCACTGGCTTACTGCTCGAGCTGTCCGTCTATGGCCGATCTAACTTTTCTAGGTTCTAGATTATTTCCTCGCCACATAAATGCAGTAAGCACACTTAAACTTTAATAAATAATTTAGATACATTTAAAGATATATTTTATTTATCACACACATCATACAGATAGGTTTAATTATAATTGGTTTTATATTTATATGTAACAGAAAGTGTGTGACCTGGAGCCTAAACTAGGGCGACCCTGTATTTCAGGACTACAACAATTTTATTATTGTTGCAGTTGGCTGTTCCGGAAGCAGCACTAGAACACGGATTCGGTTTGACTTTGCCAGGCACAGGAGTTAACGAAGCTCAGGTAAGTTCTCAATCATTTCAATAAACAAAAAAAACCAGATTTTTTGTTTTGTAGACTGTTTGTCTTTGATGACACTGCAGTAGCTGCAGATGAGCGGCATATCTTGAATGGTCTGAATTTAGATGTAAAGCAAAGCACTTCCATTCGTACAAAAAGCCTATGAGTAGCTGAACGGTCAACCTCAGATTGATAAAGATATTATGTACCCACCGCCACTGTGTTGAAATCTTATATGGTCAGTTTATGTAATTATAAAATGTTTGTTGTCAGGCGTTGCTCATCGAAGCCTTGATCACATTCCTGTTAGTGCTGGTGGTGCAGGGCGTGTGCGACGGGCGCCGCAGCGACATCAAGGGCTCCGCGCCCCTCGCTATAGGGCTCACCATCACCGCCTGCCACGCCGCCTGCGTGAGTATGCCCTACAGATCGAAGCCCTGATCACGTTCCTACTAATGCTGGTGGTGCAGAATGTGTGCGCCTGGCGCTGTAGCGACATCAAGGGCTCTACTCCCCTCGCTATAGGACTCATCATCACCACCTGCTGCGCCGCTTGCGTGAGTATGCCCTGCTGATCACGTTACTGCTAGTGCTGCTGGTGCAGGGTGTGTGCTCCTGGCGTTGCAGAAACATCAAGGGCTCTGCTCCCCTCGCTATAGGACTCATCATCACCGCCTGCCACGCCGCCTGCGTGATTATTCCCTGCAGATCAAGGTCCTGATCACGTTCCTGCTAGTGCTGATGGTGCAGGGTGTGTGCCCCCGGCGCTGCAGCGACATCAAGGGCTCCGCTCCCCTCGCTATAGGGCTCACCATCACCGCCTGCCATGCCGCCTGCGTGAGTATGCCCTGCAGATCGAGGCCCTGATCACGTTCCTACTAATGCTGGTGGTGCAGGATGTGTGCGCCTGGCGCTGCAGCGACATCAAGGGCTCTACTCCCCTCGCTATAGGACTCACCATCACCACCTGCAGAGCCGCCTGCGTGAGTATGCCCTGCAGATCGAGGCCCTGATCACGTTCCTACTAGTGCTGGTGGTGAAGGATGTGTGCACCTGGAGCTGCAGCGACATCAAGGGCTCTACTCCCCTCGCTATAGGACTCACCATCACCACCTGCCGCGCCGCCTGCGTGAGTACGCCTTGCAGATCGTGGCCCTGATCACGTTCCTGCTAGTGCTGGTGGTGCAGGGTGTGTGCACCTGGAGCTGCAGCGACCTCTGGGCTCTGCTCTCCTCGCTGTAGGACTCATCATCACCACCTGCCGCGCCGACTGCATGAATATGCCCTGCAGATCGAGGCCTTGATCACGTTCTTGCTAGTGCTTGTGGTGCAGAGTGTGTGCGCCTGGTGCTGCAGTGACATCAAGGGCTCTGCTCCCCTCGCTATAAGACTCATCATCACCACCTGCCGCGCCGCCTGCGTGAGTATGCCCTGCTGATCGAGGCCCTGATCACGTTCTTGCTAGTGCTGGTGGTGCAGGGTGTGTGCCCCCGGCGCTGCAGCGACATCAAGGGCTCTGCTCCCCTCGTTATAGGACTCATCATCACCAACTGCCGCGCCGCCTGCGTGAGTATGCCCTGCAGATCAAGGCCCTGATCAAGTTACTGCTAGTGCTGGTGATCCAGGGCGTGTGTGACGGGCGTGGCAACGACAACAAGGGCTCCGGGCTCCTCACTATAGGGCTCACCATCACCACCTGTGTGAGTTTGCCAGTTGCCTACTAACCCGCATCTCTCGCCATCGGCCTCAACATCACCGCCAGCCACGTCGCCTGTGTAAGTATACCAGTTGCCTACTTACCCTACTCATTCTCCGTTTGTAATATTTTATATATAAAACATAAATAACTATTGTTTTAAAATTTCATAGCTATATCTTGTTTTAAACTCTCTCATGGTCATTAACATTACTTGTAATTTATAATATGGGATAGCTAATGATGGTCCTCTGCAAAGCAAACGTAGATAACTCCGTTGGTCTAGACCGAAAGCAGTGCCTAGGTATTTTTAATAACCAATTTGTAGGAAACAGAGACCGTGTGATCCGTTTGTAATCTTTTATAAACAAAACATTAAGAGCTTGAGCTAATTTCCTATAGTAGGAGGTTGGTTATACGCTACAATCCTCCTCTTCGCCTTGTCAATTCTTCATACATACTTACCTTCCAATTTTCATAGATTTTCAAAAGATCACATTTGTTAGGTGATGGTCTTTTGCAAAGTAACGTAGATACAGTGTCGTCTTTGACCTATTGAAGGCCCTGGGCATATTAGGATAACGGGGCCCCTATGTCTTCCGTTTAGTGATTTAACAGGAACTAGGGACTTTGTATTTGATCTGAGGGGGCCCCCTATCGATCGCGGGGCCCACTGGGAAAGACGGGTCTGCGTAGATAATAATTACGTCGATCCAGACCGAAAGCAGTGCCTCTTTTAAATTACCTGTTAGTAAGAAAGAGAGATCGTGTGGGATTGACGAATTATTTTGTATCCATTCTTTTATAATCCGAGCGGCTTTAGTTTCCATCACTTCCTTGGGATCAGCAATATCAATCCACAACAATTAATTAATATTCACTAAAATTAATTTGTTTGCAGATTCCTTTCTCAGGATCGAGTATGAACCCGGCTAGATCTTTCGGGCCCGCTCTAGTTATTGGTGACTGGACATCACACTGGGTATGTATTTTATAACTATTACTTCACGTATGTACCGTAGTTATATGTATTTTTTAACATCAACTTGCTGCTATCTTTTTTATACTTGTCATCATTAGCCTATTAATGTCCCCACTGCTGGGGCACAGGCCTTTCCTATGGATGGAATAGGGAGATTGGGGCCATGACCCCATAACGCGGGCCCAGTGCGGATTGGCGGGTGCTAACGACTACAGATGCAGCCGGGACCAACGGCTAAGCGTGCCTTTCGAAGCACGGAGGAGCTCGAGATAGAAGATTTTTGGTCACCCATCCAATGACCGACCACTGTGAAAGTCGCTTAACTTCAACGATCGCAGCCGAACGTGCTAACCATTCACACCATCGAGCTCCTCCATTTTTATTATACTTACAGTATCTTTAACAAGGTGCGCCAAGTTCTGCACAATTTTATTTTGGTATATAAATTGTTTGTTTGGAAAATATATTTATTAAAAAGAAAATTACTGTTTAAACTTTACATTACACGATGTATCGTAATCACTAAAATAACTACTATGCTTGTGAGCTCGCAACACATTTTCTACTCGAAGCTCCGAAGTTATTTATTTAATAAGCACTCACTTCCTATCCACATAGCTACTTCAATTTATCTTCGGGGACTTATCAAGGTATTCAGTCTGCTATACTTTGATATCTAAGCTAAGCTATCTCGACTTCGCTTTCACACACGTTAATAATGTAGATATCCTGTTGGCGAATGCATCATCTGGTACCTACGTGTGGTTTAGAGAGTCACATATTGTTGATACCTGAGATACTTTCGCGAAAGTATACTCATTCATCTTTTGAGAATTATCTATTAATTATAAAAAAGGAATTGAAATAAACTACCGGACCTATAGTTTTTATGAATTAAAAACAAAGGGAGTTCAGAATTATTTTAGAATTTCAAGTCAAGTCGTCCGATATTCTTTAGAAATATAACCACCCATATATTAATTATCTCGAGCCTCCGTGCTTCAGAAAACATGTTAATATTGCACGTTAGTCGTTATCATGACTGTCCCCGTAGCATGAGCACCACACTTTACATTATATCACTTTTTTATCGCGTCTTACCGTCAAAATCTATAGTAATTTGACAATCGAGCGTGATAAAAACGCGTTATATAGGGGTATAGGGTTCTGCTGCAGTTGCAGCCGGAACCAACGACTACCGCATCTATCTGGCTCTCACTAAATTTTTTAATCTGCTTTAATAACACATTTCTTATTTTTCATCTGAAAAATTAACGGCCACATACATATATACCATAGACGCAATACCAGTGTATCGTGCCTTGCCTTTCCTAATTTATTCTCCTATTACGTGGAGCCCTGGAATTTACGTAACCGTGAAATAAGTTGGTCTCTCTCTCATTTAAGATACAACGACCTCCGTGGTCGAGTGGTTTGTACGCCGGGTTTCATGGTGTCGCCGACTCGAGAGGTCCCGGGTTCGAATCCCGGTGGGGGCAGATGTTTGTGTGATGAATACGAGCATTTGTACTCCAGTCATGGATGTTGAATATGTATTTCTATATAAATATACTTATATATGTACTGTATATGTATTCTATCCGTTACCCTAGCATCCCATAACACAAGCCTTACAGTGCTTACTTTGGGGCTAGGCTAATTGGTGTGAGTGTCGGAAAAGATACAAATTTAATAAAACTATATATACAATTAATATTTAATCTAGCCATAAAGCATTACAGTAATCATAATCTTCAAAATGTAAGAACCTCTTACAGAGCAAAGAAAGTACCTAAGTAATGGCTTGGTTCATAAGTCTATTGTTTGTTGCTTTCCCAAGTCGTCATAAGACATTTCTGTAACATCCGTTTTACCAAACGGCCACATTGTGATTTGCAAATTCAATATAACATAATGAACTTTTTATAAATATTCATTACTTAGATTTATGTGCACTACCCACTACTTAGCGATCATAAGATACGCGTGCTTTCTTAGAAGCCTTGCAAACACAATGCGACTATGAAATTGAGTTATAACTCGAAAGCTCTCTCAATGCATTAATAAATTGTCTCGGATACTTACACCTCACGATTTCCAACTTCGATGGGTTAATATTTTGTTAAAAATCCTGTTATTAATAACTTTATTACCTATCTTCCTTCTTAAAGTTTTGTGTAACTCAGTTAAAATGGAGATAAAAATAGCGGAGCTGTATAAGAGACCATGGCCCGTTCCATGTATTGGAGTGACCATGGCCCGTTCTTCATATCCCCCAGTTGTGAGGGTATTAATAAGCTGATGATGATGTTATTTAAAAGGGAGCTCGATGACGCAAATGGTCCTAGCGTTCGGTCTGTGGAGGTTAGGCAACTTTCGCAATAGCCGGTCATCGAAATTGTGACGAAAAATTTATTATCTCGGGCTCCTCCGTTGGTTAAAGCACGTTAGCTTTCCGAAGCATGATTCGAGCCGATGGTTCTGACTGCATCTGCAGTCGTAGGGCACCCACCAATCCGCACTGGGTCTGCGTGGTGGTTCACGGCACGGCCCCATTGCCCTGTACCATTCATGGGGAAGGCCTGTGCCTTGACATAAGACATAGGCTGATGATAGCACCATTAATCATGTTTTTCCTTGTTTCAGGTGTACTGGGTAGGCCCCATAGTGGGAGGTGTGATTGCCGGCCTACTCTACAGGTTTGTGTTCCGTATCGGCAAGAGTGGTGACAGCGGCTCCTATGACTTCTAAACAAACGAACCTGACTCGCTCACCGGCCGAGCTTCCATTCATTCAATGTGCCTTCATTCTCTACGAGCTTAAGCGATTCGAGATGTTTATTTTATACTGGGGTAAAGTTATGTCTCTTTTAGTTTATTAGACAGCTCATTGATTTAAAAAAAGAAATGCGTTTTAGCAACTTTGTGGTGTTGTTTTTAAATGGTTGATGAGCTTGTCTTTCTTGTTAATTTGTTGTGTAGCACACGTTGAAAAGTAATGAAAAATGGTTTTGCTTCCAAAATAGCCTAATTATTGAAAATATTTATATAACGACCATAGCAATATACTGATATTATTTGGGGTGAATTTATATTTTAATAGAGTGTTATACTTTTGTATCTACTGGTTCTCAGGATTAACAATACCTTCTAGAATCACTGAAAAGTATGAAGATCTTTTTAAATTCACACCTATAAAGATAATTTAATTATTTAAGACTAGTTAAGGTTTACACAAAAGTACCTATGCCTAAGGTTATTTATATTATGTGAATAAAGTATTATAAGTATACACAGAGGATATATTCAACATACTGTTGTCGATATAAAGTGCCTGATGAGTTGTGATTGTGATGAAAGACTACGAGATTATAATCGTGTGACAGTTCATGTGAACGCACATAAAGGAAATTATTATTATTATTTAAAATAAATACCTATTAAGTAATACGACTGTGTTTTATTAAAAATCAAACTCCTTATTTACGCTTTGTTTTCTGTAAAGTACAATATTTAACTATGACATTTATGCCTCCATGCATTTATTATTATAGATTGGTAATGGAGTTGTCAAATCCGATTGCACTAAAGTGTATAAACATAAACAATAATAATAAGTGTTAAACATAGTTATTATATTTATTATCAATAATATATTATATTATTGATAATAAGATTTTTCGGTACAAATATATGACAGCAATGATTTCGAGTCACAAATGATCTTATTCATCACAAAAACGTTTGCCTCATTTTACTGATTCAAACCCATGACCAAATCGATGTAGGTACAAACCATACCACTCTACCATGCAAACATTCATAATAAAGCATCATTTTTCATTCTTCGCCAGTTTTAAACTTATTATTTTGTTGCGTAAGTTGAACAAGTTGTTGTTGCTATGCATAATAATATTATGCTGTTGTTTTCATTGTTCAATTTGCAAGTATAATTGTTTAATATTGTCGCAATCCAGGGCGCGGAGAGCATAACGTTAATAACTTGCATACTGTGTCACATAGCATCTTAATAACACTGGAGGTTTCAGTACGATCTGTCACAACAACACGCTAATTTAGATTGCATGTTATTGTCGAGTTTAATAATCAGTCAGTTAGAAAATGAATTATTTGATTTTCATTACCTACACGTTTTCGGCATTAGCATAGCTAAATAATTTATTAGTTACCTAGTGAGACAAAATTTAAAATCAACATTTTTGTTGGGCTGGGGCATATGAAAAATGGTCCATGACGGACCACAAGGAGGTGAGTGCTAACCATTACAGACGCAGCTGGGCCCACCTTGATGTGCCTTACAAAGCACGTAGGAACTCAGGATAATATTTCTTGGTCACCCATTGTGTGACCGCGATCGCAGAACGAACGGCTAACCACTGCGCAATTGAGATAAAAATAATGACGTTTACCTAATGTATAACGTAGTAGTAATATAAGGGCCGCTTACATATCCCTCTCTCTCTCTCATTCTCTCCCATTCTGCTGGCCTATTCGGTAACTTTTTGACATTTACAGTGTGCAACTAAAAAAAAATTGCATATCATTCGATGATTTTCAGAACAAATATCTTAGTGGTGTTATAATAAAGCAGTAATGGATCACTAAATAGCTCGGTGATTATCAATATATCAATTCTATGTGTCAAAAGCAGTTAGTGCATAGGCTTACAGCTCAGAGTACTGCATGAAAGTCCAATATGTTCCATCTGCAATTATATAACCTTATTAAAGCCTATCAAAAGGTAGTAACCATAGGCGTAGTTAGGAGTGAGCAAGCAAACCCAACATAGAAACCTCTATACCTACCCTAATATTGAAGGACAACTTTGCAGTTTAAAAATTAGTTATTTAATTAATTATTTACCCTACGAAAGTAGGGTTCCGTAGTTGCCTGTAGTTACCACAATACATTTGAGCAGGAGTCTTTATTTTCTATATCGGAAATAAGAAAAACCAACAAATATCAATCTATGTATCTCAATCCTGAGATATCTTGTATCGATTTGTATGTAACATTTTGCTTCTGTTATCCCAACGGATTATGGTGAGGAATAAATGATTTATTATTATTATTAACTAAAATACCTAAGTGTCGCCGCACACGGGCTACCGACTACAACCACAAAACGCCGCCACCGGGATATTTCTTGTAGTTTTCATACATTTTATATGGACTCGCCACACACGGTATGCCGGTGGCCGCCACATGCTACAAATCATCGTTGCTGGCTTATTGTGGCCCGCACCGGCCACTTAATACGCCGATACAAAATGCCGCCACACGCCACTCGAGCGATTCCCCACCCCTCTCTCCCTTATCTTAGTTAACCTGCAGCAGCCACCGTCGCCAAGTGTCGACCACCGGCCACAAGTAGCTGGCGCGCTCTTCAGCCACTTTAGTAGCCGCTTTTAGCTTCTCGTGGCGGCGTTTGTAGCTGTGGCGTGTGGCCCGTGTACAGCGACACTAAATCAAAATCAAACTGCGTCTCAAACTGAAAATCAATTCGATATTAATATTTTTTTTAATACGAATGATAACCGCCGATTTCTTTTTTTGTTTCCTCCCAGGCGGGCGAGCGTGTGTGAAATCCTCATGGATACTCTAAAGCCGGCTGCAAGGTTATATCAGACTTACTGAAAAAAAAGCTTAATCGAAAGTTGAAGCGATCATCACCTGAGAAGGGGATGATGCGATATAACCGCCGAGCTTTTCAAGTGCTTCTATACTTTTTATAAAAACGGCTTCGTTTTTAAAACCGGGGACGGACAGATGGTCCTGGTTCGAACATGACGAAACTATAAGGAACCCTTATAGTTTCGTCATGTTCGGGCCAGGACTACGGAACCCTAAACAGGGTGTTAACTTTACGGCAATTTCATAGTAAAGACCTATTATAAACGGTCTGCTGCGAGCCGCTCGTGTATATGAAAGGTTAAGCAATGGCTATCACTAGACACAAATTGTTACCAACATCCATTTGGGGCATAATTGAAGTGTGATGTTTTTCACCAAAAATTACCACTACGTCTTAAGCTCGGCTAACTATTAGCTCAAAGGAAGTGCTTCCCCTTCCGCCAAATCAGCTACATCAACACCTTAACATTTATTGATAGCAATCAAGCTATGTCATTGTTTACTTTTCCATTATGAAGTTTAACATTGACACGTTATGAAAAGGCACGATCCACGTACCCTTACGGGGAGTTGCGCAAGTGTCGTGACTCCCGCGGTAATCGCGAGCGACATATCAACGGCGCCTGCGCAATTCTAGCGGATCACACATTATAAAAATGTGTGCTCTCTTGTACTTTCAAGGGCAAGCAATCAACGAGCATCGTTCTATGAATGCAACGACCTAATTCTTACGAGCATTCTTTAAGATTGACACAAAGCGATTAATTACAATTCGTAGAGTTAGTTACCTATTAATTTTCCACCTTTTATAAGCTTTTTATAATGCAGGGGCAGAGGCATGGCACAGGCCTTCCCTATGGATGGAATAGACTGGGTCATGATCCACTGCAGATGCAGCCGGGACCAACGCCTTAATTGTGCATTCCAAACCACGGAGGAGTGCGATATAATAAGTTTTTGGCCACCCATCTAACGACCTATCAATTTTACGATCGCAGGCCGAATGCGCTAACCACCTGCACCATCGAGCTGCTAAAAATAACCAAATACGAATTGAGTACTATTTGCAATTGTGGAGGTCTATTGCTTTTTCCTAAAGTACTTATCAGATCTATAATAAAATTAATATGGGATCATCTCGCCAAACTGATTCAATCACAAAAAGAATCATCAAATCAGTCTGCAATTAGCCTATTGCTTTGATAGTGTAAAAAATACTGAAATAATCTGTATTTATAAAATACTAGTAGCCCGCCCTCGCTTCGCTTCGGTGTAGAGCTGTAGTGTAGGAAGACTATAGTTTTTTTTTCTCAGGCTTTTATTATACACAATGAATTTCTTTACATAATTATAAACTTTCCATGAATATTGATTAGGACCCGTTTTACCGAATGCACCATTTCTTGGTCGAACGTGCAAATCTCAGGAACAAATGGTCCGATTTCAAAAAAACTTTGTGTTAGATAATGCATTTATTGAAGAAGGTTCAAGGCTATAACATCACGCTGCGACCAGTAGAAGTGGATGATCGATGTAAAATGTTGCAAAATTGGGTAAAAATATACCATTTGTAAGCTTCCGTTGCGAGAGCTGCGTAAATGATTAAAGTTCATACATAAAAATCATGTATGGCAGAATTGTTCTCCTTTAAAAGTTCTATAAAATAGTCTAAGACAGCATATGCCCATCTTTTAAGTTTGACTCACTATAACCTTTTTCCTCAAATTAACGAGGGTAAACCCGCAGGGGGACCTTTACTTGTGTCATAACTGTAATAGACATATAGTATCGCGGACGTTTTTGTAGTTATTGATGTCCTATTTATTACTTTAATACATCACTTTGCTCTGATGTCACAAAGCAATATAAGGTTATTAATGGGATTTTTTTTCACACCCTGGATTACGTTATCAAAGTTTTCATACGGAACTTTTTAAAAATACTTTATTGCCTATATTAGCAGGGATAATGTAGGATTCTAAACGTGAAAGTATTTTTCAAATCGGTCCAGCAGTTGAGCCTATTTTATACAAACAATCAAATCTTTCCTCTTTATAATATTGGTATAGAAATGCCAATTTTAAGATGAATGAAACAACACATAAAGCGAAAACTATTTATTAAATAAAACCAAAAAATGCGATTACAATACAAGCATCGAATACAAGAATACATGGAGCCAAACAGAGATAAATCATAGTTAACTATCGGATTAATTTTATCATTTTTGTTAGTGACATCTTTATTTGAGTGCATTATATTATACCGGAGGTCCTTGACCCCGACTAGTGAAAGGGATGCGTCGGTACGGTACGTCTCGTTCAAGCCTCGCTGACGTTAATTTGACAAATTGAACTATTTCAAAGTAAACCCAGCCGCTAATCCAGTCCTATTGTGTGTCATTCACGTGTTCAACATTACGAGCCGCCTTTGACTCTAGTTGCGATAAAATAGAACCAGATAGAAGCGGTATGCGGATCTACAGGTTTGTTTACATGTTCAACGAACTTATAAAAATAAACTTTTAACATAAAATGTATAAAACAAATTGCACAACCGGATTTTTACTAAAATTTTAATTACAAATCGTTTTTGAAATGTAGTCAACAAACACAGCACAAACAAAATTTACTTTTTAAGTTATTCGACCCTAAATGGCCAGTGTACGTCAGCGTAGCAATCCACAGATTTTTACTTAGATATATCGTCCCCTTACACGTAAATCATCATCAGTTGCTTGCTCACCACGAATTTACCTGTTTAAGTCGATTAAATATTTACTTGAAGAAAAAAGGGAAAATCAGCGGTTAACATTTAACTGTAAGGGGATGATATATGGGAACAAATATATGGTGTCTAGTGTAGTCAACAGGCCATGCATCCGTTGTAGCCGAGGCAGGTGGCGGTATAATGCCGGGCTCAGGGCAGCGCGTCCAGCGTCGCTTGCAGCATATCGTCAGGCGCAGGTATTTCTGCTAGGAAACCGGCTGCATCGCACAACTCAGCGAATGAAGCGCAAGGCAGCAGTTCGTCGGTGAGAGTAGACACTATGCGCTCGGCCGCTTTAGCGTTCGCCTCGTCGTTGTGGCGGATGTGCTCGGCTAGTTTTACGGGCCATTGCTCTACGGTTGTTGCGGCTACGTTCTGTGGATATTGGCAGAGATGTTATAAAGGTGGCTTATGGAAAATCGTATATACAAATGATGCAGTAATGTATTTGCATCAATGTGTACGTAATTAAGTAATTCAAATAGTGTAAGTGATTCAAATAATTTTAACAGAAAATTTTATTGGGATAAAAGGAAAAAAGGTCGTAGTATATCTGGTCTTCTAAATCTTCGGTATTCAATTCTTCGGTAGCTATTCAAAAGTTAATAAAAGTTTAGTCTTGCGACCACATCAAGAATAACGAGTAAAGTTAGTAAATCACAATTTATAACACTTAAAAACGTGTTTTATTAAATTGTTTGAGTGAGTCAATACATAATAAATCAATATTTTCCTAAGGTATCAGCATACTAAGAAGTCCTTTTTTTGTGACGCAGACAAAACCTCTATTTACAGACGACGGCGCCTTTGAGAGGCACTCCGCCGAACGGACCTCACACCTGGCTCCCGCAAGCCTTACGAGCCTCCGCAGTGGCTGCCCACTGAGGACCCCGTAACTCTTACGGGCGCTTTACGGCATAATATCCGCTAAAAACCCGCTGCTTAGTGCGATACCGCGGGATCCCCGTTAGGGATTCTTCCGCGTATACTATGAAGACCTGACTAGAAAACCTCATGATGAATAAATACCTTGAACATGACGGTGTAAAGCTGATCCAGTACGGCCACGAACAGCGCGTAGGGCTTATAGTCGGTCCAGGGGCGGGGTGTTCGTTGATCAGCGGTCAATGCCCTTAACGCCGGCCCTCCAGGACACACGGCCCGGCAGTGGCCTATGACTAGCATGCGGCGCAGCATCTCCACGCGGACAGACTGCCATCTGTATTGAGATAATATTATGTTAGTTACTTGGACAGAACGTGAGTAAATATCTTAAAATATCTTTCTCGTTTTTGATTGGCCGATACAACTTTAAGAGCAAGCGCACATCGAGCCACTAGTAGCAGCAACCGATCTTCACCGCTAGTGGCTTAGTGGTGGCCACTCGAACGCTTAGATTAATCATCATCAGCCTATTAATGTCCCCACTGCTGTGGCACAGGCCATCCCTATGGATGAAATAGTGCCGAAACTATACAAAATGTATGTAAAAAACTCGAACGTAACTTATAGACGCGTTTAGTGGCCGTCACTAGTAACTCAATGTGCTCTTGGTGTAAGTCATCAGCAAGAAGAGAGCAGCTGCTAATAATAAAAAAATTAAATAAAAAGGTGCTTTTATTGCAAGACATGGTCTCATATTAGTAACAATTTTCTTAATCTATGTTAGTATTTCATTACAATTTCAATTTCAATTATCATTAGATAAATAAATAGTTAAAATAAATAATTAAAAACAAAAATAATTTATTAATTCTACTGCACTCTCCCCTCGGCCTGGTCACCAAACATGTAGTTTGATGAACTGGCCGAGCATTCTACTTCCTAACATACTCAGGACTCTGTTACAACTTCCCCGCATCCGATGCAGCAGTGACGCGACTTTTCCCGCATTAAAGCATAAAAGTCGTCAGTGCTTGCGTCCGCAAACATCCCAGATGCACTACAGTAGCTTAGTACAATACAATGGACAGTACTTTGTGGTCAATCATGTCATATATTTTTTTGTTTCGTCGACAGTAGGGAAAGCTGTGTATGACTACTCCCGTTATGTCCGCGTCCGCGCTGCTCTATACTGAAATAACATAAAATTATAAATAAAATGAGGACATACTTGTCGTGCGGGTACAGTAACAGCGCCATAGTGGCGTAGTACAACGGTCCCTCGGCGTCGTGCGCAGACTCCAGTAGACGTGGCGGCGGCCACGCCAGCGACGTCTCCAGAGCCGATAGCTCGCGGCTGGCCACGCGTGAACTGTCAACAAAAACATATCATCATCAGGCATTCACGTACAAAACAAGTAGACTCAAAGTGTCGGATGAAGTTAAGTACAAACGTCTATCGTTTTATTAAGACGATCGGGAGTCTACTTGTTTTTATACGTCATTGCCATCTTAGCCAGATGGTAATGACGTCATCGCAGATTAGTTCGTTCATTGGTTGTTATTTTTTATTGAGTAATAATTAAATTGGCAATTGTTTTACCCGAAAATGTATTGAAAGAAAAAACCATTAATACAATAAGGTGTATTCAAAACGAATCAGATTATAATACAGACAAAAATGATTGGGTTTGAACTGTTCCAATCATTCCAACAGGTTTTCTATATTAAATAAATCATGATTGCACTGACGTTGTAACAACATAATGATTTGTAAATGTTGCTACATTATACTTGAGGAGTTTTACGCTCGTTTTTCTCCGCAGCAAAAAAAACTCCAATAACGAATGGTAGTTAGGTAATAGTAGGGAAAAATTCTTTTGGACGATTCAAAAGAATTGTACTATACATCCAATTTGAATAAACATATATTGATTTCTGATTTTCGAATCATTGGTCAGTGCAAGCGTCAACCACAACGGAAAAATAACGGCCTATTAACGTGCTCGCATTTCCCATTGTATGTGACACGTGCCTGCTAGTTGCTGCGCAAACGAGCTAAATATAAATTGAGTTGAATAAATTAAAATTGTTTTTATACGTCATTGGCATGGCTATTAATGTCACCACAGCTGGGGCATAGGTCTTTCCTGTGAATGGTATAGGAAGAACGGGCCATGATGCACCACGTATGTAATATACTAACGTATTGATGACGTAGAGCGCCATATGGACTAGGGCCGGCACCAGCTGCATATTGGACAGCGGGCCGCCTCCCCCGGTGTCGTCGTGGAAGGTGCGCCCTCTGGCAAACCGAAGCAGCAACAGCTTCAGGTCGTGAATTGTGCACGTGTGACCGATGTCGCGGTGACCGGTGCATTCCTGGATCACATTATAAAAATAATAATAATATTACCAACACTCACACCAATTAGCCTAGCCCCAAAGTGAGCACTGTAAGGCTTGTGTTATTGGATACTAGGGTAACGGATAGAATACATACATATATAAGTATATTGATATAGAAATACATATTAAACATCCACGACTGAAATACAAATGCTCGTATTTATCACACAAACATCTGCCCCCACCGGGATCCGAACCCGGGACCTCTCGAGTCGGCGACACCATGAAACCGTACAAACCACTCGACCACGGAGGTCATCAGAGAGATATTGACACGGGTTACAATACCATTCAGAAAGAGAGAAAAATAAATAGGTCATCTAAAAACTGGTGTCGTTATAGTTAATGTTGAAGATTGTAGACGTCCCGTTATGTGCGTTTAAAAGAAAAAATATACAGGAAAAATGTAATACCGAACTGAAATGAATTTTAAATAACTATATATTTGTAACTGATAATATTTGCATCTAGTTTTTATGAACTGGTGAATTTAATTGAAATTTATTTGCAAAAATTTACAATTTTGATGGGTATAAATAAAAACACACAAAATATGTGAACAATTACCAATAACAGATAAACAATAACATTGTTAAACCTACCAATATCAACATAAAGTGTATGGCTCTATTAATCTCTGAAAATTGAAAAACAAACTTACCTGCAGATAGGTCGTATGCCGAGCAAGACAGCTAGCGAAGGCAGACTCGGGCACATGCGGTCCCCACAGCGGCAGGAGTCCATTGCACCGGGTCGAAGCGTTCTGCAGTGCCGCGCTTTCCCACTCATCCCTAATTACGTTATCATGTTATTCTATCGTTCAACATAGAGGCTTTATGAACTATCGGCCGATTTGATTCCAGACGCACCTTAAGCTTCTTTTCTTACAACCATTGCAAATCAATAAGGTAGACTTTCGCTTAAATGTACGTATCTCAAATTGTTATTTTATGAACAAAAAATAATTTTTAATGTGACAGATTTTGCCGCGTCCTTGTGAGATAAATGTTGACGTTATAAAAATACTAGTACTTCCCATTGCTATTCGTGTTTGCTATTTGCCATTTTGACACCAGGTTGTCGTAATTTTTCATACTCTAATTATAAGGAATTAAAAGGAGAGAATGTTGTCAAATTTATAAATAGCAAATACGTTGTTTAAAGTGAATTCAAAATTTAAACTACTATTCCAATTTAATCTATAAGATGATCTATTGCAATGCAGTAAAGGTAAAATTTCAAAGATAAATTCATAATAATATAGTTTCCTTGTTATCAGCAGATCCCAAGTTAATTTAAGCATTCTCTTTATAAGAAAACATTGTCTGTTTTGACATCTTTAAGCGAATTCTCGGTCCAATGGGTAAAGAATCAATTTGTTAGATACACTTACACTTGCTATGTTTGGAAATATGAACGTCCTAGTAATTAGGCTAAAATTTTGAGAAATAAATCTCAGAAATGTTTATATTTATTTGCCTATTGCTTATGTTTGACAATAAATTGCAATGTTTGGTCAGTATTGTTCAGTAGAATCAAGTCAGAAGTCAGAAGATCAAATCACCGCACCGCGAGAAAATAGACAAACAAGCAAATATTGAAAGAAAAAGAAAGAACTGTACCTTCAACACATTAAAAAATAACAAATTATACAAAAAAGTTAAAATCAAAGTCCCTGTCTCAGCATAATGCCACAGAGACACGAAGGTCGCTGCGGCGCTGATATACGGGCAGCACCTAAGGTTGCCGATATTATTGCAACTAAACAGCTACCGTTGCACCAACCAAGCCTTAGAAGTTGATTATTTTCATTATAATAAAAATAGGCATCACATCTTAAGGTCTTTTGATATAAAGTAGCTACTGCAACGCTTATATTCTATTTAAAACTTTTGTAAACTTACCTAGCACGCGCCAATCGAACTGCAGCCATATGACATTCTACGTGCACGATATTGTAGTGTGAAACGGTGGTGTAGCCCAGAGTCTTGCGCGCGCGCACCTCGTACTCTTCCACTGGGCAACGTTTCGTGTACGTGTAGATACCAAGCACCTGGTAGCGAAATCAATAATAATTAACTTTACGATTTGGGTTTATTATTTTACTAGCTGTGCCCCGTGGTGTTACCCGCGGTTTATTAGGAATATTTTCCCGCAGTAAAACACTTAAGTGTTAAGCCAGGGTGTCAGTTAATTCCATACCAAATTTTATTAATATCGCTCCAGCCGTTTAGACGAGAAAAAGTAACAAACATACACACTGACACACTCACAAACTTTCGCCATCATAATATTAGTGTGATTGATTTAAAGGATAAGCGCCTAAACAAAATCGCGCGTGATTGTTGCTGAAAGATGCTGTTGTGGTGTTGGTGGTGAAGTTATATTTTTGTATTTGATAGACACTTTACTTTCAGTCAATGGGGGCATAACAGTCACGGACTGGAGCACGTTCCCATTTGTGACAACAGATTGTCGTCTATAATCTATATAATGTACAGCGTCCTGGTTTGTGTATTCTAATGCAGGTGTTCATTTATACGATAGGACAATTAATTATCGCCCACGACTTTTTTTTTTGCTGTGATGATAGATTCTCATGATTGTAAAAACGGCTAGAACTACAGTCGCAAATATATCGTAAAATGATAACACAGGCACACAAAAAAAAATTACCCTGCGCGAAAGACCAGACTACCTGAACTTTATGTTTTCGGCGTCGCACAGTCCAAATATGGTGCCAGAATAGCGAAGTTGGTTCGCGTTTTTTTAACAACGTAAACCATATTATACGAAAAACTAAAAATTTCAGCATTACTGCTGATTTCTGAAAAAACGCGAACCAACTTCGCTATTCTGGCACCATATTTGGACTGTGCGACGCCGAAAACATAAAGTTCAGGTAGTCTGGTCTTTCGCGCAGGGTAATTTTTTTTTGTGTGCCTGTGTTATCATTTTACGATATATTTGCGACTGTAGTTCTAGCCGTTTTTACAATCATGAGAATCTATCATCACAGCAAAAAAAAAAAGTCGTGGGCGATAATTAATTGTCCTATCGTATAAATGAACTATATTTGGACTTAGCGACCCCGAAAACATAAAGTCCAGGTAGTATGGTCTTTCGCGCAGGGTACTTTTGTTTTGTGGGCCTGTGTAATTTAATCGTTACGACATAATGGGAACGCCCTCTAAGTAGATTAATTATTTGGGTAAACGAAAACCGATAAACCATTTTCAACTTTAACAATACACTCAATATATTATGATATTATAACTTTATCAGATATTTTTAACATTATTCAAACTCAATAATTTGCTGACACTACAGCCCATACATCTTTTATTATCATTATAATTTTAACTGCATACAAATACATACCAATATTTATTTAATATTTATCGCAAAATTACTAAGCAAATGGCGGACATAATGCCATAAGGCATTCTCTACCAGTCGACTAGTAAGAGCGTGAGAAAAAACTATTAAAAAAGCAATATCCATCTGAACTCACCTTAGTGGGCTGGTACTTGTAGCCCTCGCGACAGATGCAGCAGACGGCGCCTGCTTCCTCGGCCAAGTCCGCCACTTGCTGCGTGAGAGAGCACTGCGCCGTCACCTGGCCGCGCTCGTTACTGCGCATGCCCAAAGCGCCCAGTTGACGTTCGCGAACTGCCATTGCTAAACGTTTCTTTTCCTATAAATAAAAAGGGATTATTACAGCTATATTCTGGAATTCAAAACAAGGATCAAATCTCCATTATACGAGCAAAGGGATTGGCCACAAAATACAGTAACATTGTGATACACTACGTTAAATATATGTAGGTAGAGTCCTATAGTATGCAATTGTTATGCTTGTTCATTAATACTTTTCTAAAGTGAAGAAAATATTGAAATAAAATCTCCTAAATATTTAGGCTTTAAATTGTGTCTTAATCTGTGTTTGAACTACACTCGACTGCAAATAAACTGGGCCAACCGCTAGTACCCTAGAACTCTAATTCGATTTTTTCAAAAAGTATATAACTTACAACTATTAAAGCTATATCTACAGAGTGTGTTTCATAATTATTATTATGAGTAAAAAACTATTCTAAAGTACTGTCAACTTACTTCGTAATCGAGGAAGAACAGCAATGCTAACAATTTGCTAATCTATATATATAAAACTGAAAGGTGACTGACTGACGTCTATCAACGCAAAGCCCAAACCACTGGACAGATCGGGCTGAAATTTGGCATGCAGGTAGATGTTATGACGTAGGCATCCGCTAAGAAAGGATTTTGATTAATTCTACCCCCCAGGGGATAAAATAGGGAATGAAAGTTTGTATGAAACTTTGTCAATTTTAAACCGATCGGGCTGAGACTTTGCATGCAGGTATAAGAAGAATCATAGATGAATGTCATTGTGTATAATACAAGCCTGAGAACAAAAACTGTAGTCTACACTTCAGCTCGGGAGGCGAGGGCGGGCCGCTAGTTTTTTAATAAAGTCGTTATTTTTTATAAAATGAAGATAGTCTGATACTTCTTATCACTTCCTTACGTCACTAAGATGTAAATGTAACGTTTTGATGTGGACCTCCACAGTTATAATTTTGATAGTTGTAAGTTTTATAGTTATTGAGAAAATCAAATCAGAGTTCCGTGGCCCAGTTTATTTGCAGTAGAGTGTAGAATGGATCATTACAATAATAAAAAGAAAAACATCATAAACTTATAAACACCTTCGCTGCGGCTGAGATCACAGCGCTTCTAGAAGTATCTAGGCCAAAGAGCCCACGTACTCGCCAAACGATATTATTGATATTGAGTCATAACACAAACCTGTCGTGTGAAGTCGCGCACTTGCTGCACCTTGGCAGCGCACTGTGGCTGAGATCGCAGCGCTTCCAGAAGGTTCTCGGCCAAAGAGCCCACGTGTTCGCCTGAAGACACTTGTTCTAGTCGATGCACTATGGGGATCACTTTCTCGCACACCAGCATCTGATTAAAATACGTGAACAATGAAAGCCAAGAAAATGATGTAAGACGGTGGCAAATATTTCTATAGATGAGCTTGACAATCGTGAAGTTGAGCAACCTCACTGTCTTAATGCTTGTGATGATGACTTTGATAAGAGATTTCTTGTGCCCATGCCAATCGTACGATTTTCGGTTGGTTCAGTCAGTACATTGAATAGGGATGACTCTTTTTCTTCGTATGCCAGGTGAAGATTATCAAAAAGTATTGGACATGTATTTTTTTCTTTATTCACATAATCAAAATATTACAGAGATATATCGATTTGAAATGTAACATAACGCCTCCTTTTAGATTTTTTTTTCTTAAAAGTGACGTCATTAGGCCACAGTCCCAAACTTTGAAGCTCTTTATTCTTTGTATTTTTTTTGTTGATTGACAAAATAAATAATAAGTGTCCATTATTTTTTGATAATTTAACTGACGGACTAAATAGAATTTCGGTTACTCTACCCCGTCGTCACCCCTATTATCATGTCGATAATTTCAGAGAGAGACAATAACGTGATTTTTCTCTTTTACAATAATTTCTACGGAGGCACAGCGTTATCTGGCTAGATGAAAGTATATTATCTACATAATAATTCTTTGTAGTTCTGCGTGTTTTGTGATTGCAGTTACGGTTTCTATATTACAACTGCGTACTTCTCATCTAATATTTGATTAGCTGTGTATGTTATATACGTGTATGGTGCGTTTGTGGACTAACCTGTGTCGGTTCGTGATCGTTAGCCAGTCCGGTGAGGAATCTCAGGATGTACTTCAATGCCGGTCGGCTGATGAACTCCTTCAGCTCGTCGGAATCGGTGCAAACCAGAGTCGGCTTTACGCATGGGGCGTGTTTCTAACACACGATAAAAAAAGAATGTCAACTCAATAAAAGCAGCATGACGAAGAGCCTATCGATTCTAATTTTATAACTATAAAGATAACTGCGAATTGACACAAATTGCCCGATTAAATTTGTTAATAATAATCATGTATGAAGAACAAGAAATAAAAAACCGTCAACTTTTCCTCAAGTGATTTTGAGCTGTATTTTATTTGCTTAATAATATACAATATTAAGATAATTTTAGTTTATGGCAACTTGATGTATGGCTTTTTGTACATACCACGATATACTCCAGCGCGTCGCGTACAACTCCCAACGATATGAGGTAGTCTTTCAGCGTTCCCCCTATGGAGTTCCTCTCGATATTAGCACAAAGGACACAAAACAGTTCCATGCGGAACTCCTCTTCGGTCCATTGCTCGGAGTCGAGTCGGTCGAAGTCTAAAACGGGCTTGAAATGGTCGACTAACATCGCCATCTTGAGATCATTGCCGTACACTAGTGCGGCTAGCACGCGTGTAAGATGACCCAGTGCTACTGAGTTGCTACGGATTCCTATGAAAACACAAAGACAATAAAAATACCAATAGATATATATTGATTCTAAAAAAACACTTATAAACTAAATATATAAATATTTTAACCTGGACATTCGGTGCAGTTGAGAAGAGCTTGAACGTACTCGGGTCCGCCAAATGTCAGAGAGAATTGTAAGAACGACTCCAAGCTCTCACTCGCCGCAACAGATAGAATTCGTTCCATTATCTGAAACAAATATTTAGTATTGAAATGGCTAATAAAAATGGAAATTTAATTAAAGGGACATGTTGGATTTAAATACACCTACGGAAAGAATATAATGCATATTCTTTACTTATATCTACCTTCAAAGTCAGAAATAATTTGAAGTCTGCTTGGGTTAGCTTGGATTTGCCTTTGGATTTTACAGTTTCTATCTAATTCATTTTACATAAAGTCGTGAACTACTAGTCCGATTAGAATAATTATTTTTGTGTTGGATAGTGCATTTATGGATGAAGGTTATAAGTTATATAACATAATGCTACAACCAAAAGGAGCTGAGCAACAATGAAAAATGTTACAAATACTAAGTATAATAATGTGCACTGCTTAAACGGTAAAAGTTATACAAAAATCACGCATGACAAATTTGTCCTCCATTAAAAGTACTATTAAAAAAGATCACGACAGCATTATGTTTATTTTTAAAGGGCACTATTACCCTTTTTCCTCAATTAATGCGGTTAAAACCTAAACCCCATATATTTGGAGCATGTTGTCATAATAAGAAATGATTTATCCAACTAGACGCTTCGAATGACATTTATTTCTAATCTGTTGAGGGGTGGGGACGTTCCTTGCCATTGTCCCTTTACGAGCTTGCATTCCGAACTGTCATAACGCTTTGACGAATGCGCTAGAATTAAGATCTTATTTACCATGCATCAAAGGTGATTTTAAATGTTTAAATAATGCCTTATATTGTTTTAACTATGCGATCATACGGCATTGTTTTTATAGTATCTTTGAATTTATTTATGGTTAACTCTTGGATATTGCTTGGGACTTTATTGTATAAGCGAACACAAAGACCTTTAAATGAATTATTGATTTTGTGAAGCCCAGTAGCAGGTAAAGTTAGTTTATTTTTGTTTCTTGTATTAAGTGCGTGAACATAACTGTTTTTAAGAAACATATTAATATCTTTTCTTACAGGTAATAAGTTTTCGTATATTTATTGTGATGCAACCGTCATTAAAAGCTCCAACCTACCTCCAGCAGCTGGTACACGAGGTGCGCGCGCGGCATTTCCCGCTCCTCATCGGCCGCCAGTTGCAGCGCGCGCAGCAGCACGGGCAGCGCGCGCGTCTCCGCTCGCGTCAGCACGCGCACGCAGCGCCGTACGCGCGCGCATAGAGATAGCAGACGAAGCAGCGTCGAGCACAACGAGCGGGCCGCGCCTACGCGCTGTATCGCCGCCAGACGCTGTAGCATCACTTCCAAACCACCTGTATTCAAAATAGTTTAAAACGTTTATCAAACTGGCACAAGTTATTATTTAAAGAAAAAAAGTAATTAGCCATATAAGGCTGCCTCTTATATTAGAACGTATCCATATATATATTTCATGACCTTCAACAAAATATATAATAAAAAATTGTAAATGCTAACAACTCCAGACACAGTAAGTGTAAATTTTTGGCCACCCATCATATGACTGGCCTTGCAACAGTTGCTTTACTTCGATGATAAAAAAACTAAACGCGCAAAGATATCAAAATCAAAGTAAAAGATGAAAACATCGTTAAATACATTTGGCTATAAAACTGCTTACCACAATCGGCGAGCACGTTGGCCATACGGTACACTTGTTCGTCGTCGACGGCCTCGGCGCTGGCCTGGCTGAGAGTCTCCACAAACTCTTCGGTGGCATCGCCTAACAGTCCGCGCATTCGGTACACTACGCGCATCGCGTCTACGCCCTCGCCCGATGTGCACCATACCTAACAATACGGTCAACATTATGAAAATGGTAGAATTTCTTTCGAATATAACTCGAACGTTAGATAAGAAGTCAAGCCGTCAACTGTCGGTTTCAATTTTACCCGATTTTGAAACAATAGATATAGGGAACGGACTGCGCGTTCTCTAACCAATTGTAAAGTAAAACTAGGCAGATAAGTGTGCGAAGCGAACCGATATGGCGGTCCATAGTTAGTCTACCACTACATAGTGGTTGTTTTTGTCTCTTTCTAGAGTTGTCAATTCCATGCGAGTTTCGCTGAGTCCATGATTATCTATGTCATGTTTGCAATACCACGTTTCCCATGAAAAATTCACGCAATACCGACCGAACCGATAACCTGATCATCGTTTTCATACCGAAAAAGAATAAAATACTTTCTAAACATGCTCACCTTTTTATAGACTTCCTTGACGGGCAGATCGAGAGACATGATCTTGTTACAGACCAACAGCTCCATGCCGTTGTCGTCTTCGAGCAACGCCACCAGTTCGCAGTCGGTGCAAATCTTGTTCTTCACGTCGCGCATCAACGGGCCCATGCCCGGCTCCAAGGAGGAGTACGGGTTGCCTAACATACGACCCTGTTGGAAGTGACGTAGAGTTACAAAATACTAATTAGTACTCGGTGTCCCCGGTTGTACGGGAACTTTTTGTATGCGGGATTTTTAATACCTCGTGTGCGATACTTGATGCAGTTGTAAGCGATCTATTTCGGCGGACAAAATATACCACGGACAAGTCCTTCTTCTGCGCAGTCTATTAGACAAACTGGGCAAATACTAGCAATCGATTTTTTAGAATCAGTCATAATCATTATGGTTAAAAACCTGATTAAGAATTTTAATAGGCTTAATTTTATAATGTCAGCTCTAACATTACATTACATTGCAAGCAAGAAACTAAAGTTTTAGGTATAATCGTAAGCTTAATCTAATCGGAAATCAGTAGGTGCGACTACATACTTGCAAGAAATCTTCCTGCTGCGGGTCTTTTTCCAGCGTGAGGAAGAATTCGCCGACGTCGTTCTCTTCCGGGTAGATGATGGAGCAGAGCCGCTCGAATATGAAAACGGGCGTGCGGTAATCGTGTAAGGGGTACTTCTGTACGGTTTCAATGCACACCGACATGAACTCTGCGGTTTCCGCCTCTGTACCTGGTTAAAAGGGTTTTGATTATGAGCAATTGGTGTAACGTTGTCGCTGAGTTTGGTTGGGTCACATTGAATGCGTCTGCTTACACCCGGGCATTATAGTAAACATACGAACGAATCACACATAACTTCAATGGAAGCAACAACAACTTGACTAAACTGTCTAGGTTGTGGGTGGTAGACTGCTTGTTAACGAAATGTTTTTCCCCCGGTTCAACACGGCACCGTTTTAAACCGTGTCTACATACAGTTTTCAGTTAGGTATGGGACGCTATGGAGGTTGGTTAAAGACACCGCCGCTAGCAACGGTTTCAGTACTAGTTGCATTGTAAATACCGTGTTTGTAACTTAACTGTCGCCAACCTGAGTAGAAAGCGTCTCGTTAACAAGCGCACGTAGTGCGTTGGGAAGATATGTTGTCGATAACCATTTTTGATTATCAACTTCGATACATAGTAATAATAGCGATATTAATAAATAAACAGTACCCTTAGCACGAACCAATATCGAATTTGAATAGTTTGCGAGTTGAAATGTCATTTTCTAATGTGTACTGATTTTAAGTTCTCGTTACGTAGTTTGTGGCACTGCTGTTCCAGTTTCCATACAAAATTTGACAATGACATTTCAGACTCGCAAACTAATCGAATTAAATAATAAATAAATAAATATTTCCAACACTCACACCAATTAGCCTAGCCCCAAAGTAAGCACTATAAGGCTTGTGTAATGGGATACTAGGATAAAGGATAGAACACATATACTGTACACATATAAGTATATTTTTATAGAAATACATATTAAACATCCATGACTGGAGTACAAATGCTCGTATTCATCACACAAACATCTGCCCCCACCGGGATTTGAACCCGGTACCTCTCGAGTCGGCGACACCATGAAACCCGGCGTACAAACCACTCGGCCACAGAGGTCGTCGCTAATTCGATATTGGTTCGTGCTAAGGGTACTGTAATGTGTCAGGTAACCCACTCACCGGTAGTCATCTCCTCCAGCAGCTCCAGCAGCTTCTCCTGAGTGTCGTCGGTGAGCCGCGTGCGTTGCACCACGAGCCGCCGCAGCGACAGGTACCCTCCCAGCACGGCGCCAACTAGTCGCCCTTTGTATGCGCGACGAGCGCCGCCTTCCTCAAGGAACATAGCCAGCAACTCCGTCAGTCGCTTCAGGGCGTAACCTGAAGAACATTTGCATGTGCCAAAAACGTGAACATAAACACACAACGGACCCAGAATACCCTTTTGAGATTTTGTCATACATTAAAATTATTTTAAAATATACATTACAGGAGACGCCTGCAGCAGCGGAAAGTCCAGATTAGTCACTCGTGTTCAAACATTCACTAAAGGTTACCGTCCACCAGGCGGGCCGCATCCGCCAAAAATAAAAAAACCAAAAATTCGCTTGCTATACATTATGTATGCCCGTGTCTGCTTCTGCGTCGATTAGAGGCCGGGCGTGCCGGGCCCTGACGGAATACGTCGACGCATCGTTCGGCGAGTGTATTTTTCCGTCGGTGCGACCCGGCCCGGCCCGCCCAACCTCCAACATTTGTTGTAGAAGTTGTAGCCAACAGGCGTATGTATTTACGTTAAAAAGAACTACTTATATCGTTAGTTTAACAATGATCTGAATTATTTGATACTGACGACGGTAACAATCATTATGAATTGAGGAGAAATATTATTATAACCAAAATAGGAAATGTCCTCTTCTTTCTCGCATATTATATATTGAACCCATACTTTATGCTTTGTTTTGTTAATAATTTCTTGCTCCTCATCCAACAATATTAATGGTAAACATTATTGAATCGAAACATTATTGATTGAACCCTAAAAATAATACATACATACTAACATGGCATTTAAGTTAAATATTGCTACTGTTGATGTAATGGACCATTTTGCTGTCTGTAATAAATAATTTTGATTTGATTTGATATAATTCCTCATCGGAACTATGCATTACACACTACCGTAAGCTTGCATTTCATAGGTACGACTGACAGATCCACCGATGTGGTGCGGCCCGCCCTGCCCTGAATAGTGGACGCAGTCTGCAAAAATACTTTCCGCACCGTTGCGTTGCGTCGCGCCTCAAATAGACGCCATGCTTCACATTGCAAGCAAATAAAACTGGTCGCTACCCTGGCCGCGGCTGTAATACTCTTTAACGGGTACCCTGGGTTATACGACGAAAACCTTAATCGGTTTTCATCCAGTTAAACACAAGTGTAACCTTTGTCAAATTTGACAATTGTTCATAGCACTTGGTTTTTTATTCTTTTTCGAAGCGCATGCCGCGGTGACTTTTTTATTCCTTACCATACTTATTTACTCCCTAATCAACCCATTTATATTTATAGGAACTATAAGAAAGTAATAATTACAGGTTCTTACCTTGCGCAAGATCCGATGTGAGAGTAGTTTCCTCAAGACGATGCAGTTGTTCGATCTCCTTGGTCATCAGATCCGCTATTTGCTGTAAAACGCCACGCAGAGCCAGGAATTGCTTCCACGGGGCTTCGGATGCAAGACCTAAAAGCAAAATTACCACTTAGAATTTGAGGTATGATTTGTTGCAAGATATAGTCAAGATATCGCATTGGACAGCGAAAAAAAGAATCGCTATAGTGATAGTAAAAGAAGATGATATTAACAAAAATATACTTTTTTTTTAAACTTCTATGGTCACTAATACAAGAATAATTTATGTTATGAGCGGGATTCCTACCACATACCTTGTTTTATTTTTAATAAACTTACTTTGGTACAGTTGCAAGAATTGCTCACTGGCTTCTCCAGCTGTTCCCACTTCAGGCAAGAAACTGGTAAGAAGAATCAGTACCTGCAAAATTTCATAAACATTTCATTGTCGTGTCTTTCTTCAAACCACATTAAGGTACATCTATGAAATGTATCCATCCACATAATAATAAATGAAGAATTACTTGACAACAAAGGTACTGACCGCTTTTGTTCTTTCGTAGGAGTCACAAAGTGATTTGACCATTTGGCAAGCAGTGTCACGCGCTATACGCGAGCTCGGATCAAACATCACTGGTCGCAACCAACCGCCGTCTTCTAGAGCAAGCGGACGCATGCCGTGAGATAGTAGAGTCTACGAACAAACAAACATTAAGGTATGTATATCATGAGAGAACTTAAAGAAATTCTAAACCTTATTAAGTGAAACACTTTTATGAAAAAGGGCGCTGTATTTTTTATATATTTATGTAGGCAAATAATTCCACCGCAGCTGATGTTAAATGGTGGTAAAGTTCAAACGCGACAATAGGTGCTGCAGTAGTTGTGAACTACCACGCCAACCATCCCCACCTTACCGGTCTGCATATGAGTTAATAGCTTGGCAAAATCCTAAATTACTCATACAACTCGGTCATATTATCTGTAAACCTGACTGGAATGTGAAGCCCGTCCCCGCGCTCGAAACGCTGCGAACGTATGGCAGATGCGTTATTGTACCACCATCGTCAAATTCGCCTGTCCTTGTTAGTCGCTCTTGTTTCACCACCCGTTTACATTGCCAGCCAACCCAACAGACCGCCACCCCAGCCGCGTCTGTCTATGAGACACTGAATGGAAGGAGTCAGGTTTTTCTTACGTCCAATGGGTCACTGCTTAATTTCCATATAATCTTTCAAGATGCGATACTATAACGGATCACGAGATGCACAGCCCGTGGCGGTAGAGGCGGGTAAGCGGGCGGGGCTGCATCAGAGGCGGTGGCGGGCGCGGAAGCGGGCATACGCCGCCAGTACTGGTGCGTCAACCGTCATATTTATAGAAGGCAACGGGACCTACGGTAATGTGGAAGCGTTCGAGATCAAGCCCGCCTGTTCGTGAATAAAGATCACGATAACTATACTTACCCGTTCGCGCACCTTGGCCAAGTACTTGATCGCTAGATGCGCGTCCCGCGGCGGCAGAGGCGGATCAGCGGGCGGGGTTGCATCAGAAGCGGTGGCGGGCGCAGACAAACGTTGCCAGTACTGGTGCGTCAACCATTTAGACTGGGCGTGTATGTACGGTTTCCTGATCAGGAATTCCTATTCGTAGACCTAAACGCACGTCCTTACACATAAAATGTTCAAAGATGCGCACACTACTCTTATTTTTCTATTTTTTCTGAAACGTTTGGTTCGGAAACAACCTAATAAAAAAATCAACACGTGTGCGCTAGGCTTACGGAAATCCCAATCTGAATTCCGGATTCGGTTTCCGTGATGAAACCAAACATATGCGCCCAGCCTTATAGATAGCAATGTTCCGTGCGATATTGTGGACACCGTGCAAGACACCACGCCATTCTGTTCGTGAATAAAGATCAGGATAACTATACCAACCCGTTCGCGCCACTTGGCCAAGTACTTGATCGCTAGATGCGCGTCCCGCGTCGGCAGAGGCGGGTCAGCGGGGGGGGCTGCATCAGAGGCGGTAGCGGGTGCGGAAGCGGCCGGGGTATCGGGAGCAGGTACGGGAGCAGACAAACGCCGCCAGTACTGGTGGGGAACGCGGCCTGCCAGCCATGAGGCCAAGTCCACCACCATGTTTACGGAGGGCAGTGGGCCGTGTGGAGTTGTGGAAGCAGTGCTTGAGTTGACGCCCTCCTGTTGGTAGACAAAGATCACATTATTATAGAATGCTTGCGGCTATATTCACAGCCGCCATTAATTTTGAATCGCACTAAAAATACTATTAGTTTTCTCTAAAATTGTACAAGTTGCAGAATTCAAGTTTATGATATCTTAGGCCGATTTCAAAACAGTCGTAGAATTGAAGTGTATGCATAGTATATTTGTTGTCGTTCGTGTCGCATTAAAAAAACGCAACACTAACCCCTTATGAATAAAGGAAGATTAAGTTTGGATTAGTTACTCCACGTTTTGTCTGTTCATTGAATGCCACAGGTATTATAGTATAAGTTACATATCTTTTGTTATTTTTAGAAATAAGTAATTTATTGTATACTGAAATTCAATAAACATTTATTATTATTATTTGAGTGACATGAACAAAACACGGTGTAAATAGTCTTAGTTTATTCCTCGTTTATTAATAAGGGGGGGCAGTATTACGTGAATACCTTGGTCTCCTTGGACTGGTCGTTTTCTGAAGCGGCAGGCGCAGGCGGCGGGGGCGCCATCAATTGCTGCATATAGCGCATACAAGGTAACGCCACCTGCTGTAGCGCGAACTGATGAGCTGTGTCACAAACGAAACTATGAAATAAAACACTTTTAACGGGTTTCAAATGCATTTTTATGCGTTTATAAATATCTCTACAACGTTACGTTACGTTTTCAAGAGTATGATTAGTGGCTCAATTACATTTGGTCGTTAGCCCGTATTCGGATGCACGAAAGACAATACTCGAATAGCATTATTTACACTGGAACACGGACTGGAAGACGGTGTCGGGTAAACATAACGAAAACTACACGAATATGGGCGTACTCGACTCCGTTCATTTACACTTCGTTTACCAGAATTCCATTGGCGCTCGTATTTGGGCTAACGACCAAGTGTAATCGCGTCATAACCCAAAATTTAATAGTTTATTGATTAAAATTTGCTAAAATGATCTTTCAATGAAGTATCCCAACATCAATAAATCTTTCGAAAATAGCTCGCCAGGTTTATTTTGATAAATTAAAGATCATGCTCTTGAAAACGCATCCTAGAAATGGATGCGAAATGTAGAGATATTTATATAAGTATTAAAAAACGCATATTAATCACGGTGAAACAATATTTAGATGTTATATTTTGATGACGTTTTTATACAACAAATGCATCAGAAACTCACTCGCGTTGCGATCAATGTAGCTATAGCTTCATCATCATCAGCCTATTAATGTCCCCACTGCTGGGGCACAGGCCTTCCCTATAGATGGAATAGGGAGATTGGGCCTTGACCCATCACGCGGGCCCAGTGCGGATTGGTGGGAGGAATATAGCTTAGTTTAATATACAGTATAATCTCACTAATCCGGCACCCTCCGCGGCCTGCGAACATGCCTCCCTCGCCCCTCTACACCTGTGCGCTTGGATTTGTTAGTGATTGGTAAAGCAAAAATCCCAGAGCTTTCAAGAACATTAGTCTGCCAGTCTGCTAAAAAATAAATATAGGTTTTTAATAGTGCCGGATTAGTGAGATTATACTGTATTTATTTTAAACATTTAACAGCTACATTTATAAGCATGAGCTGCCAGTCGATCATCATCATCATCATCATCATCAATGTATTAACTACTGGGCCGCAGGCCTTCCCTACGGATGGAATAGGGAGATTGAGCCATGATCCATCACGCGGAAATTAGGGGGATTGGTGGGTGCTAACGACTGCAGATGCAACCGGGAACAACGGTTTAACGTGCCATTAGAACTACGAAAAAGCGCAACATTATACATTTTTGGTCACCCATTCTCTGACCAGCTATACGAAAGTTGTTGTACTGCCACAAACGCAGATATAGCACCTAACTCCTCGAGATAACCCAAAACAGACAACCTAAATAATATAAGGATGATAATATTTTTTTTTATAAAAGTAAAAGTATTAAAAAAATTAAATATAAAAAATCGGTCCAGGCGTTTGGTCTCTAGTGTGCCACAAAGGAACAAACATACGCATATAGACTGTTAAACACATAACCCTGTCTGCGCGTCGCGCTTCGCGCTCTTGCATTGCGCAGCCGGGTAAAAAGGCGATTGTGACGCTTAAAAAAGACAAGAGTGGGAAAACCACATCAAATAAGAAAGAGGTCTATTATTGGACGGAGGTCAATTTTCAGGGCATGACCTACTTATTACCGATTTGAATATTAACTTACAGTTCGGTGACGAAGTGTTGATCCCAGGTATTCCTGCCAGCACATCTGGTTTCAATATCGCTTGAGAAGCCGGCGCGATGCCAGCTACTTCAGTGAGATGTGGGCAACACCTTAAGCGAAATAATAGTTATTTTCAACACATTTGCTTAATATAAGTGTGGTAAGTTGAGAATAACAGCCGCCGAGGCGAAATTGATTGCCCGAGCCATAGGCGAGAGCTATAAGAAGGCAGAGGCTGTAATTATCAAACCGCACGTATGTCATACGACGTTTTATAACACATTTGCGAGGAAATAATACTACCTACGTACGTACTTTCTGAATATGAATTTGCACCTTTGTTTGTTTTCCGTAAGATGAAATTTTGATATGCTTGACTGTAAGTATCTATCCGTGGATTTTTCGGGCAAGAGGCTCAGCGTAGCCTTTTTCGACTTCTGGCGGTGACAAATTAATAAATTCGTTACTACTTGAAAAATCTTTCAAATATAAACGATACAGCCAAAAGAAATATCTTTTTATACAGATTAGCGAAGCGCGCGCATCAACGCTTTTTTTAGGCAAAGGAACAAAAAACAGCCAGTGTTACTGTAATTTATTGTCAAAATGAATCAAATTAAAGAATTAAATCTTTATATATTAGGTATATATCTTTATATATCTCACGAAGTTAATTTAATTAAGAAAATGTTGGCTACCCTTCTAACATGAAAACTCTTTGCTAAGATTTAAAAAAGTATCATTCGTTTTTAGACGGAACATAATAAGCCGTGCGTTTAACTTTACATTACCGCACGCGTGTGTAATGTCATAGATTATGATATTGAAATTGGTGCAATAAGAGACATTTAACGAGCAAATGTGTTATAAAATACATTTTTCAACAGACTTGCTCAAAAAATGTATTTACGGATGTTGTATACATTGTTCGAAAGTTAAAAATTACGGGCCATACAACGGTGCCATGTGTGAGAGCGTGCAGTTTTATTTATACCGCACGTTTCCACACATGGCACCGTGCGTATTCAATAATATAATTTCAATAATATCATAACAGTTATTTATGATATTAATGCGGTTATTTGGTTATAACAAACGAGAAGACGAAACGAACGACGATGAATGTAAGCCCGGGACGAAGTCGAGTCACGAGTTTGTAAATAAGAATTCATACAAAAGAGCTTGCGGATTCTTTTTTACCGCACACTCTGTTGTATGGTACGTAATTTTGAACTATGTATACAACCTCTGTATATATATATGCATTTTTTTAGCAAATGCAAATTACAAACTTGGCTCGCTGAACATATTTTCTATTAACTAAGATTGACTTACCACACCCAGAGTTTCACAATACAGCGAAGTCTCGCCTCCCAGCACTCTACCGAGTCTTGAACTTTGACAAGAGACCCTAGCAAGAGAACAAGAGGCCGCACCTAGAACAAAAAAATGAGATAGTAGAATAAACAGTTTGTACATACAAAGCATAGAGCATGCCATTGTTTAACGCTGTTTTTTTATATGGTAATAAAAAAAACCCGGCCGACAGTAAAATTAATAAGAGATTATTTATGAATAATCATATAATTTAACGTCATACGTGTGCAATTTAAAATGAATATATTTATTAATATATTAATTTCAAATTGAGTTGGGCATACAAGCGTTACGTGTGTGCAGGGTTTGGCAATGTATTGCGTCATTGTTTATTTTTTCGTGTCGTGGTTACAGTTTTGTTTTATATGCACACAAACACAGAACGGGATGGGGGAATAAACTTCCGAAAAAGTAACAGTATTATTTCAATAGTATAATGTCGCTATGGCGTTGCTTTATGATATAAAGGCCTAAACTGTGTTATGAGTAGTCAGAAAGTCATTATAAAAAAAATTAATGTAAATCAAAATAACATAAAATTTACGGAAAGTAAAGGATTATTACCTTCACCTCACTAAAGAATAAAACCCTATTAAGACAGAATTTAGCTTACCGAATTATTGTGATCTTGCGAGGCAGCATGTCCCATCAATGAAAGTGTAATTCTTTGACTCAGTAGATTGCACAACTGTTCAGTGGCTGGTAAATTGTCTCGGGTCACGAGGCAGATCAAAGCTCGCACTTCTTCTTGACACTAAAGGAAACAAAATACAATTATAAATATCACAATCTTAATTATCGAACAATGTATCATCTTATATACGTTACTGACAGTCACTAGTTACAAGATTTATCAATTATTGTATATGTAAGTAGTTGCCACCAAATAGTAGTTAGCAACAAAAACACATCCGAAATTTCTGTTTACTCAGAAAGAGTTAGGTGAATAAGGCACAAGCCCCCGGATGGCAGATGGCAGAGGTGTAGATGCTCTTGCGGAAACCGAGCGGACAGTGAGTTCATTTTCCCGCACACCACGAAGTCAAAAAATGCAAATAAAGTTTAGATTCCAAAACCGCGTGAATTTGCGGTATCGCGCGTGGCCTCTATACAAGTCTGAACAAATTGACAACCGAGGGTCCGCGTGCGCCGCCCCCGATTGCGGCGTTGTGGCACTAAGGTAGTCTCGATTAACAATAACTGAGGATTAGAGTTGCTTCACCACTAGCCAGAGCTACGAGGGTGCTCGTACTGCGACGCTAGCGTCCATTGCAACATCAGGCTTGTGAAGTTAGTGCGTATAGTGGACCTGTGGAGTGCCACGGTGCAGGTTGTGCTGCACGAGTTCTTGCACGAGCCCGAAGCGGCAAAGACGGGTTCGGTGCTCGGGCTGCGACGCCAGCGCCCGCAGCAACGTCAGGCAGTGCAGTCCCTTGTGAAGTTAGTGCGTAGAGTGACCTGTGGAGTGCCGCGGTGCAGGTTGTGCTGCACGAGTTCTTGCACGAGCCCGAAGCGGCAAAGACGGGTTCGGTGCTCGGGCTGCGACGCCAGCGCTCGCAGCAACGTCAGGTAGTGCAGTCCCTTGTGAAGTTAGTGCGTATAGTGACCTGTGGAGTGCCGCGGTGCAGGTTATGCTGCACGAGTTCTTGCACGAGCCCGAAGCGGCAGAGACGGGTTCGGTGCTCGGGCTGCGACGCCAGCGCCCGCAGCAACGTCAGGCAGTGCTCGGCGCATGCCAACGAGCAACCGTAACAACCGCCGCCGGATTCTAATAAACAGAGAGATTATTTAAATTATTTTTTTCATTGTCTCATCAAAGTCTACAGAAAACAAAAATAAAGTTCCAATTTCATAAACATGTGAATTTGTAGAAACTGAGAAATAATCGATTCATGAATTTCCTCGTTATAGGAAAGAAATGATTTGACAAATAATTCATCTTTAAACTTTTCTAGCTAAATTAAACGTATTTTTCTATCTTAAATTTGGCTAATTAGATGTGCCACCATTTTCAGATTACCTTTTGATATTCCTTTCGAGAGGTCATTATCATAGTTCTGCACCAGACCAGCATAAACGGGTAGTGTGTCACCTTTTAGCTGTTCGCTCTGGGATCTGTCAAACGAGACAAGTTCTTTCCTGCAAATAAAATATTAGGTTACATATCAAACGAGCCAAGTAATTGATGTTACATATGAAACGAGCCAAGTAATTGATGTTCCATTTTAAGAGACCACGCGGCGTTAAGCGGGAGCACGGAGAGGGTGACCGCTCCGCGTGTTTGTTTCATGTTATTTCAAAGAGCAGCGCTGCGTGAGACTGGGATCCCGGTGCTTTATGAAATGACATAAAACTGCACGCGGAGCGGAAACCCGCTGCTTGACCCGCTTATCGCATCTTAGATATGCACTGTTTAATCACAAGTGTAAGATTTAAATTAAATACCGTATACGTATAGCTTAAAACAGCACGAACGGAGTGCAATCTGTAATCGAATTCATTTGTACGCTCGATCAACTACAATGTTAGCAATACGTCGTTCAGCGACGACGTCTTTGTAGTTATCTTTGTTTGAACGACCTGTATGATCGTAGACAGATCCTCGAAGTGGTCCACTTACTGTCGTCGCAGTGTGCGAGAACGTTTTTATGACGCGGTTGATTTGTGCAGCGCTCAATGACGTATTATTAACATTGTAGCGTACCGTCGTTTGAACAACCTTCTAGACTACAGGATGTTTATATTGATTGTAATGGCATGCAAGCGAGCTCCTTTTGTATGATTTTGGACAGGTCCTCAGTGTCCCTTTCTGTCGACGCAGTACTTGTGCGCTAGTGTTTGTATGACGCGGTTAATTTGTGCGCCGCTGATCGAGAGTATAGCCTAGCATTGTATTCATCGCCTGCACGACCTTTTAGACTATAGGATGTTTCCATTGACTGGCATTGCCGGCAAGCGAGGACCTTCTGTATGATCTTGGACAGGTCCTCGAAGTGCACCTTGTTGTCGACGCAGTACTTGTGCGCTAGCGTTTGTATGACGCGGTTGATTAGTGCGCCGCTGAACGATCTTATGGCCTAGCATTGTATTTATCACCTGCACGACTTTCTAAACTACAGGATGTTTCCATTGATTATAATTACCTGCAAGCGAGGACCTTCTGTATGATTTTGGACAGGTCCTCGAAGTGCACCTTGTTGTCGACGCAGTACTTGTGCGCTAGCGTTTGTATGACTCGGTTGATTAGAGCACCGCTGAACGAGCGTATGGCCTAGCATTGTATTTATCGCCTGCACGACTTTCTAGACTACAGGATGTTTCCATTGATTATAATTACCTGCAAGCGTGGACCTTCTGTATAATCTTGGACAGGTCCTCGAAGTGCACCTTGTTGTCGACGCAGTACTTGTGCGCTAGCGTTTGTATGACTCGGTTGATTAGAGCACCGCTGAACGAGCGTATGGCCTAGCATTGTATTTATCGCCTGCACGACTTTCGAGACTGCAGGATATTTCCATTATTATAATTACCTGCAAGCGAGGACCTTCTGTATGATCTTGGACAGGTCCTCGAAGTGACCCTTGCTGTCGACGCAGTACTTGTGCGCTAGCGTTTGTATGACTCGGTTGATTTGCGCACCGCTAAACGACGTGTTGCTAGCGTTGCTATTTTCGTCTCCGGCACGACCTTCTAAGCGATGTTCGCTTATCTTATGAAGAAGCGACTGGAGAAACAACGAAATATATTTCAATTTAATATGACTAGATTTACAAGTTGCTGCATAGTGTTGTAAAATGTAAAATGTTTTAATTTAAACTTATATGCAAGTATATGATCTTCTTACTATACATCTTATACTTATAGAACTTTATTCTCATACTAAAATTATCAATTCTACTGAGACTTATATATTTTACAATAACAAGACATTTACTGGCTCTTGTGTCAAATAGAATTAGTGGTAAAGAGTTGGGAGTAAGATCACTAATTCAGTGGTAGTTGTTCTACTCATTTCGCGAATTTACTACATATTGAAATTACAACAAGGGTCATGTAACATTTGCAATAGACGTAGAATCTACAAATTGTTAAACATCTGACTGACCTCCAGTACAGGCTTATTGGAAACCAGCTGCCTATAGACACGATCAGCTTTATCTAACAGCGCGCCTATAGTCTGCACCATCTTCTTCCTCTCCTCGTCGTTCTCTATAGTGTCGACGGCGCAGCATGGGCGCGCTGTCAGCGTGTAGTCAAACTTGGCGTACTTGCAGAAACCACACGCGTGACACAAGAACGGATCCTTCTCGTCGTAGTTGATGGCTCTAGGGAAACATGTAACGTTGGAATCAGCCCTCCCTAGCAAGAGCACCGCGATATGATGTGGGATCGTTTTTGTCATGCTCAATCGTCCAATTACTATGGAGATTGAGAGAAGCGCTAAAAATGTGATATAATGTAAATTGTGGTGCTCATGCTGCGGGAATTGAAGTAGATTTTGATTTTACGACCCCGGGGATAATTAATATATGTTTTATTACAGACGAACCCATAACACTTTATTACACTTTGACAATTACGCTTATTTAGAGAGAGATAGAGAACCTTTTTATTGACCAATAAAACACACAAACATAATTAGAAACAGTTGAAATAAAAACATATATAGAAAGTAAGCATCACAAATATTGATAAACCTAACTGTTTGGTTATTGCTATCTGATAAAGATAAGGTTCAATGACAAATTATACCCATCAATGTGGCCTCGATTACACTTTTGTTTTACGCATATCATAATTATTTGAGCCGCTTCACAACATATATTTTTGTTACATGCAGACATTACAAAAAGATATTGGAATAATTAAAGTCTATTACTAACCGACACTTGTGACACTGGAAGACGTTTTCACCGCAGTTGGCACAGACGCCTGGATTAGCTGGTACAGACTGCGAGCATCGTGGACATTGCAGAGATTCACCTGATTCAATGTCAAAATAAACAGATAATTAGCTTAAAACCTGCCACCCATAGGCTCGTTTATTATTGGTTGGTAATATCGGATGCGCTATTGTGATATTTCTTCATACTAACTTCTATTGCGTCGTTATTATCGCAGCAGTGTGTAACTTCGTAGACATCCTAATACGTGGAGACATTTTTTAAAAAAATAGACAGAGACACAGGTAGAAACAGTACCTATCGCAAGTATTCCAAAAATGTTATTGTGCATGTGTGCGTATCGGTGTTTGATTGGAGTGTTAGTGTAGGTTTGTCAAGTTATGCTTTAAACACAGGATACCGTAACAGAAATTATATAAGCACATTTGTTTTCTTAGTTTTACAGAATTTCATAATAAACTCTAAAGGCTTGAGGGGACGCTATCTGGCTACTTTATTGGAACAAAGTTATATCATGATGTACCTTGTGCAATTGTCATAAGGACATGGATCTGTTTTCCTTACTCAGTCAGTCTTTAAATACTAAGGCTCGTATTACAGAATGACAACTAAGTGTTAATCTTTACTTGAATACAGTTAGAAAATGATGTCGCTATATATAGCACATAGCGAAATCCCTTTCTAACTTTACTCAAGTAAAGATCAGCACTTAATTGTCATTCCGTAATACGAGCCTAAGTCTACGCTAAAAACAAATATCGCAATTGCGCATCCGATAATATTGAGCGATAATAACGCACCTATGGGGAAAGCCTCTAAACATTTAAGAATATAGCTAAAAAGATAAAAACATTATACTAGCGCTACTTACCTGTTGCTTGTTGGTTTTCATAGAAGTCTGCGTACTCCATCATGAGATTGCAAGCGACTATGGGCAGGGGGAAATCGACGCGTACTTCCGACTGTCCGGACTGAAGTTGCACGCGCTTCGCCTTATGCCACATGCCTGTTATAAAGATGTTTTAATTATAAGTTTATACTGATGGATGACCTCTTTCAATTTTTCGTTTAGAAAGCTTTATTGACTTTAATATTTTAGATTATTTTTATTTCTACATGTGGGGATTGTAAAGTTGAACTATCTGTTAATAAAATTTTAAAATGTTTATAGTTCAAATTGCGCTTTTGTGATTTATGTGTACTTTTATGCCGGAACTTTACTTCAGTTATCTATTCGTGTTTGCTATTTGATTTTTTTTTCGTGTAGAGCATAATAAAGGAATATTGATATCAAATTTTGAAAAAGCAAACAAAATAAATAAATATTATGTTTTGTAGTTTAATTTGTGTTCACGATCTTATATCTATTAATATGTACCCGGTTTGTTCTTGAGCTCTTGCACTGCTTGCACAGTCCTGTTATTGTAGTAGAAGTTGATGGTTCGCACCATCTTGCTGCGCTTGATGTCTCCAATCCGAAGACTGATGCGACTGATCATATGGCTGTTTACCAGCTTCACTATCTGCGTCGTGGTCGTGAACTTCGAGTCGATCTGCGTGCAGTTGCACAGGATTAGCTCTTATGCGGTCGGGACAAGGCAGTAAATGGAATGCGGTGAATCGATAGGCCATCCCGTTCTTTTAAGTGGTGGATAACGGTAAATTTCGATAAACATTATCCACGAAACGATAATTTGTAAAGATTATTTTTCTTTTAAATAAGGAAAATTTAAATTTGTTCTTATTCTAGGGGATTTCATTACTTAACAATAGAAGCGTTTTTTGTAGTATACTTTCATAGAAATGAAGTTTTTTTTAAGAAAGAAAATTATTTTAATTTCTTCATGCTAGGTTCTCAATTAGCAACATCGATCTACAGTATCTAAAGTAAGGGTATATAAAGTACATTTCAATACTACGCAAACACAATTAAGGAATTACATAAAATATCAATATTACAGTTGCAACCGAAAATCTAACTTTTATTTACTCTACAAGGCACTGTCCATATCTAAAAAAACGAGCGAGCCTTACAGTAGTCGCGTATGATGTGTAACATTTGAAACCTCACCTTATAATAGTAAAAAAAAAGAAATAAAACGTACTACAAAAGGAATAAGCCACGGAGGAAAAACAAAGAGGAGGTGTGGTGATTAAATTTCCTCAAGAAACGACGCGTGATAATTTGCGGGATGCGGGGTGTTCAGCTCCGCCCACTTCTCAATATTTCATCTATCGGCTAATAGCAAAACTAGCTTAGGTTGATATTTATGTTACTACGTAGTAGTTCAGCTATCTAACACTAGATGTTCAAAAGTTTTGTATATAATGGGACGTACTCAGAACTTGAAGCTTCAAAAAAATGAAATATGTAGGTAAATAAATAAAATAAACGTTAACAAATTTGACCGATTTTAAAATTTTTAAGGTATAATTTTTATTATTTTAAAACATGTAACGGCTTGATGAAAAAAAATCCAGGCAGACCAGGCAGCAGACGGGACTCGAACCCGCACCCGCTCCCGTCTGCTGCCTGGTCCGCGTGGATATTTTTCTAGTTATATTTTCTTTAGATTTAAATTTTAAGGTAGTTTAAAAATAATAAAATGTTATTACAAACATAATTTTATTAAAAAACATCAATTACCTGTAAATAATAGTTTTGGTTAGTTGTTGTCGGTTGGTTGCCCTATCGTTTTGTATTGTGGCAAAATGCTTAAAACGAATATCAATATATTTTTCTGCAATCGATTTCATCAGAAATACAACATGATTAACTGTAGGTGATTGGTCAAACATATGGTTGGCCGATTTTTTGAAACAATCTTGTCCAATAAGTGATTTTAATGTATTCGATACAATTTTATGTTGACGAAAGTTAGGAGTATTCAAAGATTGCGATTTAACACAACGAATACTGCCTTCGGTCCGTATACATATTTTTATGACATCTCTAGATGGGAAAGTAAGACCACCCTTATTTTTAGTTTTTATCAAATCAAGGTCACTATCGTCGTAGTTATCAGCATATAATTCTTTGAGACAGCTCTCACATTTGATCTTGGAATGTAAATATTTGACCACATACCCAGAAATATATGCTACTATATGACGGCGCAAATAGTCACCTATAGTTGTATTTAATTGTTCATCAAATTCCAATAACATATCGTCAGGCATAGGCTCGACATCCATGCTATCCGAAGACTCGAAACTCATTTTATTTAAAATGCGATAACGTTCTGATGTAATATTATTTTTTTGCACAGAAGATTCATTTAAAATGGAAATATCTTCTTCTTCTATGGTGTCCAATCCGGTCTATTAAGTTTTGAAATCCATTGCTGTTTTAAATTATCGTTGGATGGAAATCTAAAACGAACATAAAAATAATTAAAATTTATTTACTTGGTAAAATAATTTAATACGTATTACGGCCCTGGATATTTGTAACGTTTAAAAAGTTATTCTATATGACGACAGATGGCGGCCAGTTAGTAATATATTGATAAAATTACTGTTTTAGATACTAAAAGTTATTTAGGAATAAGTGTATAACAGTTTTCAGTATTTACGTATGATTATTACAATATACTACTGCAAAATTATACGTAAACTTGTGTATTTTCTTCCTAAAAGTGTCGCCATCTGGTGTCAAGTAGTAGAATTTTAACGCTGATAGCTGAGGCTGAGAATGTTCTAGAACTTATATATTTAATTACGTATAACATTACTTACAAATGAAATGTGATGCCATCCATATTATCAGAACGTCTGTCTGAGTAACTTTGACATAGTAAAACACAAAACTTCATCCTTTTCTTGTTAAAAACGCAAAAAAACACTTATAATGCGAGTCTCGTTAAATGTGCACCTGACGAACGCTGAAAGCATACTGACTTAGGCCCCGCCCACAATGATGACGTCAGGACCTAGTTGAAAATCACAGTGCACAGTTGCTTAGGCCAGCTCCTCTTTGTTTTTCCTCCGTGGAATAAGCCATTTGAACATTATGTTCTAAAATCAAATCAAATAGCGCGCGCTTCCCAAACTTCCTGTTACACACTTCACGTTATCACTCCCATATCATCACAAATTGCAGGAAAGCGAGAAGAAAAATATTACACATCAAAAAGAACTACTATCTAATAACGTAAGCGTGGTGAAGTGAATAAAGAGTCAAACACGACCAACCTTAATGGTGGGCAGTTTGATTGTGGCCATGGGCACTTCAGGGTTGTTGCAGACGAGACAAGGCTCAGACTCCAGGTAGTACCCGTCCAGTTCTACGTATGCGCCGAGAGCTGCGTACAAAGCCGCGTTACCGTGTGATGCTAGCAAAAGGTTCTGATTGCGCAGTAGTTCCACAGCGCTGCCCACGTATTTCTGAAAAAAAAAAGGAATTTTGTAAAATCCTGGTGGGTCGGAAAGCAAAACGATCGTGTATGTAATTTTAATTAAACCTTCGTTTATAGAAATACTGGCGTCCGCCCGCGACTTCGTCTGTGTTAAATTTAGTTTTTTGAAAATCTCTTGGGAACCTAACACTTTTCCGGGATAAAAGTATCCTTTCAGGTCATTAACTATATACGTACCAAATTTCATCTTAATCCGTTCAGTGATTTAGGCGGGAAAGCGTAACAAACAAACAAAATCCCTTTCGCATTTATAATATTAGGTTAAAGTTTAACATCTGCATTGCATTTCAAAATTGCTTTATTCCACCTGCTGTGGGAAGAGGATTTCTGTTGCGAAGATAACCGATTTTCCATTAACTTACATCTATGTAACGAAGTTCAGTTAAAATTACCTGTTTAACAGTGTTTTAGTACTTACTTCAGTGTCAATATTGGGTGTTTTGAGGGTAAAGTAGCCTAGTAGATCGACGAATTGTGCTGCCTTGCGTCCGTACTGCGACAGAGTTGGCCAGATCGCCCACAGCAACGAGACCAGTGAAGCTTGCTCCGCTTGGGATGAGTTGCTGTATCAAAACATATTAGAATTGAACTTTGATACGAATGTAAACGAGGGCGCAAGTGGTTAGCGATCGTTGAAGTCAAGCAATTTACGCAGTGGTTCATTATTGGATGGGTGACCAAAAATTTACCATCTCGAGCTCTTCCGTGCTTCGGATGGTGCGTTAAGCCATTGTTCCCAGCTGCATCTGCGGTCGTGACACCACCAGCACTGGACCCGCGCGATGTGTCATGTCCCATTCTCCCTATTCCATCCATAGGGAAGGCTTTTGCCGCAGCAGACATTATTAGGCTGATGATGACGATGATTATCACAAATGTAAAAGAAACAACATCTTTGCAGCGACTGAGGAGACAATATCGCTCCATAATACAAGGTCCCAACGACCTTATAGTTAGTAAAAATCTAGGTTTGGAATAACTTACTTGTAAATGGCTAGGAGCAACGCATGCGCCTGCCAACGGACAGCGGTCGAATTCGTTTCTAACAAGAATGCCTTTACGAACAACCACAGCTCATCTAGAGAGACCTGTGCAGGGAAACACAAATTTCTATCAATAAAATTATACGATTGATGTAATTGAAAAGCTGTTAAGTTTGAATTGAATCAATTTCATGTAACTAACTGGCCCAAGTTATAGTAAAAATATGCTTGCTTAGTTTTCAGAGTAAAAATGCCGGGCATGACCAATAATAAAATATTTTTAGCGAAACAGTACCTGTTTCAAAATTTGCTGCACTAAACCAGGTACTCTCTGTTCCTGGAACTTGGATCCATCTGATACGTAAGCGTCACTGTCGGCACTGCGCTCGCGCTCAGGCCAATCAGTTGAAGCAGTCTGAAAGTTGTTAAACCTTTATATATGAAATTAACCACAAATGTTATTTACTTATTGAAATAAAATATACAATTTCTATATCCACATGACAAAAAGAAAGCATTTTTTTGGACACAATCTTTCGCCGAACCGATGGCGTAGCTTAGCGGCTTTCATAATGTGCTGTTAAAAATCTAAACTGAACAAATGAGTTTAATTGTAGCCTTGAATTCCTGTCTGGGGTGGTGAGGCGCATAAAGCAGTACTAAAGATACCACTTCCTTCCATATGTGCTTGTAAAAACCTAAGCCGCCTTATTCCAAAACGCGGACTAAAGTTAGTCTTGGTTTAAACCTAATGTTGACTCTATCTTTTTTTTAGCAAAAATGTGACAGCATCAGTTTTAGTCCATCAGGTTTAACTTAAGTTTACGTTTTGAAATAAGGCAGAAAAAGTTTGAATGTCAACTTTATTTGAGGTGGTGAGGCGGCGCGCATAAAGCAGCCTGCAGTAGTTGTAGTTTGAAGTTAAAAAACAACGTAGAACACGTGCGCGGGTAAATAAACTAAACAAATGAGTTTCATTATCACCTTGGATTCTTGTCTCGGGTGGTGAGGCGGTGCGCATAAAGCAGCCTGCAGTAGTTGCAGTACTGTGGGCGCCACGTGTGGATGAACACGTCTCGCCACAGTCACTAGCCAGCCTAGAGCCTCGCGTCTTTCCACGCTGCAAGTGTGCTGCCAGTTGCCGGTACGAGAGCTCACTATCTCCGCACACGCCTGAGGAATAATTTTATTTTCATTTATTTATTTACTTGCAGGCAAAGTAGGCCCATAGATATATATACCATATAGTCTAAAATATACGGATGCAAATCATTATTGTTAGTAAATAAACTTAACACCTAATAGTCCGAGATCCGGCCGCAAAATTCTGCATCCATATGTTTTTTGATAAAGTTTTATGTCATGTGAAAGGAAATGCAGTGGAGAATTCAAAAGTGAGCATATGGACCTCTGGTCCACCATTTAAATCCATAAAAAAATACAAAGAATGCATGTGAAAATGATATTATTCCTTATTATTTAGTGGGCCCAAGTCCAAGAACCCACCGCTTAATTATGCAGCCATCTGTTGTTTTTTAATGAAACTATATTTAATTGATTGATTAACTGGCAACAATAGCTTATCGTGTACACTGTAAATGAAACTTCTATTTGGGTAAATATCAAGGAATTCATAGTGATATATACTATAACTGCGACGAAATAAAACCATTATAAAAAACAGCTTAACTAACAACTTAAAAAAGCCCGATATACACAACTTGCTATTTAGAGAGAAAATAAATTAATAAAAATATTGGTGACATTTTTAATATCGCGAAGAATATATTTGCTGCATACCTTGAGATGATCCATGAGTTGCACAAGTTTATCGTACGCGGGTGGTTCGGTAGTCATAAGCGCACGCGCGGCGTTCAAGTGCGTGTCGAGTGCGTGCACGTCGCGAAGTTGTCGGTAGCGTTCACGAGTTCCACACAACAGCAAAAGAAGTTTGCGCACTTGTTTTCTACAAATAAAATAGCACATGTTCATACGGTACTGTAGAGATGATGTCATCTATGTAAACATAAGTGTAATCTTTATCGAACTGATATTTTAAGAATACTAAAGCGCCACGAATTTACACGATGCAAGTTTCTTACCATGATATCTTTTTCCTATCCCTATGATCTGCGTTCTTAATTTTTTTATTAGAACAAAGTTCTTTTTCGGTCCGCACTGGGCTCATGGTTAGGATATTTTTTTTATGGAATAGGGAAATTGAGCCATGACTCGCCACGCGGGCCCAGTGCAGATTGGTGTATTATATAAATATTTTTATCACATCTATTCGAAGAGCTAGTTTGTTCTCTATTTACAGGGACCAAAGTAGATGTTTAATTCCTAGGGACCGAAATAGCTTTTTAATTCCTAGGTACCAAGATAGCGTTTTAATCCCAAAGAGTAGGAAAAACTTCAAAGGCGCTTAATATATTTCCCCTTCGTTCATCTGTTTATTAGGTACTCAAAATCGAAATTATAAATAAATATGCCTTCTTCGTGTAGTGAGAACGAAATTATGCTAAAAAATGTGGTACCAGCTTTTATTTGCATAATCCTACACTAGATTCAAAAAACGCTCTCGCCTGTAAATTATTATTTTCTCCCTTAGTAAATAATCTCCTATTAACTCCGTTCCAATCAAGTGTACCACGACACTCACGATTTTTTTTGTTTGTTATTTCTTAGTTCCAAATCCATCAACTCCAAATTCCTTAAAAATTGCTGTAGTGCAGCATTATGTTCATCACGATTCTTGTAATTCACACTTTCAGTGTTCCATAAGCACTCATGATTACGATATATTTCAATGAACTTAATTAAATCAGCAGAACCGAATTTGAATACTTGTCTGGCTCATAGTTTATAAACATACCCAGATGTAAAACATTCACACTTGAATGAAATATTCACCCACGCAAATACGTAAAATTCTTGAAAAAACTGTCAAATAAATGGTATACGCACCACCAAGTCTGTGTTTAGACATGTCAATACTTGAAAGCAATAATCTCCTTACAATAATTGTATTGGTGTAAAGGAAAAGACATTTGCAATTCTTTTTTGTCAAAATTGATATTCAATAATTGTACGCAACCTTTTTACTATGTCCGCGAGTAAACAGTTGCTCAAAATTCTTGAAAGTCAATTGTTGCGCCTCCAAAATTGTATGCAATTATTGCTCTTGTATGTACAAGAAAATTGCATCGTATAAATGGCGCTTAATAAGGACTGCCTATGGGAAAATCAAATGACAAGTAATTTGTCATAAAGGAATAAAGCTAATACAAAATGAAGGATAAATAATATAAAACTTATTAGTTTGGAACTTCATAGTAACCGCAAATCAAACCAAATAAATGTTATGTACTTAAAAGAGCATGTAAAACTTACCTCAGTGGGGTTTGTTGGTTCATCATGTACTCGCAGAGAAGCGTACGCCAACGGCCATCGAAGTGAGCTGGATCACAGTGCTTATGTATTTGGCATGGTAAACGCAAAGCCATTTCCATAAGCAGTTGAGGGTAGTTATCGAAAACATCAAGCGCGTGGCCTAAAAATTTATGATATAATATAAAACAATCGGAACATTTTAAATCATAACGTAAACTACTTAGTAAATAAAGTATACGTACTTTTCACGCATTCTTTCACGAAGAAAGGTAGCATATCCGGTAGAGGTTGCGGAGGTTGAGGCTTTAATAGCTGCTGACCAGGTGGCGTAGTTCCAGAATCTAAAAAAGGCAAATTTTCATATTTATTTAGACTCAAATACACAACGCAATTTTATTTATGTATGTACTCCAATATACAATACTTTCAACATTTATACAAGGTTTAAGATTGTATTCTTCGATCATTATTTACAGTCCGTTACAGAAACATCCTGTTTTGGTGGTAGGGAAAGAAATATTGGGAGTGTTTTGGGATATACTTCCAATTTATATAACCTTTAGCTCAATTGTGTAGCTTTTTGGCTTTCTTCGATTGCACATTTTTTTTTGCCAGGAATGAGATAATATGTATTTTATGTCACATTGATACTTTTCTTTGACTTTGAAGGGGAAAGGATTTCCCCTTCAAAACCGTTAGTTGAGCGTTTAACCCCCCGCGTCTTGGTTACTCACTGCTCGTCTTTTCCTTCCAATACGGCAACAGCGCGGCGAGCACGCGGTAGCAATGATGTGGAGCACCAGCGCGTACTAACGCAGCAGCTGCCAATCGGGAAACGTGCGCGGCGCATGCAGTGCCCGATACTTCGGCCCGCGCGCCTGCACCGCCTGTGGCCGATGTCTTCCAGCGAGCCATTAGCACACCTGTTTGATAAACTTTGTATAATGCAACTAACTAAATCAGGGATGTCACGGAGGTAAATTTATCGGAACCTGAGTCGGAAGCAGAGTCGGGGTCAGCGGCAGAGCCAGCAGTGGTCACAAGAGAGATATTTTTATTTAAGAACGAATAAAAACATCATTCAGTTAACCTTTTTTCATTTTAATTATAAAATAACCTATTTTAATTTAAATTTACTCATTATTAACACAGACTCCCAACGCGACTGGTATGACCCAGTTCGTAACGGTCGACTCTGGCCGCCGTCGCTATTTGCTATGCTTCGATCTCCGATTAAAACCTCCGATTTAAGAGTTTCGGAGCCGAAATCGGAACCGTAGGTGTAATAATAATCGGAAGTTCCGCCTTATCGGCATCGGAGTCGAAGCTCCGTAACATCCCTGGACTAAATAGAAGAAGAAGAAAGTTTAACATATTGCGAACAAAAATAAATATAAGGAGATTTATATGTGTATATGGATCCAAAATGTAAACCAACGTGCGCGGCGCTCGCTGTACCAGATACATCCACCCGCGCGTCTGCACCGCCAGTGGCCGACGTCTTCCAGCGAGCCATTAGCACGCGTGTTTAATTATATTTTGTGTAACGCAACTGAATAAATACAAGAATCTAGTTTCACATGTTCCGAAACAGAACTTTTCATTAGGAGTTTTATATTTGTAGATCAAGAACTTAACACTTCTTATAACTCTTATTTTCTCACTTGCTGAAAAGTTTGTGATTTCTAGCGTTATATGACAAAAATAGTTTCAATATTGTTAAAACTTTTATGCAAATCAATATCTGACTTCAAACAAACATACATCATTTATATGATAAAGACAAAATTGTACTTACTGAGTAACCGCATAATGACAAGCTGCAGTTCTCGGCGATTAGTACGTTCATGTACAGGCGGGGTCACTTCTTCGCCCTGCATGTCCAACTCGGATACTAATAGTTCCAGCCGCATGATAGCGAGTTGCAGTTCACGCCGGACGGCTTTGTCTTCAGTTTGTGGAGTCTCTTCGCTTTGGATATCCAACTCAGCTACTAGTAGTTCTAGCAGACGTTCCAAAACGGCGCGGTCGCCTTCCACGCTCGAGTCCAAATCTCCAGCAAGCATGAGTATTACCTAACGTGAAATTTATATAATCAAACCTCGTTGTTACGCTCTGTTAAAAATAACATTTGTTGTTCCGAGTTAGGAAGACAATACTAAAATACCGGTTTGGACAAAGTGCCAAGGAAAATACACATTTAAAAATAATGATTTTAACTTTTCGGACACATTTGTTATATTTCTTAAATATAATATGAAAAGGACCAGCTAATTTATATATAGAAATGGTTCCATACTCACTTGCATAAACGGTATAGCTCGTACACCGGGCAAGTTCCTGAGCGTAGGCAACGCGTCGAGAGCGGCCGACAGCAGTGGCAACCGCAGTGCGTGTAGCTTACGCGCCTCATTTTCCACCTCGCTAGCCCGTGACGTCGATGCCACGGGATGAGACGACGTGGAAGGACCAGCTAATTTATATATAGAAATGTTTCCATACTCACTTGCATAAACGGTATAGCTCGTACACCGGGCAAGTTCCTCAGCGTAGGCAACGCGTCGAGAGCGGCCGACAGCAGTGACAACCGCAGTGCGTGCAGCTTACGCGCCTCGTTTTCCACCTCGCTGGCCCGTGACGTCGATGCCACGGGATGAGACGACGTGGAAGGACCGGCTGTTTTATAGTCCACAACTTTAGTGTCGTTTATTATAAAAAATATTAAGCTTCATTTGTGTCGGGTTACCAAAAAGGTGGTTAAAGTACAAAAAAATATTGTTACATCTTTTAAAAATGTTATTGGAAGGCTATTCTGTATATAGAAAACCACACACCTAATCCGTGACTGACCGATTCGTAATGCCATTAGCCGATTGAGACATTATTCTACTCTTCAGAAAATTCACAAGAAATCTAAAATTTCTTGAAAAGGGTGGGACAACAACCGTGTATTAGTATATATGTATCCATCTTTACGACTGGACTCCACCTCCACTTAATTTTAGGTGAGGTGGGATAATTTGTTGCACATCGTATAAAAATAAAAATAATATTGAACTGTGTTAGTTAGGAAAGCAAGTGTATGATTAATATAAAAAAATAGCAGCAAGAAAGTGAAGCTAGTTACTACAAAATAGTTCGAAGGGAGCTTCATAATACTAGACTGAGCAGGCTACGAAAAACAAATAAAATAATAAAAACTTGTTAGGAAAGCTATATAAAATGAAAGATTAATAAAAACACTAAACACTATTACTGTATATACTAGCCTGAGATGGCTACAGGCACGGCGATTGCATTTGTAGTGGTCATAGCTCCTGAAGGAGCCGACATCATTTCTCCTACAACATTATATAATGTTGAAAAATCGAACAGAGAACTTATGTATTTCAAAGATTGAAATTTAAAAGAAATATTATAAAATATAAGGAAATAAACTTACAATAATGTAAAAAATGCTACTATGTTTATTTAAATTATCCCCAATTCTCGCTAAATGAATAAATGCTATAATATTCATATTTAAAAAGCAAAGCTACGTATAACAGCTGCCTTATTTTGTGAAATTGGATTAAATTATATTTTTTCTACGCTACTTTTGAAGTCTATCTTATGAAAGCTGATAGAGGCGGCAAATTAAAAAATCTTTTATAACAAGTTTGAATTAAATGAAATGATATTTGTTTCTTAGGTTTTCACGCACATCACTCATTAAATAAAACTAGTTTTTACTAGTTTTTTTTACTAGTTTTTTATTTATTGACGTTTCGCAGCCTTTTCAGGTCTGCATCGTCAGAATAATGCAGACCTGAAAAGGCTGCGAAACGTCAATAAATAAATAAAGTTTCGTGCATTAACCCGTAAAAACTAGTTTTATTAAATGAAATGATTTATTTGCTGTAAATAGGGTAGATTATTTAGATTAGATAGGTTGGTCATCCAAAAGATTGTACTTAAGCCTATTAAAACCATTTCAATGGCGACGCGTTAAAATTTTACATTGCTTTTATTTGAATAAAAAATAAAAATCAGCACCTTCAGATATTAGTCGTCTATCAACTGAATAAAAGTGCAGTGGATTACTGTTTCTTACGTATTATAATTATTGCGAATTTTACCACTGCCATACTTAGCAACATTCTGATTACAATAAAGTACTTATAACTTAGCTTTATTCGAATAATATTGGTACATACAAGCGGAAGCGCTAGCATTTCTATATTTATTAGTCTGGTTATGAGCCTGATTCTGGTATGATTCTCTAAGTTTAAAAGTAATATTGACAATAGTTTATCTTTTCCATTCATTCTTTTTAGAGGATTATTTAAACACAGGTCGTTAGTTCAGATCCGGTTCGAAGGACCAAAACAATGTACGGGTTTTGTACACATTTAATGAGAGAGAGAGACACACAGAAGAGAGTCTTCATATTATTGAATGATATATTACTGATAACAATGCTTATGCTGCTTATGCTTATGAGAACGCGTAGTACGAATAATGACCGATGACGACCTGATTCATAATTGACCTTAATAAATGCATGTGACGTAAAATTCCGAACGGAACAAATGTACGCGTTTGCTCGTACAGATATAATATAGTCAAATTTAATTTTAGGTTTAGAGAATTATGCTAGAATCAGGGCCTGTATGCGTTCATAAGTTACCGTAAGCGCTGCTACGTCCAGACACGCCGCCGATGCTGTCGTTGCTCTCGGATCCAGCCGAGCCCGGTGCTTCATTGGGTGAAGTGCGAAGGGTGCTTCCGTCCGTGGCTGCAGTACTACCCTCGTCGTCAGATCTATTTATGGAATGATGTCGATTCAGTCTGATTCAATCTGACTTGGTGAAAAATTCCAAAATAATTGTAGGTAACAAACTAATGTTTGTTACCTACAATTATTTTGGAGAAGTGGCATTAAATACTAGTATTTATAGATTACTGTAAGCCGGCTTTAAGGCTCAAAATCCTTAAGCAATGTGATTTTTATCCAGGTTTGGTCCAAAAAAGAGTGGCGACTGGTTATGAAGCGACGTCATATGATTGCATTCGGTCTGCGAAGGAAGTTATTGGATGGGTGACCGGTATTTTATATCTTGAGCTCCACCGTACTTCGGTAGGCAAGATAAGCCGTTGGTTTCGGCTGGATGCAGCCAACGACTGCTAATGAGCAGAACCCACCAAATTGCATTGGGCCCGGGTGGTGGGTAATGGCCACGTCTCCCTATGCTATCTATAGGGAAGGCTTGTGCCACAGCAGTTGGGACAGACTGACGATGATGGTAACCATTCACATCATCTAGTTATGCAGCAGGACAGCTGAATCTGACCGAATGGCGGCTGATCCTGGAGAAAAAGTGCAATCGGTTAAGTGCGAGGGAAACAGTTACTCGCTGGGCGAGTGCGCATGGTCGGGCGCGGACGGCTGTTCCTGGAGAAAGAGCGCGACTGGCTGAGTGCGAGGGAGACAGTTACCCGTTGGGCGAGTGCGTATGATCGGGAGCGGGCGGCGGCGGCGCAGTGGGCGCGGGCGCGCGGCGCGGCTGCTCCTGGAGAGAAAGCGCGATGGCCAGCTCCACCATCGTCTCGTCGTCCGCGTCTGGAGGGATGTCCAGTAACGCCTCGAGACCTGAACGACACGAGAACCTATATAGTATAGTGCGATTCCAAGTGTAAGGCGGCTGTCAAGATGCGAGAAGTCCCTGAGTCATAGGTACGCGCGAGATGTCGCTGGGACATAGGTGCGCGCGAGATGAGGCTGAAACTGACGCAGAACCCGTCCAACAACTCTTTCAAATTCGTTTACACTGCTCATTTCACTCACTAGTTTGCCTTTAATGGTCATCGATGGATCCAAGTAATCATCGCTAAGTTGTGTTCGATGCTGACTATACAGCCGCTATAAGTTTGAACCACACTATAAGTACGATAGATGAGTCTTACATGGGCAGTTCTTCTTATGTAATTCAATGATGAGTGGCCTTTATTTATTTATTTATTCTTTATTACCATAAAAACAGTAAATGGCGGACTTAATGCACTAGGCATTCCTTTATACCACCGATGAGGTTTAGTGCTGTCACTTTTTACTTCAAACTCAACTTCCATTATGCTATAAAAAAGGTAGGCTCAATAGACTTTATTTATTTATGTTTCTGTAATATGCAACCTTTTTCTTTACGAAAAAATCACAAAATAATTTGATTTTATTATTCAGGTGTGAAAACATTACAGACAGCAAGATAGTTACGATTTGAAACGCAGAGAAAAATCGCTATCTACTATAAGCTAAGTGGTAACTGATGATTAACGCCAGAAAATTACATTATCAAAAAGATGATATCTAGGTACTATAACTTAGTAAAATTACCTGCATCAGGTGCGAGCAGCACCATTGGTTCCAACGAGTCGTCCACTTCCATGAACTGACTCTCCTGCGCTTCTTCGCGGGCGGCGCTAATATCCGCTTCTGATACTGCGGCCTCTGTGATCGAGCTTGTCGGCTGAGCTGTAGTCACTGATGAACCGGCGCCTATGTTTTATACCGTATTAATATGTAAAACTCATACTGCCTTATTACAAAATGTCGACTTAAGTTAAACCTGGTTTAAAACTGATGCTGCCACTTTTATTTGCTAAAAAGAAGAAAGATACAGCATTAGGTTTGAACCATGATTAACTTCAGTCCGCGTTTTGGAGTAAAGCAGATTCAGACCAGAATCATTGCATTTAAATAACTTTAAAAGTATGCATCTTATCAGTATTAGCAAAAATCCTTATTAAAAAAATTACTTATCTATCCAAGTTTTCTATTACTAAATTCAATGATCAATGTTCTGATATAAAGGTTGCATTATCCAAATAATTTTGTTGAGTTATAAACTAAAACTAGATCGACTAGACTTTTTTGTTAAACTTTGGTGTTTACACAAACAAACCTGGTGTATTGGGAGGCGATGGGATGTAGACTCGTCGCTTTTTGACTCTGGGCCTTAGAACTCTCATCATGGCTGCTTTCGTACCGAAGCTTATGCTTTGGTCTTCAGCCAGCAATAATGACAGGTATACTTGGTTGCCGAATTCAATCTGCATAATAAAAGACGTTTTTTATTGTAAGACAAACTATTGAGGATGATAGACATTAGCTTTTGACCTGGCTTGGCGTGAGTAGTGGGCGTAGATGAACCACTTTTTTTATCGTTACTGAAAGATACGCTAGCCTATATTAATAGGAAGTTGCAGGGGAAAGCGTCAAAAAGTAAAAGAGGGAAGAAACCACTTAGATGTGACATATTCGCCATGTGTCACAATTGTGAGGGAGATAGCAAGTTCCCACTACACTATCACTTCTTATCGTAAAAGCTGGGTAATTTATTACCGACTTACGAAATTTGTTTTCACAGAAAGTTATCTTTGTAACTTTCTAATAAAAAGGAACATCTTTAGGCAACTATCCTATGGAAGAGCTTTATTTAAAAAAAATAAGTTGGAACACGTGCAATATATCGTGCAGCGTATGCTCAGCATAGCGCAGCCTATACTGAAGGATTCGAGAGGGTCCTTGAATTGTGCAGCATTCCGCTAGATGCCAGAGAACGCTGGCAACAAGAGCTAGGAGGTGAAGCTCGGGTTATTCACTGTCTTCCTGGCCCGTCTTCCAAAGCACAGACCAGTCACCACATAAGTACTATAACAACATCATCAGCCTATTAGCCTGTCCCTTCTGGGGCTGAGGTTTTCCCTATGGATGGAATAAGGAGATTGGGTTATGACCCACCACGCGGGCCCAGTGCGGAATGGCTGGTGCTAACGACTACAGATAAAGCCAGGACCAACGGCTTAACGTGCCTTCCGAAGCACGGAGGAACTCGAGATAGAAGATTTTTGGTCACCCACCCAATGACCAGCCACTGCGAAAGTTGTTAAACTTCAAAATCGCAGATCGCAGCCAAACGCGCTAACCACCTGCGCCATCGAGCTCCTCACTACTCACTATAACATTGGTTTGTTCTAATAAATACTCACGCAGTCCAAGTCGGCGTGTGATTGGAACGCGTGCAATGTATCGGCGAGAGCATGCAGCGTATGCTCAGCATAGCGTAGTCCATATTGAAGGATTCCAAGAGGGCCTTGTGTCGTACGGCACTCCGCTAGTCGCCAGAGAACGCTCGCCACTAGAGTGATCAGGTGAGGCTCGCGCTCTTCACTGTCTTGCTGGCCCGTCTTCCAAAGGACTGACCAGTCACCACATAAGTACTATAACATCGGTTTGTTCTAATAAATACTCACGCAGTCCGAGTCGGCGTGTAATTGGAACGCGTGCAATGTATCAGCGAGAGCATGCAGCGTATGCTCAGCGTGACGTAGTCCATATTGAAGGATTCCAGGAGGGCCTTGTGTGGTACGACACTCCGCTAGTCGCCAGAGAACGCTCGCCACTAGAGCGATCAGGTGGGGGTCGCGCTCTTCACTGTCTTGCTGGTCCGTCTTCCATAGCACTGACCAGTCGCCTAACAAGAACAATATACCCGAAATTAAATGAAGAACATTAACTTCTAGGCTGTACTTGAAATTATGAAATCTGGATGAAACTGTGGTCCATGCGGACGAAAACACTATTGTTCTATCGAATTATGATCTAGCCTAATAAGCTTTTAAGAAACTTGAAATATTACCAATTTGCATTTAGAATAATGCCGTCCTAGTTGAATTTAAATTCCAAACATTCCAATAAGCTTAAAGATATTTGGTAAATCATGAATCTGTTACACTTAGCTTAGACATGTAGCTCAACATCAAGTAATTTTTGAAAATTTAAAGAAGTACCCTAACACGAACCAATATCAAATTCATCATTGTCAATTTTTGTAGGGAATATTGAACAGCAGCGCTACAACGGACGTAACGAAAACTAAAATTCAGTACACATTTGACGTATATCTAGATCGAATACAACTATTCGAATACGATAATGATTCGTGCTAAGGGTACAGATCTCCTTTATTTTTCGCCATAACACGGAAGTATTTACAAATCTTAAGGAAACGCAATATTTTTGTGCTTCATTTCTAGTCCTCTCGTTGACGGGTCCATAATGACATTAAATTATTAACTGATTTGTAAACCACTTAATTTGTACACATAGATTATTTAAAATTTGGATTTGATTATTTTTGACAATAGGGAAGATGCAATATTTTTATTTTTGTTTTCATTTTAAAGAATTCCATGTAGAATAAACCACAGATATATTAAAAAATAAAACATTATGATTTATCGGAAAAAATGCGATTTTAAATTGACAATTTAAATTTTCGCGCGAAAACGTACCTATGGTTGCGATGACGTCACTCCTGTCTGTCACTGGTCGTAATTGTTCGTTGCTGGCTTTAAATTTTCATACTTTGGCATATTTTTTCGAATTTCGAAATATTTTTTTGAAAAATTTAAAATGGACTATCCATCAACATCATGTGATCATAACAATGCCACTAATATTCCGAAAAAAAACCGTGTTGACTCATGTTTTATGCCAATCTACTTCAACAAAGTTCACAAATAAATTGCTTTTGACTGGAACTTCTGACCCAAAACTGAAAAAAAGTGGTTTCAAGCTGCGAAGAGAAATGACAATTATTCTCCAAAGACCTTTTTCGATGCTGAGAAGATCACTTTGACGTAAGTTGGCGAATATACTTGTTATATGCTTAATTAATCTGCTTTTACGTAAAAACGCATTAGTAACCTACCTAATACTTACAAAACCTGTCTATAACATATTTTTAATTTTACAGTAGGAGAATGACGTCGAAAATTAGATAAAGTTTAAAATGTGTGGCACAATCTTCACATTGGCAGGACTGAACCAAGCTTTGCGTTTCATTTAAAATAACTGTAACACGATAACCTTCTTTACGTAGTTTATGCTCCGGAGAACTCAACCTTTTACTGTACATAATTTTCCATCTCTTTTAATTTGGACATAGCCGATTGCATTATCGCCGTAAGATTTGTAGAAGCCGCTGAATAAAATACGAAGTTTAACAACTACGATTTTTACATACCGTAGTAATATAGTCCCTTTCATTTCTACACTTGAAAACTCTGCACTTTGGACAAAATAAGTTATAACCATGTCAACGCTAACTCTTGGTAAATTCCTGGAGTCTGTTTTAATAAACGCAACTTCCATTTTTATTAAATGTAAAAAAACGCAATAAATATTCCCATAAAATAATATTTACTTTAACAACCTTAACCTCAAAGAAGTTGTCATAACAGGAGTGACGTCACTAAACGCTGATTGGTGTTTTAAAATACGTTCCGTTTCAAGTACTTTTAATTCGTAATAATTATTAAAAAACCACATTATGTGAAATAAAAACGTTGCAGTGGCATTTCTTTTATATTTTTTTAACATTTTAATCATAAAATTTTCATAAATATTATATATGCATCTTCCCTATTGTATGAAACGAAATTATGTAATGCTAATTGTAATCTAATCTAATTTATAATAATAATTGTTGTGATATTTTATTGTTTCATGCATATATTGATGATAATTCCATGATACTTATTACTACTTGTTCATTATGGAAATAAGGAGGCTATATTATCTTATTATCAATTCTAGTTCACATACCGTTCGTAGGTCTCGGCGGTGTAGGGGCAGTGTACGCAACTAGATGACTAGGCCGAGCCACCGCAACGCCCCGCGCCAATAGTACGAGCCGGAAGAACGCCTCTGGATCGATGTTACGCGGATCCGATATGTCGCGTAGCTCTTTCAGCGACGTGCATACGTATTTCAAGATAGCTTGGTCCTGTTGTGAAAAGAGTGTGATGTGAGTATATCAATGAGCTAATGTTGAGATCTGTAAGTGCCTGTTCACATTTCCACGTCACGTCGTCGTTAACGTGAAATGGTGTTGGTAACGTATCAGACTATCAGTGTATAGGAAACAAGTATGACGATATCAATTCTATACTATACTCTTTGTGGCTATTATATTGTAATGTGAATTCTTGTTCTCCTTCAACCATTAGTGTTATCAAAGCATCAAAGATAGTAATAAAATATATGATACTTTCATACAAACAGACCACATAGGTACTTTGTACTGATGATAATGTGAGCGTGCAAGTAAGCACTGGGAGGATCGCAATGTAGCTTTATAGCAGCTTCAGCGCATCCGTAGCGGCCAGTTCGCTTATCAAAACTCTTAATACGCGCACGGACGGCCCCTTCAAGTATTACGCACCTCCGTCAGTAGCACCCACAGCTGCGCTAGCGGCTGCGCCCGCGCCATCGCCCTGTTTTATTATTAGAACTCAAGTTTTTTTTTTTCAAAACCACATACCTTGTACTGATGATAATGTGTGTGGTGCAACGCCCGTAGTAAGCATTGTGCCCTTGCGTGCAAGTGAGCACTGGCCGGAGCGCACAGTAGCTTTCTAGCAGCTTCAGCGCCTCCGTCGGTAGTGCCTACAGCTGCGCCCACACAAGCGCCCAATTCTAGCGCTTCGAGCGCTGCACACGCTAATCGCTCTAATGAACTAGGTTTCCAGGCACCGCTGCTTCCATCTGCTTCCTAAACAGAATAGGGAATATTTGACAAGATAGAGAAAACTATATCAAGTTATTTACTGACATTTATGGAGTCCGTAAAAGGTCTAAGGGATGCCTATTCATCATTTAATGATTTTTAGAAAAGTTATTATTTGTTTTCTCAGAATAGTAAAATTACTGCTATTATTCATACTCAATACAGATGCAAGCGATTGGTACTTTATTTATCATACAGTCAAAATTGGTCAATGTTAGAATCAGTCTTTTTGAGCGAAAATCAAAACAAAGAAAATGAAATATGGTTCTGTTGTTTTTTTAACTTAAATTACCTGTGCTATTTTAGTGGACGATGGGCAACTTGAAGGATCTTCATTTTCCTCTGGCCATCCAAATTGCTCCTTGTTCTTGCCGTATATCTAAAACAGTTACATTATTTAGTTATAACTAATTGTGTATTCAGTAACAAACAATATGTGATTGTTGCGCTTAGAGGATTATTATTACCTTTACAGAATCGACCATCGTGACTCCGTCTGGGTCTTGCGATGGCCCAAAGTTGATGACTAGTTTCTTATCTGATTGCAAGGACTCTTCTCTTGTCAAAGGAATGTCAAACCACCGATTTCGGACTACTATTTTTTGAATGGTCCTTCCGTAAACCTAAATATAAAAAACCGGTAATTAGTAAAATCAATTATTGGAAACATGTTTTTGTCTAGTTATTATTAGTTACCATACCTCTACATAAGATGGAGTACGAGCGATATCTTGGCTTCCTAGTAGTACTCGTATACCACATACGACCATATTAGGATCAGAATTGACAACTTCCATTGTGAAGCCGCTCATTTTTGTAGAAACAACATACAATCCTAAAAATAAGAATCTTCTAAATATGATGCTGATATATTCGAAATGTAACAAAGAAATGGTGATAACTATATTTAATATGAATGATAAATAATAATAAACTTTAAACTTTAATAAAACACTATATAAATAATAATATAATGATAATAAACTAAGGGTGACTACCATAACAATAAAATGAAGCCAAACATATTTTAACTATTAAATACCTGTAGTGTTGAGGCGATGCTTGATCTGTGCGGTGTTGTAAACCTGAAGGAGGTCGTTGCCTCCGAACTCGATGTCCGTCATTGCCACACAATGCTCGAAGAAGTCGATTGGGAACTGTGGCGCACCGTTTGCGTTTGCCTTTATGGCCGACTGAGAAGTAAAAAATAGTATTTACAAATAAGAACAGGTATACAAGATTATTATAAAGAAACTGAGTAAAAACACAACCACCAATCTGACAACTGTCAAACGTGCACCTTTATTGTCTTGCATAGAACACATTTAAGTGATTTTATATCTCAGAGCACCTATCTTTTCAGACAAATAGCAACAAAAATACCCCAAAATACAGTCTTATCTGACAGATCTCACTATCCAGCTCAAAGGATCAAACCTTGACGTTCAAGAGGAATTGTTATAGATTCAATCATAGATTAATAGTAGTCAGTAGCCGGTGTACTCGGTGTGGGCGTTGACGGGGCAGCATAGTGCGTACCTGCTGCGCCTTGCCCTTGGCGTGGTGCGTGAGTAGCCGCGGGCGGCGACGCGGCGCGTGCGTGGGCTGTATGGCGGGGGACAGCCAGTAGCCGGTGTGCTCCGCGCTGGCGGCGTACATGCGTAAGCTGCCGTCCTCGCACAGTAGAATCAGGGTGCTTCTTTGCTCGCCGCCGCCACCGAACCAGTGTCGCACCGCTACCATGTCCGTTATCTTCGCCTTAGCTGGCACCACCTGTGGTGAATCAACGATAAACAAATAAGTTACAAAGTATACCGATTTTTAATGAAACTGTAAATTGTTTTTAATGAACGTGAATTTCATATTATCTTAGATTTAAGCGATTAATCCAAAAATCTATTTACCTTGACCTCCTGCAGATAGATGTTGGTGGGCGTGAGCATCAGCACCACGGGGTTGTTAGAGGCCTGCATGACGGCGGTCACGAGCCCCGGATGTCCCGCCACTTCCGCCCACTGGCACAGCGATTGAGCACCACCCTGTTTGCCGCGCCCGCCCTCCTTTTGCGACGACCCGCAGGAAACGGTTATCATCGCAGTGCCTGCAGACATACGTAAGTTAAAGAAAACTAGTAACTCGTCCTCGCTGCACTGCACGGCTTTCTGGATATACATCATTTATAGAAAACAAGCGACCCACCCCGGCTTCGCAAGGGTACCATGGCAAATATACAAAAGTATCGTAATGTATTATACAAATAAACTTTCCGCTTGAATAACTATCTATTGCTGAAAGCTGTATTCAAATCAGTTCTGTAGTTTAAAAGAACTAGACGTACAAACAACAGGAGCAACTTTGTTTTATAGTCCGTAAAGATTCTATTACTAGAAAAAAAAACATTCAGCCCAGTGCCTTTTGCTGTCCAGGCAGATGAACTAACCGATAGGCTGCCGAGACTTACTAACTTAATTATTTTTATAATTTTATTTATTTTTTAAGCATTTAACTGCTAGATGTTTAAATCTAAAGAAAAGTTTACTAGAAAAAAATCCACGCGGACCAGGCTGCTGCAAGGCAGCGCCATCTCTTCGCATTGTAGTCAACCCACAATGTCAAATGAATACTTTTTCAAGTATTAAACATTTGAAAGAAAAAATAGCAATTATAGTTATGATTTTATTTATTTTTTAAGCATTTAACTGCTAGATGTTTAAATCTAAAGAAAAGTTTACTAAAAAAAAATCCACGCGGACCAGGCAGCGGACCGGACCAAAGATGTATAAAAATAAAGCCCCAATTACAATAAGACTGAAAAGCAAATTCAACTCGAATGATCATCAATGAGATTGTGTAGCTGTGCGGGTGATTATCCAGTTTTAGGTCTCTTTAGCATCTTGCCGTCCCTAGCCCAGTGAGCACACGCTTATTTTTCTGAAACCAATAGATACAACTTACCTTTCACGCTATCTTCGACAGTATTCAGTGGCGCAAGGAAACTTTTCCCTTGAGCATACGAAAAGAAGAGCATTTTGAGCGTATGCGAGTAGTATATGGATACACCGCCTCCACCAACTAGTCCGGCTACATCCTGTTGAGACAAAAGTAAATTTGAAAATGACGAGTTGATTAAAAATATTGCTTGAGCACCATGTTTTTTTTGTTTATTAAAGGTGTTTTATTTTGTTTACCTGTATTTCAGGATGTAGAACTTCAAGCGTGTTCGTAACATAGAAGGTGCCAAGAGTAGCACGCGATTCTTCGCTCATGGGCTGCCAATAGATGTGGCCTGCTGAGCTCATGCATAGCATGTGCATTACACCGTCTTGGTTCACAAATGTTACATCTCGGACCTAAAACAGTATACAATCAGGTTATTATATTCTAAAGCATTATTTAACTGCTAGGTTTATAAACCAAAAAAAATTTTTAACTAGAGATAAATATGACTTGGTCAAGGTCAAGGATTTAAACCGGCGCTTTCTGCAATACAAGTGGCTAATATACATATTAGTTTGTTTAAAGGCAAAATTAAGTCACAATTAAAATTTTAAAAATGCGTATTCTGATTAACTTGTTTGTTATGCCTTCGTTTTACTTGGTTATTCGCGGTTGCTATTTGTAAACTTGACAACAGTCTGTCTTTATCACTTTATAAGGAATGAAAAGGACAGACCGATGTCAAGTTTACAAATACCAAGCACGAATAACCAAGTGAAGTGGTGGCATTAAATAAATAAATACAACAAACCTTCCCGCTTGGCACAAGGAAGTGATGCATCGGTTTGTTGAGATCCTTGCTAAGGTCAAATATCTTAACGAAATCGGAGGTTACAAGCGCCAGTTGAGTCTGTGAACCAGGCAACCAAATTGCCTTGATCACGTAGTTGTTGCCCTCGAGAGCGGTGTTCAATACAAGGTGGTCTGATACAGCACCTGTTATATAAAGAAAGCTTTGTGGACAAACGAAACGATACTGATTTATATTCAATTGAAAACTTATATATCAGAAAAATATATAAACACTAAAAAATTTTTTTTATATACCATCACGCAGTGTTTTTTATTTAACAAAATATCAAATCGAATTTGTTATTTCAAATATTTCCGAATGACTAATAAATAATCTAAATTAAGAAGAATATGAGAAAAAAATATCAGCTCAAACACAATATTTAATCATAGAAAGGAATTGTTTTGTGATGATATTATGAAAGTATAATTAATAACAAATAAACTTACCGCCGCTGTTGAATGTTAGCACGTGGCATTCTTTAAGTCCACACACGGCAAGCAGGTCTTCGTTCCACGGATTACCGCTGAGACTCAGTACCGTGAATGGGATCGGGGCCGAAGACAGCCGTGTTAGTGTCAACTTGTGTTTAGACGAGTCAGTTTGCTTCAGCAGAGCAGACAGTTGCAGTACAGTTATTTTACCTAAAAGACAATATAAAGTCATATCATACAATTCAACACATACACACACAAAGGATAGGATAAAAGATTTATAAGCACTTTTACTTTTATATACAACAAACACTGAAAGTAAAATAATATATTACATAAGTTGTATAAAAAAATTAAAATACTTCCTGGAAAAAGATAGGGTCATAAATTTTCTAGTACAGAACTATAGTTTCTGATTAAGAGCATCTAACTTTGTGATAATACTCCATTATTTGTTCCGTGATAAAAAAAAAACTTTTCGCATATAATAAGCAGTTACCCTTCTCATGTGAAACTGCCAAGTGTTGGCGGCGACCTTGCGGCGATGCGAGGCAGCACATTGCAACTCTTCGTAGCTTGTGCGTAGACATCAACTGCCTGATTGTCTGGCCGTTCTCCCCTGTGTACGACATGCGAACGTTCTCGAAAGCGCCTTCTCGGGAGCCTAGGGAAGTAAACGTACATTATCAAGTGTAAGTAAGTAGTTTAAAGACCGTACTCAGGAACGTCAACTATCTTTTTATCCCGTTTCTCATTACAATATCCCAAAGAACGATAATTGAGCCGAATACAAGTTGAATACCAGTACATCACTCGATATCCGCTCATTACGCTTTTGACGATTCGAGTAAGAGACGCGATGTGCATGTCGAGTATCGCAAGCGAACGCGTAGAACACCGGAATCCCAGTGTGCGTGTCTCCATATATCAAGACTAGATTCGTTTGCGCGTATCGTTATAAGTGCCAGGGGTTCTTTTCTCTTTCTCCGAAACGAATTTTCGATAAACGAAGTTCAAACGAAATTTCATTTCGCCAATTTAAGGTTATACTTAATTTGAACGATAAACTATCAAATTGAGGCTTTCATGGAGTAGACTTAGAAAATCTACACCGCAATCTATATTCCGACGACGAATATTATTATAATTAAAAACGAACCAGAAACATAGTAAGAAAAGTGCGTTTTGCGCGTGTGTGTAGTTTCGATCGAAATTTTGTCTTTCGTTGAATTAAGAGTAGGCCTCCGGGGCCGTTGCGTGCGTCCTTTCGCATAAGGATTCCAGCAGTTTGTTCGTGCATTATTCGCATATATGATTGGTGTTTCACTCACCTAACGTGGGCAGCATAAGGTTATCCGTGTGGGTGAACATCTTCTCGCCGGGGTGCAGTTGTGCCAGGGCCCGTTGCTCGTGTCCTTTGGCATACGGATTCCAGCAGTTTGTTCGCCCATTATTCGCATATTATGATTGGCGTTTCACTCACCTAACGTGGGCAGCATAAGGTTATCCGTGTGGGTGAACTTCTTCTCGCCGAGGTGCAGTTGTGCCAGGGCCCGTTGCGCGCGTCCGTGCGCACCGGTGGGAGCGGTCCTTTCACACGCGGCGCGTACCGGCCCGCATAGAGATTCTAGCAGTTTTCGTATACGCTCCAGGCACGCGTTCCAACCGCCGTACGATTGGAGGTAGCTGCGGCAGCCTGCATGGGGAAAGAAACGAAATAATCAATAACGTTTTTTTGTTATTATCGCCAGTCTATTAATATGCTCACTGCTGGAATACTGGTCTTCCCTATGGAATAGGAAGATTGGATTATCATGATCATGTCCTACTATGAAGGTTCAGTGCGGATTGGTGTGCTAACAACAGCAGACAGGCTAGCCGTGCCTTCTGAGGTACGGAGGAGCTTGAAGTAACAAATATTTGGCAGCCCATCTTATAACTGGCCATTGCGAAAGCAGCTTAACGTCCACGATCGTAAATCATACGTGCTCAACACGGTGCTATCGGCTTTCTCCGCCCCGTCCTCGTCCACGTTACAATGCCGATCTCCCACCAGTACCTTAAGCATTAACCACTATCGAAGTTTTACGTTTTCGAGTCCAAAACGTCATCGTCAAATTTTGTATGGAAACTTGAACAGCAGCGCCACAAAGGACGTAACGAGAACTAAAAATCTGCACACATTTTACGTATATTGTAACGTTATGCGTTACATAATCATATTATTACCCTAAAATACTCTTAAATTTAATATTTACAATGCCTAAAACTAAATAATAACACTATTAGATTTAATTCTACACTAAAAAACTACTTATAAAAATAAAACACAATTTTATTATAACTAAATTATTTACAAATCATAATAATATTAATAAACAAATTGGCTATTTACAATAATAAAACTATTCACTGACACTAAAATGCAACATAAATTCATCAAGCGGATTTGTATACGTAAACTCGCGCGATGCAACATTTTAGTGCTCCAAGCAGGATCTTTTGTTCTTGCTAAGATAAAACTGCATGACCGGCCGCCCGCGAATTCATTTTTTTTCTCGATGTAATTTGAGCGGACTTACGTCACAGAGAATTTTATGGTCGCTAATACGGGAAAATTTAATCTTTAAAACTCGTAACCAATATAATATTTTTTCGTGATCGTCACTCAGCGTTCCTTAAATAAATAATATCATAAATTATTGTGAAGTGAGTGTCGACCGCCCCGAAACTGGGTAAGTGGTAATTTTAATGTCGCAGGCAGTTAAAGTAGTTATTAGTGTAAGAATTCATTTTCCAACCCAATGTTTGTGTTTAACATGCATTATGCATATTAATATAAATCACATTTAGATTGATTTTGCATACTTTTGGTACATAAAAGATTTCATTGTCGTTTAATTCCACCCTCATTTTTCAATAATTTTAAATATACGTAAATTTCATTATCAATCCATTTATTTGTCGAAATTGTAATCTCCGTTTCTGATTGTGATGATTCCACGGCACTACTACTACAATTAGGTACTTTCTTTTACGACGTAGTGCCCGTGGATGTTCGCAAAATAGTACTGGACCGCTTGTAATTGTATTCTAATGGCGCGTTCCAGGGTTCAACGCTCGGGATACCAACTTGGCCGGTATCACCTCACAGCCCCTTCTTTCACCACACAAGAGTACTCTCTGCCGGGCTCAGCTACCCGTTCCTGCAGCCTCCAGTCGCCAGCGGTATCCATAACGCGACTCCCGGGATCACCAACTACCCGGCGTTACACAGGAGAGTACCTGAACCGACGAAGCTAAAGAACTTGTGTGGATTAAGTGCTCAACTCCACCTGTTATAATTTGTATTTTCTCCGGGTCGAGTTTTTTCATTAAATTTTTAATTTGCATGGTATCCTGTTGTCTCATTTTCTCATTCTCTGACCTTAGTTAGTAGACCAGGGTAACCGTGACAATATCTAGATCGAATTCGAATACGATAATGATTCGTGCTAAGGGTACAGCTCTTACCTTGTATGTTGGAGGCAAGCACGGGCCGCCTAGGGGGCGCTAGGACCGCGGCGGGCGCGGGGCGGGAGGGGCGGTGCCTCAGGGACGGAGCGGGGGAGCTTCTTCTGCCCCGGTACCGCTAGCACAGCCCCGACCTCCGCCCAGGGCTAAGACGATAATGATTCGTGCTAAGGGTACAGCTCTCACCTTGTATGTTGGAGGCAAGCACGGGCCACCTAGGGGGCGCTAGGACCGCGGCGGGCGCGGGGCGGGAGGGGCGGTGCCTCAGGGACGGCGCGGGGGAGCTTCTTTTGCCCCGGTACCGCTAGCACAGCCCCGACCTCCGCCCAGGGCTAAGACGATAATGATTCGTGCTAAGGGTACAGCTCTCACCTTGTATGTTGGAGGCAAGCACGGGCCGCCTAGGGGGCGCTAGGAGCGCAGCGGGCGCGGGGCTGGAGGGACGGCGCCTCAGGGACGGCGCGGGGGCGGCTTCTTCTGCCCCGGTACCGCTAGCACCGCCTCGACTTCCGCCCAGGGCTACGGATCGCTTCACTAATGCTTGACAACTGCACAAGAAAAATAATACTGTTTTACAAGGTTTTTAGAAATATCTTTATTCCATTAAACGCAAAAGAGGCAACTAGCGTTACTTAATCATTCACAAATTTAACACATTTCTTACTATTATTTAATAGAAAAAAAAAACAAAAAAGTCTAGCTTATAACACTACTGATCTAGAATCGAGTTTGGCTCCACAGTCGCAGAAGTTTCCGAACGTCGCATTTGACACATGGTGACGAACGCGAGCGCACATTGTACAAACGCCCAGGCCTTTCACCATCTACTAGTACTGGTTCACAAATATATATCGAGTCACTATCCTGTCTAGATTCAGGAACACTATTCACCTAGAATCGGGTTTGGCTCCACAATCGCAGAAGTTTCCAAACTTCGCATCGAAACATTGTGACGCGGTGACAAACGCGAGCGCACATAGTACAAACGCCCATGCCGTTCGCCATCTTCTCGTACTGGTTCACAAGTATATACTGAGTCACTATCCTGCCCAGTTTCAGAAACATTTCTCACCTAGAATCGGGTTTGGCTCCACAGTCGCAGAAGAAGTTTCCGAACTTCGCATACGACACATCGTGGCCGCGATGACAGACGCGTGCGCACACTGTACACACGCCCACGCCATCCACCATTTTGCAAGTGTGGCAATGATACCAGTGCTGGTTCATAAACTCGCGCTGGGTCACAGTGAATGTGCACAGCTTGTACTGGAGCATGGCGTCTTCGTCCTGCCAAATATAAATAATGAAAGCACATTTTAGGGACACCGAAAGAGCTTAGTACAGATTGCGTCAATCTTCATGTCCGCTCTGAACACTGTACAATTCGGGATGCAATAACATAAGACAGGTACCTATATAGAGAGACGAAGAATGTGACCATCTGAGCATCTTCAGAGCGGACTAGAAGTTTGGCGAGATCTGTATTTAAGTTGAGTAGTAAAAAGCGGCATTCGTTTGCTTATGAAGTACTGCCACACCGTGAGGTAAGACGAGTTGTAATTTTCATTGAAAATATACGCAGATGATCTAACCAATAAAATACCTGGCTACTCATTATGAACTTCTCAATACGTGTAACTATAAAATTATATAATGCCAAACTTAACATCTAAAATAGCTAAATAAACTCACCGAATCATCGGCGCTGGTATCATCATCATCTTGCTGCTCGTCAGTGTAGTCGAATTCAAATCCGAGATCAGAGGGAGACTCCCAAGTGGGACTGACCGAACGCCACGCTAAAAATACACAAAATGGACTCCATAAAAATGATTATTTATCATCGTGTTGTGTATTTCAATTACAAAAAAACGAAATCTATAATTCTGCTTTCAGATATGCCGCTGAAACGTTTTTCTAGCTAGGTAATATGACGTGTATGTGACAATAGATAAAAGATTATTTCTTTTTCGTGGTTTATTAGTAAAATTATCAATATTTTTTTGTAATTCATTCTCAATACAAATGCCAACAATTGGTACTGCATTTTTATTACTGTTAAATACCCTATAGTAGTTAAAACAAAACTCACTGTGTGGCTGAGAGGTGTTGATTGCGTGCAAGGCGTCCGTAAGGTACGAGAGTAGAACGCAAGCAGACTCGATTTGAGGCGCCAAGTTGCTGTCCACTTGGCCTTCTTCTAGCTTTTCCAATACTTCTTGGCTGCTCAAATTGTCAACGCTGTTAAAAAAGGTTTCATTGTTAACAGAAGAACTTAGGTATATTAAAAAGTAAGTTTAAGAGTTATTGTTTTTTAAATCTATATTGAGCTGTGTTGGAGTCTCATAACTGTGGGCTGGTATTTTGCGTCATTACTTTTCTATACATTTTTGTTTTTTCAGACGGCTGAAACTGTGCAAAGTCGGCGGTAACCAATGGTGCGACCAAACACAATAAATGAGCCGTTAATGTCGACGCTCGCGCTGCCCATCAATTCTACATAATAAGTTTTGCTGCGTTTATCAAAGTTGCTGTCGCACCGACCCGCACCACCTCACTCATCTACCATTTCATTAGTCAAATTATATGACACGATAATTAAGCACACATTGCCTTTGATGTTGCAACAAAAGCATCTCCCTCTCGCCGCACACACAATCAATGTAGACAGCGTGCGGGCCATACGAGTATAACACACACACAGTACGCTCGCGAGTACTGACCATGCGGCGAGCCGGGACACACCGGCGGGGAACGGTACCGGTAATCGGCGCCCGCCTTCGCGTCTGCCAGGCGACACATCTACCTCTCACCACTCACAGGATCAATGAAGACAGCGTGCGTAACATATAACACACAGCACGGGCGCGAGTACTGACCATGCGGCGAGCCAGGAAACGAAAGCGGGGAACAGGTGCCGGTAATCGGCGCCCGCCATCGCGACAGACGTCAGGCGACACCTCTCCCTCTCACCGCTCACAGGATCAATGAAGACAGCGTGCGTGCCATATAAGACACAGCACGGGCGCGAGTACTGACCATGCGGCGAGCCAGGACACACAGGCGGGGAACAGGTGCCGGTGATCGACGCCCGCGTGCACGTCTACCAGGCGACACGTCTCCCTCTCACCGCTCACAGGATCAATGAGACAGCGTGCGTGCCATATAACACACAGCACGGGCGCTAGTACTGACCATGCGGCGAGCCAGGACACACAGGCGGGGAACAGGTGCCGGTGATCGGCGCCCGCGTGCGCATCTGCCAGGCGGCACATCTCACGCACCAACAGCGGCGAGCACGCTCTCTCGCCGCAAACCACGATCAACGTAGACAGCGTGCGGTCGCTCACTTCCTCGCCGCTGCGTAAAAACGAAGATAGAAAAATAACTATCTAATAGGTAAAACAAATAAGAAAAAAAGGAACGACTGCATTTAAATTAGGATTGAGCTGAATTTTAGCTGCGGAATTACGGTTTAGTAATAATTAGCTTGTGTACAAAGATGCTACTATAAAACAATGAAGATTGCTTAGGCACCCGTATTTATGTCATTATAATATCGTGATAGAAAGCAATTTATTCAGCAGTAATGAAGGAAGACAACTTATTTATTTCCTCACCAATGCATCACGATGTGCTTGCACAGAGCCGTGAGCAACGCTGCGTTGTCATTGGTAGAGTCTGTCAAAGTGGCAGGCGTGACGTCAGCGGCTGGAGTGGCAGCGGCGCCCGCTGTGCCTTCCTTGCTGCCCGTACCTTCGGACCAACTGCCATTCTCTGTAAAAGCGGCAGAAGATAAAGACACTGGCTTCTTAACAGCTCCCTTCTTTCTAGATATCTAGTCAATAACAAATTGTATGATTGTCAGGTAATGTATGTATCAAAGTATTTACCAGATTGTTGTGTTGTGTCCGATTGGGGAAGAGGTGCGGGAGATCTGAAACAAACGAGATTTTCCAATGATTTTCTACGAAAAACGCTTCCACCATAAAAACGTGTTAATGGATATACCTTTAAAAGGTGGCATTAGAGACCAGAGGACATTGGAAATAACAAAGCTTCAATTAAAGAGGCAGCATATTTAGTATTCATTTTCGTAATTCAAATGAGAGAATGCAAATTGCTTACGGTGCATCGAAAACAGGTAGATCCGGATCTGCACGTTGCGCGGGCGCATCGGTCCTCTGCGTGGTGTCACTCTCCGTGCGGAACACGCTACGTAGGGCATTGCGTAATGCTAACGACGCAGGGTTTCCAGTCTCCGGCGCCGAAGACGTGGGAGTCGGCAACTCTGTCTCCGTGGGTGAGCCGTTGGCAGTGCCCGATGCGCCGTTTGACGACGCTAAAGAAGTTTTTATTTTTAGTCTAGAATACGATCAGATGCCCAAGCACGAATTATTGATTTTTTTAATATATCGCAACGTCAAAGTTCTTATGAAAACTAAGCAGCGCCCATCTCCTTAATGTACGTGAGAACAAGCTAGTTTTTTCCATACAATTTGAAGATGATGATACGTTACTGAGCTGTCAATAATTCGTGCTTTGGCCTCTGCATTATTAGACTGGAGGCGAAAGTAAAGCCTCCAAAAATACGCCACCACCTGACTTTCTGAGCGAGTTATTCAACTGACATAGTTTCTATCTAGGTACATAATTGTATACAACATAGAAAACAAATTAAAGTGATATAACATTAGAAGATAAAGAGTATAAATTGGGCGCATTTATGTTGAGCATTTAATAGGGTATTTGACAAGTTTTAGAAAACGATCTCACGTTATTTACTATTGTTTATGGAATCCGTAAACATTTATATTTATAATTCTGTTGTGTAATTCAATTTTCAAGTTGCCGCGAAAATTTTTCTCTGGACATTACGGCATCTCACTAGTGTGTGATGTCAAACGACTGTCATTAAAACGTTAAAAACGATACAATGTAATGTCACTTTGGCCCGAAGTTTAATAGCGTGGCTTTGTCTTGGTTAGTCCCAAGTGTTTTCGGTCACGTGACCACGGAGTAAAAAAATATTTCTATATAATGATTTCATAGAAAAGTTATTAGTTATTTGTTCTTTCAGAATAGTAAAATCAGATACATGGATTCGAAGTATTAGAATGAATAAAAACTCTACTCACCAGGCGCTCTCAAACAGATGTGGGATAAAAGACTAGAAAGTTTTTGTTGGTCAGCTACCCCAATGAACTTGCATACTGATATGCAGAGGACACTATTCAGCTCTCCGCCTTGGCAGCCGTTGAATATTTTGATGAACAATCTGTACATAGACACATCGGAATTATTTAAATTTAATTAAAGGTATAATTGAGTTTGACAATTTCTTTTTTCATTAACTTACTTTATGACTCTTTCTGAGTATGGATTTCTAGCGTTTGGAGCGGTCAGGAGGATCTTGCCTAGGGAATATCCTGAATTGTCAGCGAAAACGGTTTCGTATGCCAGTCTCCCTGCTGGGCGGTCCAATATTTTCTCCCAGTATTTGACCTAAAACAAAAAAAAAATATAACTGACTTTAAGCGGTGTAATCTAACGAGATTCTTGGAAAAAGAAAATTTTGAGACCATATTTACATTCGTAGCATATATTAACGCCTAAAAAGGGGGGTGGGGGTGGGCTTAGTACCAGTAAAGTTTCCTTTAAGCAGGGTTGGTCTAAGCACGCCCCTTTTTCACACACCTGTCCGATGTGTGATTAGGCGAATGGCCTTAGGGGAGAGCGCTACAGTCGTGTAGATCCCTAAGGCAAGCCAGGTATATATCCTTCCCGCGGTTGCCACCTGTTACGCATTGTTCAGCCTTTTGTTGAAGAGTGCAACCGAAACTACCTGACGCATCTCCCATAGAACTCCTCACCCATCCCATTCCTATGCATCCTTATCGTAATCCGCCATAATCGACGACGTGGTCACGCCGACATGGGCCAGTCATCCAAAAAACCAGGATGGCAGGTTGAATTTGACCACCCGCGTGTTTGCCGTACGTGGAGACCCGTGCGGAGGGATGAAGGGATCCTGGAGGTTGAGCTGTTGGTGACCACCACAGCAACACGCCTCTTTGGCCCTGATTTCAGCCTAAACGGGAGGCCTCAGAGTAGCCAACTGGGGTCAATCGGCTCGACTTACTAACATCCAAGTCAGGCGAGGACTCTGAACTGGCGGGAGCGTTTGGCCCGGTTGCGGACCCATGCGAAAGCGTGGCAACCCAAAACTGGTTACCGGACGTAAACCCACGGGGCTGGAGTCCTATATTCCCGGGGTATTTCTGGCGCATGTACACACAATGGTGTGCAGCGTCCCCACTTTGCGGGCTCCGAGGAGGGTGGAAAGCCGCTGGGAACGAAACTTAACACTAACACTCATGGAACATTTAAAACAAAACAAATCCTTGAACAACACCAACAAGCCCGCTGCGTCCTCGGATGCGCAGGCTAAGCAACCACACACGGCTGCGTCTTCGGATGCGCCGAAGCCCGCTGCTTTGGAAGCGCAGGCTACCCACACGCACACGGCCGCGTCTTCGGATGCGCCACGTACCAACACCGTCACGACACGGGAAGTCATGGACCTATCAGCTATCGGTGCCGCAATCCCGGATACTACCCCGAAGGGGACTGCGTCCTGGAGCGTGGAGGTCCGGAGTAGAAAGGTCACTGACAAACCGTCCGTGAAACCACCCAAGAAACCGTTGCCACCGCCGAAGAAGTCGTTGACCGATGCAACACCGGCCAACGTACTCCGCAACAGACGACGCGCGAAAGCGCGCTTTATTGCGAGGCAGATGCGCGCGCTGGAGACTGGTGGAAGTAAGCAGCCAGAGGCTGCTGAAGAGTCCGCTGCGACTCACGCCGCCCGTGTAAGCAAGGAGCCCACCGGTACGGCTGGCGCCAGCCGGCCAACTGGTGAGAAACCTGCCGAAAAGGCACCTAAGAATCCGGACGACGAGCAGCAAGGCGACGATTTGTTGCGACCGCGCGGCAAACGATCGGGACAAGCGCGGAACAACCGGCCAAAGAAGTCCCATTCGATACCCTCGAAGAGAGGACGTCCCGATGACACTATATCGCCCAGAGGGGATACCAAGAGGCCAAAGACAGGTCCGAAGGGTTCAGCTGTAAATTACGCGGACGCATTGAAGGTCAATGACCTCTGCGTCGCAGTAATGGCAGAACCATTTCAGGACCTGACTGAGGTACAGGCCTCTAAAATCGAGGAAGACATCGAGGGGGCTCTGGATGAACAAATCTATGGACCGTCCACGATGTCATCCCGCTCACCGGCATTCCGTGGCAAAGCCTTCTGGTCGGAGGGCGTCCTCAAACTTTGGTGCGAGGACGACTATTCGCTAGAATGGTTGCGCCAAACAATAAATAAGATCAGGTCTCCCATCTCGGGAACCGTATTGACGGTAAAACGTCAATCGGAGATTCCGAAGAGGGTGAAGGCCTCCATTATTGTGCCACGGTACAAGGGCGAAAACCTCGACCAATTGAGGATGAGGCTGGCCGCCCAGAATCCGTGGTACAATATTAATCAATGGGCGCTGTACCACGCGGTGAAGACGGAGGAGAAGGAGGAGCTGTTCATCCTGGTGGGTATACCCCAGGATGATGTGGCGAAACTTCTCGCGAGGGATAGACGCGTTGCTTATAAGCTCGGGTCTATCTACGTCCGCTTCTCGTCGGGGGCAGCCGATCGACCGTCCACGGAAAAGATACCACCGGCCACCATACCGAACCTACCGAGGGAGGCCAACGTAGGACAAGGCGTGAGTATGGCCAACAAAACATCGGCCTTGACACCGACAACATCGGCCTTCAATCCATCACCGGCCCGTCAATCCAGCATGGAAGAGGAGGGTGCTGAACGTATGGACTGGTGGCTAGAGGGTGAAAAGGCGACGGAAGAGGAAGCGAGAGCGGGTAGTTCGATCAGTCAAGATGACGATCAACAACCCAGCCCCTCTCTTTAACATCATACAGTCCAATCTCCAACACAGCCAGACAGCCACGGCAAACCTTCGGCGAGTGTTGGAGACAAACACCAAGACCATAGCCCTCATCCAAGAGCCGTGGATCAGGGGTGAGAGGATCTGTGGTCTATCCAACATTGGAGGCAAACTACTCCTAGACACTACCGTAAGTAAACCACGTACATGCATCTTTGCTCCAAAACATGTGAAAACCGTTTTAATTACCGAGTTCTGTTCCAGGGACCTGACTGCTATCAGGCTCCTCAGTGATACACCTAGCCTCCCCGAGGTGATTATAGCGTCTGCCTACTGTCCGGGCGACGCCGAAATCCCCTTACCGGAGTTCGAAAGACTGGTGACACACTGTGAGCAAGAGGGACTGGAGCTTATCATCGCCGCTGACTCCAACGCACATCACACACTTTGGGGCAGCCACGACACCAATACCAGAGGTGAGGAGTTTTCTAGCTACCTTTTCTCAACAAACTTAAAAATTATCAACAGAGGCTCTGAACCTACCTTTGTTACATCAAGAGCCCAGACAATAATCGACCTTACCCTAACCAGTGAGAGGATTGCTGAATTCATCACTGACTGGCATGTATCCGACGAAGCATCTTGCTCGGATCACAGATGGATTAGGTTCTATCTTCATATAAACAATAAACCACCAGAGCCCCGACGCATTCCACGTAAGACTGACCGCAAGAAATTCTCTTCACTAATCACGGCCAGTCTGAAGTGTCTCCACTTGCCAGCGGATTACAAAAATCCAATGGAAATAGACACACATGTGAATAACCTAACATCAATTTTAACCGTCTGTTATGAACAATCATGCCCACTAGTACAGCAACGCACAACAGCCAAAGGCAAACACAATTGGTGGGGTCCTGAACTGGATAAGTTGCGACGTAGGGCAAGAAAGATGTTCAACAGAGCAAAAAACACCAGACTCGAACACGACTGGATCCTCTACAAGGAGGCACAGTCACGCTACAAAAAATGCATCCGCTTCAGAAAGGCTGAATGCTGGAAGCGTTTCTGTAGCGATATCGAAGACAACAATCGTGCCGCAAGAGTGAGGAAAATACTAAGTAGCGATCCCGAGCGCAATTTGGGTTACCTCAAAAAGGCTGATAATACTTTCACAAAAACCGACGCTGAAACCTGTGAGCTGCTGATGCATACTCACTTCCCAGGCTGTAATACTAGAGACGACCAAGACTGGGAAGATGAGATATCCGCGGTTCCGGATTTAGCTGACTGGACAACTGCACGCAAAATCATTAAAATCAACACATTAACTTGGGCCATCAAAAGCTTCCTCCCTTTTAAAGCAGCTGGTCTGGATGGCATCTTTCCGGGCCTACTGCAATGGTGCGAGGAATCGATACTCGAGCATCTACTGCGAATATACACAGGATGTCTTGCCTATCGATACATACCCACCAAGTGGAGAGAGGTTAAAGTTATATTCATACCCAAACCAGGCAAAAGTGACTACACGCAACCTAAAGCATTCAGACCGATAAGTCTCACATCATTCCTCCTAAAGGTGCTGGAGAGAATGTGTGACAGGAACTTGAGAGATGATGCTCTAAAGCGTGTACCACTTCATGCAAACCAACACGCCTACAGCATGGGCAAGTCCACCGAATCCGCATTACACAACGTAGTCAGACAAATAGAACGTGGATTATCACCAAAACAATCAACGCTCGGGGTCTTCATTGACATCGAAGGCGCCTTTGATAAAACAAACTTTACCAGCATCAGCCAAGCACTTGTCAGACATGGAGTTGACCCCACGACTGCGGGGTGGATCAACAACATGCTAAAATACAGAGCAATACAAGTGACTGTGAACACTACGAAGAGAGCTGTAGTGGCACGGGGTTGCCCACAGGGAGGCGTTTTATCCCCTCTCCTGTGGAACATTGTGGTTGACGAATTAATTTGCCAACTCAATCAACGCAACTACTACACAGTCGGCTATGCGGACGACCTAGTTATCCTCATAAGCGGGCCATTCCAGAATGTGCTGTGCAACTTAATGAGTAACGCTCTCAAAATAGTTGAAACGTGGTGTACTAAACACCAACTATCGGTGAACCCGACCAAAACAGAGATGGTCATGTTCACGAAAAAACGTAACTTGGATACCGTTAAATTGCCCAAGTTATTTAAAACCGAACTGTCTATGTCAAGCGAGGTCAAATATCTAGGCATAGTTCTTGATCATAAGCTAACATGGAACAACCACTTAGACCAAAAGATAAACAAAGCCTGTATCACGTTTTGGCAATGCAAAAGATTACTTGGTAAAACCTGGGGTCTTGCACCAAAAATCACAAAATGGCTTTACACAACCATAATCAGACCACTCATCACCTACGGTGCAATAGTTTGGTGGCCTAGAACTGAACTAAACACCGCAATTAATAAACTGCAGCGTTTTCAAAGACTAGCTTGCTCTGCTATAACAGGCTGCATGAAATCTACACCTACAAATGCCCTAGAAATAGCGCTCGACATCCCGCCACTCGACCTGTTTATACAACAGGAAGCAACTATGGCAGCGCTAAGAATGTACCATCTGGGCTTGTGGACGGTAAACCAGGGACCTCACTCCAGAATTCTGGAAAGGGCTATACAATACCAACCTATGGTAACAGCCCGCTGTGATAAAATCCCGACTACTCATACATTTGATAGAAGATATCAAATAGAACTACTAGAAACCAACAAGGACTGGTCGGGCACAGACGAACTACGCATTTACACTGATGGATCCAAAATACCAGGATTCGGATCAGGCGCAGGAGTCTTCTCACTGGACCTTAACATCCATATATCAACAGCACTGGGTGATTACAGCTCAATATTTCAATGTGAATGTATAGCCATTACTCAGGCCGCCACCGCTGTCATTAATAGGAAAGTCAAAAACTACAAGATACGTATATTATCTGATAGTATGGCTGTCCTAAGAGCCCTAGATAGTAACAGCAAAACTTCTGGGCTAGTATACGAATGTCACCTGGCATTGGAGCACATAGCAACGGATAACAAGGTTATCCTCCAATGGATCAAGGGACATAGCGGTTCTGTGGGTAATGACGCAGCCGACGAACTAGCTAGAAGGGGATCATCACAGAAAGTGGAAGGCCCTGAGCCACTTCTGCCATTACCCTTCAATCAGTTTCGTACATGGATGCGGCAACGAACCACACAGAACCATAACACCCGTTGGGCAAATACCGAGGGCTGCAGGCAATCTAAGGATATTCTTCCCAACCTCAACCCCAGACTAACTAGGAAACTACTAAATCTTAACCGAAATGATCTCCGAGTAATGCTAGGCACCATAACAGGGCACTGCCCACTTAACAAGCATTTACTAACCATACGCGTTACAGATAGCTCTCTATGCAGAGGATGTCTGGAAGCAGATGAAACGGCCGCTCATGTGATCCTGGAATGCACGAGCGTTGCAGAACACCGGGCATCAATCCTCAGGAAGCCGAGGACGCTCCTAGAAGCCTGTGAGAGCCCCAGGAGGCTACTGCGCTTCTGGAAGGAGCTGGGCTGGCTGAGCTAGCTAGCCCAACACACCCTGCACGCACAATGGACCAAGTACGGAGTCTACGTGCGGAAACGGGGGCCCACAACAAGTAACAAGTAAGTAACGCCTAATTTTTGGTCATAATCGCTTGCACATGATTTTGCGCATATTTTTTCCACTATGTAATCTAATTAAAAATTGTTTTGATGTCATTTTTCCTTGAAATAAAATGTTTGATACGCTGATTGGGATTAACTAACTAAAGCGTGCGTAACAATGTATTTTTTTTAATAAAACACAATGTCTAGCCTCGTCTCCACCACTCCACTCATTTGATCGTGTATCACTTAAAATCACCTATATAACTATGCAATGAGCTCTTTAGCCCCCTTGTGCAATAAAAGCGTGTGTTACAATATATAAAAAAGTACAAAAACTTACCAGATGCCGAAGGGTCTTCTCCGTAGACGGCTGCAGGTTATCCACCAGCACTGTGTACGTGGTCTTCAGTATGTGTTCTTGTATCAACTGTTCGGCTTTCTGCGCCTGAGGTACCAGTGTGTTGAGCGTCGCCGCCAACGTTTCTGACATGAACTCAAGGCGGCCATCGGTCTGGGAAATTTTATAAAAAGTCTTAGGGATTATTTTCGACTGATATAAATGGAATACAAATGTGGAGATATGATTTTATTGACTTCAAATATTCGAGTAAGTACATTATTGCCACCCATCTATATTGCAAAGAACAGCTACGGTCTTACTACAAAAAGTTAGACACGGTTTCAAACCTTGTTTAGGCAAATTTTGTATGCCATTTGCTGTTAAACTCGTGTTGAACGCAAGTCTAACTTTTTTGTGGTAATGTAAACCTTTTACAGCCAAATCCAACTAGAAAGCTTATATGAATTAACTGTTTCTGAGAAAAATAAGTACAAAGCTGCTATCAAAATCGACAATAAATAAATGATTTCTAAATCGTACGATACTCACCAAGGCTGGCACAACCAAATCAAGGGTCTTGTTCATAAGGTCAGGATTGTCAGCCAGTTTGCTAGCGCCAACTTCCAGCAATTTAGCAGCGGAATACGCTAGCATCATTAGCGACGGTCCAATCGAGTACTTTGTATTTGCACTAATCAGCTCACAGTGTGACGACACCAGATTTAGGACTGCGCTCTCCGAGGGTATTATGTGAGATGCGTAGAAAGCCTGGAGACGAAACACTGTTTTAACGATCTAAATTGACGTAAACTTTTTACAAGTATTGTTTTAGTGTGCAATTTAATATTACAACTGCCGTGGTCTGCAACTTTTTGCTAACCAGAAAAATATCCTGATGTTTATTCACTTCTACAGATCACTCATTGGATGACTGACTAAATATAAATGTTTCGCAAGACATTCTAAGTTTATTTTTACATGAACATTTCATAACATAGCAATATATATATATATATATATATATATATATATATTTACTTTTGCGTTGAGTTTTTTTTTTATATAATATTCTAATAAAAAAACAATCCAATAATTCTTTTAAATCAAGAGAAATTTGTGACAAATCCAAAGTAAGAATAAGGATATCAAACTTCAACTCTGCCCCTTTGTTCTAATGACAGTACAGGCAATGACAATACTTACAAAGTTCATGCTAGCCAGTGGCGGCGGTGAAGCGAGGCGATCCAACGCTGTGGCGGCCTGCTGCGGTAGATGCTCGCGCAACCACCTAACCTAACCTAACTTTTTTTTACGTTGGGAAATGCATTACGCATTCCCCGCGCTTTTGGGTACGCGGGTTTATGTCGGACTCTCCGCGGCTTCTGGGGGCAGACAGAATGCCCCCCAGATGATACTTACAAAGTTCATGCTAGCCAGTGGCGGCGGTGAAGCGAGGCGATCCAACGCTGTGGCGGCCTGCTGCGGTAGATGCTCGCGCAACCACCTAACCTAACCTAACTTTTTTTTACGTTGGGAAATGCATTACGCATTCCCCGCGCTTTTGGGTACGCGGGTTTATGTCGGACTCTCCGCGGCTTCTGGGGGCAGACAGAATGCCCCCCAGATGATACTTACAAAGTTCATGCTAGCCAGTGGCGGCGGTGAAGCGAGGCGATCCAACGCTGTGGCGGCCTGCTGCGGTAGATGCGCGCGCAACCACCTAACCTAACCTAACTTTTTTTTACGTTGGGAAATGCATTACGCATTCCCCGCGCTTTTGGGTACGCGGGGTTATGTCGGACTCTCCGCGGCTTCTGGGGGCATACAGAATGCCCCCCAGAAGATACTTACAAAGTTCATACTAGCCAGCGGCGGCGGTGTAGCGAGGCGATCCAACGCCGTGGCGGCCTGCTGCGGTAGATGCGCGCGCAACCACCTAACCTAACTTTTTTTTACGTTGGGAAATGCATTACGCATTCCCCGCGCTTTTGGGTACGTGGGGTTATGTCGGACTCTCCGCGGCTTCTGGGGGCATACAGAATGCCTCCCAGAAGATACTTACAAAGTTCATACTAGCCAGCGGCGGCGGTGTAGCGAGGCGATCCAACGCCGTGGCGGCCTGCTGCGGTAGATGCGCGCGCAACCACCTAACCTAACCTAACTTTTTTTACGTTGGGAAATGCATTACGCATTCCCCGCGCTTTTGGGTACGCGGGGTTATGTCGGACTCTCCGCGGCTTCTGGGGGCATACAGAATGCCCCCCAGAAGATACTTACAAAGTTCATACTAGCCAGCGGCGGCGGTGTAGCGAGGCGATCCAACGCCGTGGCGGCCTGCTGCGGTAGATGCGCGCGTAACCACACGGCTAGAGGCGGCGCGCCCGCCCCGCACCCGCCCCATCCACCGCAGACTCGCAGGCGAGCGTTCCAAACCGCTACGTCAGATGCGTTCAGCGGCGCAGGCGTGCCGTTGGCGCTACTACCTTCCACCGCGCACTCCAGCTCCGACGCTGCGCTTACACTAAACGAAGAAGATAGTTGGTGTAAACTACCCGGCAAACATCTTGAGCAACGACCATAGAGAAGGGCCTGCGCAGTGGCAATTATACATACAAAAACGTCTATGCGCAAGTTTGTCTGTGGTTTTGCTGAACAAGTTTGCCGAGGCCTATAACAATGTATTCGCAGCCAAAAGCGGCGTACGTGACGCTGCCATTCAAGTTTCCATACAAAATTCGACATTGACATTTCGCACACGCAAACTATTCGATTTCGTTCGTGGCCAGAAATGACGCGCCTATTCCACCCCCCAGTCTTGCAGGCGAGTGTTCCACTCGGCAAAGTCGGAAGCGTTCAACGGTGCAGGCGTGCCGTTGGTGCTGCTGCCTTCCACTGCACACTCCAGCTCCCTTGCTGTTTTCACGCTAGATAAGGACGTAGTTCAAAACTAGTAGTTTATGGCTAGAATTCATGCTTCTACGACTACGTCGGAAGCGTTAACGGGCGCAGTAGTGCCATACACGTTGCCCTCTAGGGCAGCAACGGAGGGCAGAGCCTGAAGTCAGTTCCAACGCTGTGCTTACGCTGAACGAAAGAATAGTTTATCCAGATTGAGAACTAGTAAAAATTACGTGGCCGCCCCAGCGCATTCGGGCATTCCATAAGACTATATCGGACTCGTTAACTGATGCGGGCACTGACTTGCAACGACTTCAAGCAACTCGGTTAGATCCAGTATAAATTGTTTCAAGTTATTACCTACTTACTATACAGATAAATTACTGCTACTTAAAACTCTGACTTACCGACAGCATTCAAGTATTGTTTCAAGCAACTCGAGTAGATCCGGCATGAATTGATGCGCCTCCGATGCCGACGTCGTATCAGCGAGGCAAACCTTCAGTCTCACTAAGGCCGAGTCACAGGATATCACATCCAAAAGTGAGGGTAAGCCAGTTGCTGTAAATAAATACCTTAGTTAGCACACGTATTCTCAGATATCATCAAATAAGGAGTAATAATAAGGAAGTCACTTACGGGTAATATTTTGTTTCAAATGCTTGATCGTCTCAGATGCGAGCCAGGCCGTGTATTTAATGTTATCGCAAGAAGTGCTTACTCCTGCCAGCAAGTTCTCAGCATACTATGAACAAAAACAGTTAATATCTCAAAGCTGCTTTTGGTTTACTAATCCGTTGTGTGATCGTTTCTAATATTATTAACTGACTTTATTAAAACAAGAACTTAACTAACGAAATTATGATAAGTACATGGGATTAGCAGTTATCAAATGTACTTCATACTATTTTATACCGTCACAAAGCAAATACCTGAGCTAAAAACCGCCTCACCTGAGTATACATCCCCTGTTTGACCAGCGCGTCCTTCAGCCAAGGGTTGAACACCTTCTTATTGTCTGCTCTCGGTGCCCAAATAACTGCGTGTAACGGAAGCGGGGAGGGTAGATCGGCGGATATACCCGCTTGAAGCTTATCCATATGGGGAGTAGCTGGTGGCATACTTATCACTAGCCTATATTGAAAAAAAAAACAAAGTTTATACAATTTCAATTACATCTAAAATTTATGATGACAGAGTCCAACGATATTTAATAGCCTAGATACAACATTACGAACAAAATCGTAGCTTAAACCTGACCATAAGGTAGATTGGACTATCCACAGATCTCGGCTAAATGAAGGCGTAGTCAATAACAATAAAATGCATTATTTGAACATTCAAAGTCACCATTAATGGATACTACATAAGGTCCTAATTTAATCGCATGCGTCAAAGACTTATCATAGTTCGAAATGCAAGCTCGTAAAATTTTACGACTTGTTGCTATAGGCGGAAGAATAAAGACTATTTCTATGACTCTATATCGTAATTCTGAATGCGTTGTTACCAATATAGCAGGTACGGACCGCGAGGAAAAGAGATGGCTATCTTACCGACCATGCTTTTGAATATCACTAATATTTTCTATCAAATCAGTTTATATTAAGTATTAGAACAAAATTTGCTACAAATGCTTTATATTAACAAACACTGATTAGATACCTGTCGAAAAAACGACACTAAGCATTATAAGTATTTTTTTCCAAGGAGCTCTGCGGTATCTTGACTTTTCAATGGGCTGCGCGTGACTTTCACAGTCACCAAGTGCTTGAGTGGACTTCAAGCACTTCTTGATTGGGACACATTTTTAGCGCACGTGGTGTATCTAGGGTATTAAATATCGTTGACAGGGACAGACAAAATGTAAGGAATTGAAAGCTAGATAAAGGGATAGAACCGATCTCGCCTATCGACCGGCCGCTATTTAGATTTTTTTCGAAATTGCGGCGCACTTTGAATGTGTTTTGTATGGGTAGAGGATACATAAAATAAGAAAACATTTTCAAGTTACATGGTACCCCAAAGTGTCACGTTACCGAGATATTTGGAGGTAAAGATCGACATTCGACTCATGTCGATTGTCCTTGTCAAGCTCCACTTGGTAGGGATTTGAGTCAGGGTAATTAATACCTATGCCGAGTTGTAAAAGTAGATTTCATTTTTCTTTAATGGTTCAGTCTGTTCACATTTTATAAGAAAGAATAGGCAATAGTTTACCAAAGCTAGGAGGTCGTATTAATGACACACCACCAGCGTTTGAAGTAGGATGAAGCTTTATTGTGCGCAAAGTAATGTCATAGGAATTTCCTGATGCTAAAAATTGATAATACGATCTCAGGTCACTGAAAAATGTCGATCTATAATATATCGAACTAGCCGTATCTCATCAAAGCTGCAAATAAGTTTAACTTCTATATCAAGTCCTTACACTTTCATTAGCCTTTTCATAAAGTACTTACCTCCAAGCGGTCTGGAAGCAATAATGAGCCGCAGCCAGCGCCGTGGGCGACGCATGATACTGAGGATTGTCGCAAATGCACGAGGAATTCAGCAACGCCAGTAAGGCGTCTAATAATAGAGGGTACTTCAACTTATGGGGCGTGCCCAGTACGAAGTTGCACGCGAGACCGTCGAACTTGGGGTTCTCCTGTTAGGGAGTATAAATGGTTTAGGAAAAAACTTCATTGAAAATAATCAACATGCTAGTACGTGGGTTTTGCGAAATTGGGGTTCTCTTGTTGAGAATACCTACTATCGGTTTAAAAAAAAAATGACTTTTGATATCTGAACTGAATAGTCTGTTTTAATCTGCATACCTACTTAATCTTTAAATACTTGGAATTGGTATCCTATTGAAATTAACATAGTGTTCTTGTGTTCGTATATGAAAAAATTGATTCATAATTTTGCCTAATACTACCTAACTCTGTGTATTCTACCGATTGCTTATGTAAATTTTTAATTTTCTATCAAAATAATACGGTAAAATAAAATGACATAGTACTTGATTATTCTTTTTCATACCTGATTATTGATCTCTGCATTTGTCAGGGCATAGAATTTGGGCCTCATTGACGATTCGTCTTGCGATAGACGCCTGTAAGCTTGCTCAATGTACGGCACTTCGCAGTAAATACGCGCCTTTAGCAAACCGCTATCGGTGGTAGTTTTAGCGCCGGCAGTAGCAGATTCGGAAGATGGTTGCGCTAAGCCAGGAGCTATAACGAGGTTCCATTCGATCTGAAAAACAAAATGGTGTAGGACTCTTTCTGCAAATATTTGTTATGAAATCTGTAACATGTTTGAAAACGTATTTTACCTGTTGTAGTAAAGTTTGAGGTGCATCATATAAATGCCTCATAAGATACTCCAACAAAAGCATCAGCCTTGTGGTGAGCATCAATTGATGTGGCGCTAGGGTCATGGCTTTCTTTCTGTCACTGAATGGTAAGGTTTCCACAACCTGTGAAAAAAACGAGCATACAGCTTATTTTATTTCCTAAAATAAGAGAATACATAAAAACATTAAGATAAACACATACCTTGATGATTGCATTAGATGTCATCAATAAAACGGATTTCTTTTGCATCAGAGTCAAGGAGTGGAATAAGTACACCAAAAGCTGAGCATGTTCCACATTCAAGTCTGTAACAAAGTATATTCGGAATATATCAATATAATTATTAAAAAAAAATACCATGACACATAAAAACGTATGGACATGACATAGACTCGTTTTGGTATTGCTTGTATCATAAAGGAGACGGTTCAAATTTGTAATTGTAGTCAGTCTTCGGCAGACTACAAATGATTTTTTGTGGCACATAGGGCACTTCATTGTAAATCGTTTGGCATTAAAATAGAATTAATTTAAACCCGTTTCTTTGAATAATTATTATAATATAAAATTAAATAATTATTTTTTGGTTAATGGCAAGTTATCTATTTTTGTTGCAAAAGCACCAAATATATTCTATTCAATAGGTAACTGAAGCAGTGATAATGATTCTATTCATCTTCTATTACATTATTAGATTTTTGTTGGTTATTTTGTAGCGGACGAAACCCATCATCATTTTGTGTACGCAGCAGCCTATTGTTAACCGCATACATAGGAGGGGCGGCACGCGCGGGGCAGACAGCCGCCAGCCTCACTCGGCGGACTGCTACCGAATGCACGCCCATTTTCTCACCCGCCAGAGCATAGAAAAATCTACGCGGCTGTTTATAGGACGTATGCAAAAGTGATCAGTCAGTGCACGATTCATATAGACTTTCCCTAGTAATTGCTTAACTTGCATAAATTAATAAGTACCTGAGACTGTAAAGTACATCCTATACATATAATAAAATGGTAGGAAAGTTAAAACTGTATACTGAATGTTTTTTAAAAGAATACTTAGGGTGTGATCTACAATCGATACCAAAGCCAAAAATATAGTTTTTCGAATTTTGTTTGTATGTAGGTCCGGGATAAACTCAAAAAAGTACTGCATGGATTTACTTCATATTTGGCACGAATATTACTAACAAGTCGGGTCAACATATAGGCTACATATTATCACGCTATCACCTGCGGGGAACAAGCAGTGAACCTTTATTTCTGACTAAATCCACACGTACGAAGTCGCGGGCGGCCACTAGTACTGTAATAAATATTTTGTTTCGAAAGTGCCGTTACTAATTTCTCCGATTTAACCAGTTGAAATTTTATTTTAAGAAGAATCAATCATAAACTGGTGTTCACGAATATCACACATGTGCATGACTGGCCTTGTTGACAATTGCCATAGTGATAGAGTAGACGTTATAAGTTGCCATCAACGATATTAAATACCCTAGATACACCATCACATACAAAATCGTGCCCGAAACCTGTCCACAAGGTACATTGGACGATCCACGGAGCTACGTAAGATGATCGCGTAGTCTAAACAATATAAGGCATTATTTAAACATTGAAAATTACCTTTAAAGCATACTGTATATGGTCTTAATTAAAACGCACGTCTCAAAGAGTTATGACAGTCCGATATGTAAGCTCGTAAAATTTACGACTTATTGCAATATGCAGAAGAATAAAGGCCTTATATATTTGACTCTACGCGCAATTCTGAATGCGCTGTTAGTAATATAGCAGTTACGGTCCGCGAGGAAAAGAGACGGCTATATTATCGACCGTGCATTTGAATATGACAAATATTTTCTATTAAATCAGTTTATAGTAAGTATTAAAACAAATTTTACTTCAAATGCGTTAAATTAACAAACATTGATTAGATACCTGTCGAAAACACGACATTTTACATTCTATAAGTATTTTTTTCGCCTGTTTTCACAGAGCTCAGCGGCATGTTGACTTTTCAACGGTCCGCGCGTGATTGTGAATCAAGAAGTGCTTGAGTCGTGTTCAAGCACTTGTTGATTGGGACACATTTTGAGCGCACGTGGTGTATCTAGGGTATTTAATATCGTTGGTTGCCATACATTAAAAATATGACGTTAATATAAGGTGGCCAGCATTCGTACAAAATTATTCGATTTGTTACACGACTTTTAAATTAATCGGAGATATATAAATAAAAAATATCTGTTCATGTTATATATAATATGAAACAAACTTTCAAATTAAATATGTTTTGTCGCTCCCGGATACCGACTACCACTTTTGAACCATCACTGTTTGTATGAAAACAAAAAACCTAGTTTAAAATAATTAAGAATAAATAGTCAATTTCATTATCTTTCTCTACAATGACTAAATTAGACATTCTGCAGGAGGAAGCTAGCAAGAAATTCTTTATTTTTTTTTTCATTCTTTCATAGACGAAGATGATAAAAGAGATTTAGGAAGGTATATAAATTGATCTTACCTTCGTAGTCATGGTCCCCCCGGCCCCACAGGTATATAAATTGATCTTACCTTCGTAGTCATGGTCCTGCGAGGGTTGCGTTTGCAATGCACACTCTTGAAGAGTATTCACGATTTTGTTCCACATCGCTAAGATGCTATTCTCGCGTTCCGCGGCCGCTTTACCTAGCACCATGCCGCCTAAGAGTTTCACCACGCGGGGACCAACCTGAGAGTAAGAGGATACTATTTATTTGACGACTTTTTAAAGGCCACGTTAATGCCTACGATATACCCTAGCTTTCTATGGGTTACATATTAAAGAACTAGTCTGTGTCATTCAAAAGTTGCGTGTCAATAAACTTTATTGTTATACTGCAATAAGGACTCGAAAGTCGACGTGCCAGTCAAGTAATAAGGTATAGCATTTATAGGGATGTTAGGTTGACTATAATGATAATAGCTTAAAAGATAGACAAACCTACTTGAAGGGGTGTCATATTAGTCCTTTCTGTACACCAAGCACGAACAACTAACGAGAAAGTATTCGTATCGTCACGTAAATTTTTTTATGGAAAAGGTTAGTTTATTCTTATGTCCGATAGGAGCGCTGCCTAGTTTATGTAGAATCTTCGACGTTGCCGATACGAATACAGATCCATCAAAGTTCGTGCTTGGCATACCGATCCCGCAGAAACCGGTGGGTCAATCATGTTGTATAGGTAATGGTATTTGAAGATATGTAAGATTGACCAAAATAATAATAAACGTACCTGAAGAGGTGTCATATTAGTCCTTTCCGATCCCGCAGAGACCAACTGTTGATGCAACGCCGGTTGTAGGGACTCGAAAGCCGGCGCTCCAGTCAAGTTATGGAGATATCGTACTAACGCCGAGCTGAATGAAGCATAGAGTGCACCCAATCGGGTACCGAAACACGTAGAGATAGTGCCTGTGGGGAAAAGTTAATGCATAAAATAGTGCCTATATTCCATTCAAGGAAATGAAGTAGTACCGACGAACACTAAGCTTTTCTGTCCTTGGCTTTTTTTAATTTAATATCAATAATTGGATTCACTAAGCAAATACATACAAAGAGAATCTGGTGTTTAATGTAGCACAGCTTCTACCAATGTTGCACTGACGTCACTAATTAAGAGTTCTAACAGTAAATCATGGTTCCAAATTCATATAACTAAACTTCAATACTAACGAACTACGATCATGAGATTGATTGGAATTTCCGTTTAAATATTAAACGGAAATTCCAATTAATCTCATGATCGGCTGGTTGATCGCATTTTTTTCGCCCCGCCCACTTGATCGCAGTTTGCATGGAACTATAGTTAAACGCAGTTCGTATTCCATATTATTTCTAATTCGTTGCCTGTAAATAAACAAACATAATACCCGTGTCAGTGCGTGCCGTTTCCCTATCCAGATCCTTAGCCAACGCAGCGAGCAGCGCTTGATGAGCTTCGTGGAGCTGTAGAGACGCCGGCCCAAGACGTTCCGAACCCTCGCTTATGATTTCATCTGTGAGAAGTGTGAAAACTTCTGTAGCGAGCGTGATATACTGTAAAAAATAAGGTATGTTAGGCATTGATTTGCTTAATTCAAATTACGTAACTAATAATAATGATGGTTCAAGTTATTTTACTTAAACAAATGTTTGGTACAAGTAAGTACTTACTGAATAAGGTTCCGACTTATCTGGCACAATGGCCTGGTGCGGTCTACTGGGCGCCTCGCTGGAATCTTGCGCGTCGCTGTTACCGGAGCCCCTTAGTAGGGCGCCGTTGTCTGAAGAATCTGGGGCGACTAGCGTTGATTCGAACCATAGACCGAATAGGGGTTCGCTGTCTGTTAGAGCAAATGCACCAATGTATTGGTTTATATTTAAAAGAAGACACTTCACCATCAGTCTATTAATTTCCCCACTGCTGGAGCACAGGACTTCCCTGTGGATTGAATAGGGAGATTGGGCTAAGACCCACCACGCGGCCTCAGTGCGGATTGGTGGGTGCTACCGACTGAAGATGCAGCCGGGAGCAATGGCTTAGCGTGCCTTTCAAAGCACGGAGGAGCTCGAGATGATGATGTTTTGATTACCCATCCAATGACTGACCACTGCAAAAGTTGCTTAATTTCAACGATCGCAGCCGAAAGTGCTAATCACTTGCGCCATCAAGCTCCCCCATAGAAGACCTCGATAAAATATTAAAGCTAACATACGCACCGCGTTTCTAAGATTGGCAGAAGTAACGATGATGGGGCTTTATTGATCTTATTCTGGTAATTTCTTATTGGTTTCGAACTATTTCCATTTGTTTTAATCCGCGCAATTCGAAATCTTCTTTGATTATCGTGCCAATTTTTAAATTTATAGTCCATATTTGTTATTTAGGTTTTCACGCACACCATTCATTAAATAAAACAACTTTCAACGGGTTAGATGCACTGATTTTATTTATTTATTGACGTTTCGCATCTTTTGCGGGAAATCGTCACCGGAATAATGTTTTTTTTATAGTCCATTTAAATATTAAGCCTCACCCGCGCAACCACATAGGAAAGGCCTGGGCCCCCGCTTGTGAGGACAATAACAGGCTGGTGAAGATGACGAAGTCTTTTATCCAGGATAGGAATGAATATGGCTCACCGTCATCAGTCTCCGAGTCCTCCGAGCAGAGTATCATGTCCTGGAAGTAAACGGTGGAGTCGGAGCGGTCCGGGTCGGCGTCTTGGTGCTGCTTCTGCACCACAGCACGCTTTAGGTTCGTCGCTTTACGGTAGCAAACTACGCCCAGTGCCACAAACAGCTGAAACAATAATTTGTTATTAAAACAAAAATCTGATGTGAAGCACTTTGCTGTGTTTCAGATTGAAGGGAAAGGAAGCCAGTGCAATAGGGTACAACCAATTTTGAATAGTGTCTCAATTAAATTCTAAAGAGCTAATATGCTACTAGAAGAAACATGAAAATTTAATTCAATAGTAAAGTGCGTTAAAAATACAATTATTTTCAACATTTTCAAATTTCGCGCCTAATTAAACAAAGACACTGGCTGCAGTGGACGCCATGGGTGTATTCCGTAATATATACCAGTATACTGGCCAGTGCTAATGACGTCATGAATCGACGATACTAGTGATCCGAAATAAACTGGGCAGGCAAAATATGGTAGCATACCAGTACAATATGGCGTCATTACCACTGGCATACTGATGTATATTTCGGAATACACGCCATATTGCACTGCGGTCTTGACGTCATTAGTACTGTAAATAAATGCGTTACCTTGGTTACGAAAACATCAAAAGTACTGAGTTGACATCTGACACTTTGGCATATATAAGCGGTGTGACGTAATAATGTGGCCGCTACTACGTCTACTATTTCGTCGTGCTTTATTACAGATTTAATAAAAAAAAATAACAACCTTTGAATTGAATTCTAATATGCATTTTGTCGGTTCCCGCTAGTGCACAGTGTTGCGCCAGGATGTGTAAGGACGCAGCCGAGGAAGTAGTAGTCTCGCCGCAACTGAGCGCTTCGAGTCGTGCGTCTGCTGGTGACGTCATAATGACACGATTGTTTCATTCTCCTGATGTAAAGGCGCCGCCGCGGCCAGCCTCAGTTCTCGTTAGTGCGCGGTGCGCCAGGATGTGTAAGGGCGCGGCCGTGGAGGGAATAGTGTCGCCGCAGCTGAGCGCTTCGAGTCGCACGTCTACTGGTGACGTCATAATGACACGATTGTTTCATTCACCTGATGTAAAGGCGCCGCCGCGGCCAGCCTCAGTTCTCGTTGGTGCGCGGTATGTTGCGCCAGGATGTGTAAGGGCGCGGCCGAGGAAGGAGTAGTGTCGCCGCAACTGAGCGCTTCGAGTCGCGCGTCTGCTAGTAAAGCGCCCACCCAAGCTAGACAACGCCCGCCTAACGCCACCCATACGACGCCTAGACCTTGTTGCCTGGTACAAAAATAAATCAATAGTTGAAAAGTCAGTAAAAACTGGCGAAATACTGGACTGGGCTCTTTTCGGCGCAGCTGTGAATACAGACTTACTACCTTAATATCCATTTGTATGAAAAAAATTAACCATGTTGGATAACCATGAATGGATACACATCTGTGTCGAATATTTTTTTATATGATTTTAGTTGATTACTATTATGTAAAAGGTCCTTTGAGAATGGATTGAACGTTCCTATCCAATTGCATCAAACCGGGCAGGCAAATTAGAGAGACGATAAAAGGCTAAAGCGATTGAAGGCTCAACATCAAGACTCAATTTCGAGAGTGATATCCATTTCATGGAATTGCCCCTCCTCATGTCTATGAAAAGGTAGAGGGAAAAATATTTCCGTATTTTGCATCCGAAAACTGTCATTAAGATTGGGTGAATGTGTTTTTAGACTGTTCTTTGGGGAGAAAATCGAGAAAACCTTTTAAGTTATGTTTATTTTTATGTAGATTAAGTTACTTACATCTTAGTAAGGTTGTAGGGCCTGGAAGGCGTTTTGGCGGGGCTCTTTCCGGGCGCAGTGGTGGGGCACGGGGCACCGGCCAAAGCGTGATGCAAACCGCAGAGCAGCACCCATCCGCCGATCATAAGGTGGTTTTGATATACCTAATAGGTAAATCAAGTTCAAGAGTTTATTTTATTGCGATCATTGATTATAAAGGTGGTTATATAAATGAAGGTGATACACATAATACAAATATCTTACATTAAAATAAATAATGAATATAATACGATTTTTACACATGAAATGAAATACAACAACGACGAAGTATACCATTGGGAAATAAATTAATGAATTCAAAATAAAAATCAAATCGAAGTAAAAAGGCGATGTAGATAAATAATTCAATAATTTCAGGCGACCGCTAGTGGTTTAGTCAAGACACTAGTGGCCGCCACTAAGCCAACAGTGGCTACGATTGTTATTGCGTTTAGCGCTTAGTGGCTCAATGTGCGCTTGCTCTATAGTGTGCGCTATTTGAATATTTATTAATATAAGCTGTTTTTTAATCCCATTTTGTTGTTAATGTAAATGTTTTAGGACAAGAAGGCAAGTCAACCACTTTCTTTTTTTAAATAAAGGCGGGTGTTCCTCAATGCTCAGTATTGGGACCCATACTGTACACTATCTACACTGATGATTTACCCGTATCAGATAAGATCACCACTGCTACTTTTTCTTACGATACTGCTGTACTTGCAAGCGATAAGAGTGCTAGCATTACAACAGATAAGCTACAGAGAGGTTTAAACAATGGCTAGAGAAATGGAAAAAAGGCCAGTGTCTCCAAATCAGTGCAAGTCACCCTTACACTGTGAAAAGGAAATTGCCCAGCAGTTCTACTGAATAATGTGACACTACCTCACAAAGATTGCCTGCGCTACCAAGGTTTGCACCTCGACCGTCGCTTAGCATGGAACCCACATATATTAAAACCAAAAGGCAAGAACTTAATCTTAAATACAGAGGGCTATTTTGGTTAATGGGACGAAACAGCAAGCTATTAGATGATAATAAACTCCTCATCTATAAATCCACCTTGAAACCTGTCTGGATGTATGGCATTCAACTATGAGGAAGCGTAAGTAACTCAAACATCCGAATTATCCAGCGAATGCAAAACCTTATACTACGGTCCCTGTCGTAATGCTTAGTGGCTAAATAACTAACAGCGAGATCCTCAAATATATAAAGATGAAATTCAAAATACCAAAATGAAGTACCAAGCAAGGCTGGAAAGTCTGGCAGCCAACTGAACAAATCGAAGCTATTTTAAACACCTTAAGCGGAAAGATACCTAGTCTCTTTAGGGACAACGAGTAAAGAGTAGGTACACTCACTAGAGGGCACACTAAATGTATGAAAAAAAAACACTATTTCCAACGCATTTGCTTAAAGCCATAAGATATTTGCTGAAAAAACTCAATGAAAAAATTAAAGTACCATAATTTGATAAACAGGCCCTCATTTCAATTTCTAAATGATCATGCAAGCTTCCCTTAGAAGCTTTGCACCCTTCTCCCAATCACCTTATATAAAATGGCTTCATTGACTGCTACTTACATAGCCACCAGCGCGCGTAGACTGTTTGAATATCTCCCCAACAGTGTTGTAGAGGCTAAGCGCACTTTCTACCAAGGTGGCTGTCTGCTGTTCGCTCTCCTCGTCCTTGGGATGCAGTGACGCCTGACAAATAAATTTCACAATATGTTATTTTCGTAATCTAAAGCTTTTTATAGCCGCCAACTTCAGAGAACGTATCTGTTCATGGACACCACTTTATTCTTAAAGTTGGAAAAAAAAACAATTTTTTGTTGTATAATCGGTATTAAAGGAGACGGTTCAAAAGTGGTAGTCGGTTTCCGGCAGCAACGAAACATATATCATTTGATAGCTTGCTATATATTATCACGTGAAGAGATACTTTTAATTGTAAATTTATCTTCCCCCAAAAATGTTTAAATTGTGTTTAAATATTGATCAATTTTGTAAGGATGCTGGCCACCCTGTTATAAGTAACATTTTAACGTGAAACAGCTTAAAACGTCAACTCAATCAATATGATAAACGTCAATCAGTCCAGTCATGCATGATATTCGTGAAATCGTGGTAAACTTATTATAATAATTTATGATTGGTTCTTCTTCAAATAAAATACCTAATATAATGTAATAAAAGATGAACAGAATAATTATCACTGCTTTATATTTGTTATTTTTTAAAGCATGTAACTGCTAGATGTTTATATGGAAAGAAATTTTTAGTACAAAAAATCAACCGGGACCAGGCAGCAGACGGGTTCGAACCCGCACCCTTCGCTATCCGGGCGGATACACTGACCATTATGCTACCGCGGCCCTGATTGCCGTGTCGAATTATCTCTAGCCTTTCCAAAGCTGCAAGGTAGCGCCATCTCTTCGCATTGTAGGAAATAAAAGTAAAAATGAACTTGCCATTTTCCAATCAATAATTATATAATGTTATATTATAATAATAAGTAAAAACAATGGGATATAATACATTCTAGTTTTTGTCAAACAATTTATAATTATATAAGTGCACCATGCACACATCCCGTAAACATTTGGAGTCTGTTGGAGACTCACTAGCACCCTCCATACAAATTTGAACAGTCTCCTTTGTTCACTAAACTCTCATTATATCTACAATACTGCTCCAATTCATAAAAGGTACAATGATGCTGTAAATGTAAAACAATGTGTGTGTTTAAAAATTTGGTTTGTCTGATGTGAAGTTTACAAATAGCAACACGAATAGCAAAATGAAATTCCGGCATGACAAAAATTGTTAAAGAAACAGTGTCTGTATTGTAACAACATATAATGAGAGTTGTTTAGGAAAATTTACACCAAAGTTAGCGTAACGGTGACGTGAAGTCTGGAGTATGAATTTTTTTGCTGAAATAATTCGAACGAGCGTTAGAAATTATCGACTATATAGACTATGACGACATAGGTGATTTAATAAGTGTGTAGACCTTTCGTCTCAGTGCCTGGTGCCCGGCATTCCAGAAAACTCTCATTACCTTTTATTTTATATATGCATAGCCATAGCCCCAGGTAGGCAAATGACTACCCCACCTGATGTTAAGTGGTGATAAAGTCCAAATGCGAATATAGCTGGTGCAGCAGTTATAAACTGCTTCTTCACTCTTTCTCTTACCCCCACCCCCTGCCCAATCTGGGGTCTTTAAAAGACCCCAGATTGAAGGAAGGAGGGAACACGTGCGCGAGCAAAGAATTCCACTTACGAATAGTACGACATAAGTACGACGTACGTACCTGAGCCGTGGCGCACAGTAGCCAGGCGGTGCTGACGTCACTTAGCGTCGCTATGCGGTCCGGCGTGAACGGCTCGAATCACGGCAGCGATAGTGCCAGCCGACACACGTGCACTTCGTTCACCAGGAAAGGAAGACGGCAGGACAAACATTACTCATAACATTATAATCACCTGAGCCGTGGCGCACAGTAGCCAGGCGGTGCTGACGTCACTGAGCGTCGCTATGCGGTCCGGCGTGAACGGCTCGAGGCACGGCAGCGATAGTGCCAGCCGGCACACGTGCACTTCGTTCACCAGGAAAGGAAGACGGCAGGACAAACATTACTCATAACATTATAATCACCTGAGCCGTGGCGCACAGTAGCCAGGCGGTGCTGACGTCACTGAGCGTCGCTATGCGGTCCGGCGTGAACGGCTCGAGGCACGGCAGCGATAGTGCCAGCCGGCACACGTGCACTTCGTTCACCAGGAAAGGAAGACGGCAGGACAAACATTACTCATAACATTATAATCACCTGAGCCGTGGCGCACAGTAGCCAGGCGGTGCTGACGTCACTGAGCGTCGCTATGCGTTCCGGCGTGAACGGCTCGAGGCACGGCAGCGATAGTGCCAGCCGGCACACGTGCACCTCGTTCACCAGGAAATGAAGACTGCGGGACAAACATTAGGTATAACATCGTCATCATCAGCCTGTTAATGTCCCCAATGCTGTGGATCAGGCCTTCCCTTTGGATGGTATAGGGAGATTGGGCCATCATGACCCACCACGCGTGCCTAGTGCGGATTTGTAGGTGCTAACAAGTCGGGACCAACGGCTTAACATGCCTTTTGAAGAAAAGAAGAAAGAAGGAAGCACGGAGAACTCGAGATAGTCATTTTTTGGTCACCCATCCAATGATCGACCATTGCAAAAGCTGCGTATTTTTTTTAATCCTACTAATATTATAAATGTGAAAGTTTGTATGTTGTGTGTTTCTATGGTTGGTAACTCAATTACGCAAATAACAGCTGAACGGATTTGGATGAAATTTGGTGTACCTATAATTTGCATTGAGACATAGGATACTTTTTATTCCAGAAATTTTCAGGTTCCTGTGGGATTCTCAAAAACCGAATGTAAGTGTGGGAATCAATAAACGCGGACCGAAGCAGCGAGCGGCCGCTAGTAGCTAAATAATCCATACTAATATTATAAATAGTGTCTGTCTGTTACGTCTTCACGCTTAAACCGCTGAAACGAAATTGAAATGAAATGAAACATATTTATTCACATAAAACAGTACCCTTAGTACGAGTTTGGGCTCACGAAAACTATCATAATTTTCATAATGGTAAATTATGTTTCTAAGTCCATTTTGGTGAAAGTAACCAAATATACTTAAAATTCAAGAAGACGCAAATGATTTAATGATAGAATTTAAACACTGTTTATTTGTATTGAAACGAAAACAATAAAATCAGTACCCTTCGTACGAGTGTGAGCTCACGAAAACTATCATAGTTTTCGTAATGGTAATACTCCTACTAAGGGTACAGAGAAGATACATTTTGGTGGTGATTTTCATTTAGTTCGTCCATTTTGCCAACGACATGGCATGTGAATGTCAAACTTAATTTAATTGTAAAATTTATAGGTACTTATGAAATTTTATTTATTCTATTCTAAGTCCATTTTCGTTTCTAAATATTCTCTAATTGAGTAAAAACATTTCATTATGAGCCGCATTTTAAGCTTGCTTTTCAATATAGGCAAACTAAGCTCCGTCATCATGCGTGGTAACTTATTATAGATTTTTATTCAATTTGGATAGCAGTTTTTGTTGTAATGATTGTATTGAGTATGCATATTGGGCAACATCAATCTACCACGATGTCTCGTGTCAAAACACAGATACCTGCATATTATATGCAGGTATCTGTGTTTTTACATTTGATGAAGTTTTATATAGAGATACTTTTGAGTCCCGTTGAAGGACATATGTTGAGAGTCCCAGGAGGCTACTGCGCTTCTGGAAGGAGCTGGGCTGGCTGTGCTAGCTATCCCAATCAACCCTGCACGCACAATGGACCAATTACAGAGTCTACGTGCGGAAACGGGGGCCCACAACAAGTAAGAAGGACATAGGATAGCTTTTATTTTTATCTTCAATGCGAAATTTCTGTGTACGGAAACAGCCACAGACAATAAAAAAACTCACAGTGAGGCATCAGAGTTGAACTGCGGCGCCACGGCTGCCTCCTTGGCGCTCTGCCATCGGTTGAGATACCGCTGCAGGCAAGGCAGCGAGGAGCACACCTTCAACACCGTCGAGCCGGCGCGCAACTCCATCAGTAGCGAGGAGCATGTTGACGCCACCCATTTCTGGTAAACAAGGCAGATAATGGAGTCGATTCTGGCATGATTCTCCAAACCTAAACTTAAATTTGACAACAGTGTAGCCTTGTCATTATCTATACGAAATGAAAAAGATAGAAAGATTTTAAATTGAATTTTAAGTTTAGAGAAGCACGCCGGAATCGTCACCAATATCTATTGTATTGCGTTTCTCTCTCTATCATGCTTATCATAATAATAATCATAATCATTTATTTATTTCAATCACAAAGATATACATAGCATGACAAAATAATAATATATTTGTTTCTTAGGTTTTCACGCACATCACTCATTAAATAAAACTAGTTTTTACGGGTTAATGCACGAAACTTTATTTATTTATTGACGTTTCGCAGCCTTTTCAGGTCTGCATCGTCAGAATAATTCTTTTATATTTTATTCTGACGATGCAGACCTGAAAAGGCTGCGAAACGTCAATAAATAAATAAAGTTTCGTGCATTAACCCGTAAAAACTAGTTTTATTTAAAATAATAATAAATAGTAATAATTATGATACAGAAAAACAAATTAAATTACATCTCAACATACAATTACATTTAAAACAAAATAAATTAAAATCTCACAATTTCGTGACGTAATTTCGGGTGGCTTTGGTACTAAAATGCGATAAAACAAAAAAACTTCGAATTAAGTATGTTTCTTCAGCTGTACATTCAAATTCATTCATCGTTGTCAGAGACAACCTCTTTTATGCATTTCAAATTATCGCCAATCAAGCTATCGCCTAGAGTCTATAGACATGCAACTCGCTAATTCATTGCGACAGAACTAAATCAAACTGCAGAAGCGCATAGTACCAAAGCCACCCGAAACTTCGTCGCACAAGTGTGGGATAAGCATCACATGATGGTAAAAACGGAATGGTGCAAACTTAAAAATAATGTTATATTTGTTCTTCTCAACCTCAATATAAATGTTTGTGTTATGCAATTTGGATAAAATTACGGACACTGTAAGACTGTATTCTGGATCTACACAAATGGCCATTTTTAAGTTCAGAGTCCCGTAAATGTTAGCTAGAGAACATTTTGAAAACCTTTGTATAATAAGTAGTAGAATTCAGTCTGTAATTAAATCACAAAGATAGAATTAACTATAATAATCTGATTATTAAAAAGAGTTTGTGGAGTGCTTTCTTTATCACAGAATCCTTTAAAATAGAAAAGGATGGATGCTCACCTGAGAAAGCAGCTCTCGCAGTTTTTTCGAAAAAACAAAATACTGACTCATAGCAGAAAAGCTAATCTTTCGTCGGTAATATCTCATTTCCGTGACTAGACTATAATAAAAAAAAATTTGAAACAAATCATTACCTTCATATCAATAGAAGCCTGTTGAGAAGTATTCCCATCTTTTGCACTCTCCAAACTATCCTTGCTTCCGGGAGATAGAACAGCCGCAGGAGGCTGTGCTTGTGACGTCACCGAAGCCACTGGGTTCCTCAGTGGGGTTGTCAGTTGTTCTAACAGCGCGTCAGAGCGTCGCTGAGCGTTTGATGGCGGCTGCTTCTCAGTGGTTGTTGAAGTGATAGGGCTCGGAATCACAGACGACTTTGTTGTAGTTTGCGATTCTGAAATAAAATTAGAACAAATATCTCAATCACATTCACCTGATCCATATAAGATTTCCTATGGATTTGCTCTTACCATTAATTTACAAATTAGAAAATCAATAGATTTTATTACCAATAGTAATAACCTGTATAGTAAACCTGTATAGTATCATTACTACTTTTCATATTTTATTAATTACAGCAACAGTTGCCTCAACGTTAAGTTTAATATTAAGTTTTATAAAAGGGAAACATGTCACACTTACCTGGTACAGTAACATGAGCAGGTAGTTTTGCATTTTTCAAGAGGGATGTCAAAATCACTAAGTCTGATTGGGGATAACCACCCCCTTCAATACCGCACAATCCGACAATAGGCAGGAGAAGCTAAAAAAGCAAAAATAAATTTAATTTAATTCGAATTTTAAGAGTTAAGACAGGCACAACATTATTTCTGTACTAGTTACATTTCCTCCATCTTACAAAAAAAAACACAGTGAATTATTACTGCTAGTGATGTATTTCTGTCAGGGATCAAGGTTTCCAAAGGTTCATGGAGATAGGCAATGCATTAGTTAAAAACTCCAGTATCGCTTGTGTCTATCGCTGTCTATCAGGAGTGTCATGGTGATATATGAATGTGATTACCATTCTAATACATACAATCTTTACAAATTTGTTGATTTTAAATCTCATACCTTTTAATACATATGGAAAACACAATGTATGTATGTAGTAGGAAAATAGTTTTCTTTCACAAACCTGTTTAACAGAAATGTTAGGAGCTGCTGTAGATGTATCATCACAACTCAATCCAGCTTCAGAAAGTTTTTTGAGGATTTGTTTTAATATCACTCTGAATGCATCACGTGCAGTTCCCAGCTGTTCATTAGGCACTAAAACAAAATGCTTCAGGTTTTAACAAGTCACAAAACAAGATATTGAATATTGCAACAATTAAACAGAACACTTTTAGTAGATTGTTATTATTGAAATAATAACAAAATCAAAAAAGAATCATTATGAATAGGGATTTTTTTATAACTTAGTGGTTGTAGTTGCTTATGTAATAACAGATGGAAATACATGTAATGATACATAGATAAGTATATTTTTGTACAAATTATGTATTCATTTAATAGTACCCATCATATAATCTGTTGCTCCATTGATACAAACCCGAGACTCCGGAACATATTATGTTTTTGCAGGAATAGGAATAGTTTGGATAGCCAAAAAAAATTCTATACCCTAAGATAGTTGCTTGAAACTTATTAAGAAAGTGTCTTACAATCTGACCTAGGAACAATTAAATAATGCCATCTAATTAATGGGAGATGAAGGCTAAGAAAATTTCACATAGTTGTGAAATAATTTAAGATGAATCATCTAGAAGTAATCAAGGACCAATCAGTTTAGCCTTAGAGTACATAATTTGATATAATGAGCATTATTAAAATGATGATATATTTTATAGTATTATTTGCATATACTTGAGTGTTTCATAATCTTATTAGAATATAAGATACTTTACTTACGATTGCTAGCATTGATGCTGACAAAATGTGCAGAAAGGCAGGCAAAACATGTGTAGAACAAGTCATAAATATCTTCATGATTCTGAAATTCACTTTCACTGCGGATAAAAATTTTGATCATATTATAAAATAATTGAGGCATAATGAATAATTAGATACTGTACTTTATAAATAATATGAAACAATTATTTACAAGCTTACACATCCACAAAACTTATAACATTAATAAATTGGAATAGAGGGTATACCACTATAAGAGGTGGTGAATTTTTTTCTAATAGGAAAATAACAACATTTACCAAATATTAATTTATTCCGGTAAGTTTAGTTTTATCAAATTGGTATTAGGTATCAATAATTATTCAAATAAAGAGGTAAAAAAATGTGAGAACGCAAAGTTGGCAAACTCAACTACTTGGAGTATTAAACTAGTCGAACTAAACAATATTGAGTGGGTAGGAATCATAATTTTGAAAAAAGCAAAATTTTACTATTGCTTTCTGTAATGTTTACAAAAAATATAAGTTTCAGTTCTAATGTACCAACCTTTTGATGATTGCTTGTATAATCTCAACGGCATCATTTTTATCAAAAAACGGACCGTAAAGAGCAGTTAAAATTGGTTTTACAGTAGTCGACCATTCAATATTTCCTCCTGAAGCGGCCATTTTCGGGAAGAATAATAAAAATGAAAAAAGCTCACTCGGGGACTGTCATTGTACTGTCAACGTCAAATTATCGTTTGTCATTGTCATCCATAGACTATATAGACTCAGTGCGGCTACAGACATGCCGGCTTGGACCAGACCGGGCCGGTAAGCAGTTTTATTTTCATTTTACCCTTTACTCGGTCTGTATTTAACCCACTTTTAAGGATGTACAAGAGAAAGTAGATGAGAGAGCGGTAGCTATCTCTCTCTCTTGTGACGCATGGCATCCCAAGGCATCACTCGAAATGGTAAGATGCTTACGGTTGCCAATGCGCATGCGCGATTAGAGAGACAAAGCTAGCGGTGTCTCATCTTCTTTTTCTTTATATTAGAGTAATTAGAGGAACACTCCCACTTGTAGTAGAGTCTATATCTCCCCTACTCTATTCTTATATTTACTTCTATGGCACCTTGTCCCTTGCCAGAATTGACAAGAACTTTTGTATGGAATGAAGTGCTTAGGGCTACTCCCGTTTAACTACCCGATACTCAAAAAATGCTTAATTTCAATTTCACCAAAAGTTTTTTCAATTTATATTGTATCTTCAAATGAATGAAGTAATTACTTTAAATACTGGTCAAGGTATTTAGTCAGATTAGCTATATTAAAATAAACTTGACAAAGCACTTCTCAATTCATTGTACCTCCAATATGAACAGAATTTATCATCGATTTTTTTACACATCACTTTTTAGCAGAGGCAGAATTCTGTCTACCTATATTGTCACAAACGCTCTAAAAACAAAACCGCGAAAATAATACAGACAGAATTTACCAGAACACCGCAGATCACGATAAAGGTCGAGTGGTGCGCCTCACTGTAATATGAATAGGGGTGAAAGTGCAATGACATCTACACTTGTTTAGAACTTATGCGCGTTACCTACGTATGTAGGTACTACGCACTCGCTGGTGCTAGTTAACTTTCAATTCAATTCAAATTACGGGACTTTTCTAGAATTTTTCCATTGGCGATAGCAGTTGAGTTTCAACAGTGATTTCTGAACGAATACAAAGGCGATCAAACAGTTCAGTGTTTAGTGAGTGTATTGTGATTAATATTGTTTGTTAACTGTGTGGTGAATAAAGTACTCTCAAGCGTGAACTGGCATATAATTTCGACAAGTAACAACTGGTATCAGAAGTGGGATGCTAGTCACACCGCGCGACGGAAGCGAAGGCGTACGCACTCGACAGGCATAATGGACTATTCGCGGAAGTCAGCACCTGATGAAGATAACAGCTCACCACACTGGTGCTATCGCTACCACTACTGCCAGGGCACCCACGTACAACTGTGGGATGGTCACGGTCGAGCGAGGGCGGATCAAGAAACTCGAAAGTGAAGCGAAGAAGTGGTGGCGCAGGATGAGAGTTGGCGTGGCGTGGAGAGACGTGGCGGCGGTGGCCCGATGTGGGGGCAGGGGCACGCCCATTTGTGCGTGCCGGTCCGCCCACGCGGAACGGAATGGGCTACAGGTACCGTAGAGGTTTCGAGCGCCCGACATACCACGACTGCGTCTACAATGTGTACGGCGGAGAGGATTGGCACTGATAGAGTGCCAACGAGAAGCTTTCGAGGACGTCAAGGGGAGTCTTTGAATGAGACTCTGCAAATGAAGGTCCTAAAGTGTAAATTGGCTCAACTATTAAGACACGTGCGCTACGATCCGGCTGAAGGGCACCTGACAATGAAAAACAACCAGAACCATGGGGAAGGACCCTATAGAGAGGGAACTCTCTCTAACGTATAATAAATACATGAAACCGATGTAGTTTCCGGCTTTAATCCTTTAGGACAGAACTAGACACAGGAGTCGATTCCTGACATGATTCTCTAAACCTAAAATAAAATTAGACAACTACGTATTCTTGTCATTCGTTGTACATAATGAAAAGGAGAGACTGATGTTTTGAGTTTAGATAATCAAGCCGGAATCGATACCATAACCTGTTTAATATGCGGGACAGAATCTTTGTATTCTGTGGTAATTAGGGATGAAACGATACCATCTAGGTATCAATACTTTTACTCGATACTATATCAGTATAAAGTATCGTTGCTTACTCGGTATCGAATGAAAAGTAGCGATACTTACTTGTATCGATAAATTTTGACGAGCGATATTACCAGACACAAATTTTAATTTAAGGAAAACAAAATAACGGTTCACACCACACGATGAACGAATGATTGACTGAATAAATTGGAATTATACGCAAGGCTGCCAAATGAGCAGTAGAAAAGATGTGTTCGCGAACCAAAAACTCAAACTAGACACCTTGCAATAGAGTAAATAATCTGCCTATCTAGTTTTTTGATACTTCTCAGTGTGACCGACCGAGTACCGATACAAGTACTTACTTCACGATACTACTTGTTACTTAGTTCTAAAGTATTGATGCTAAAAGTACTTGGTATCGAAAGAAAAGTATCGAGTAGTTACTTGTATTTACTCGTATCGTCATCCCTAGTGGTTGGTAATCACTCTGACAGGTGCTGTGTGGCTGTGGTGCGCTAAACGAATGATTTTATTTTCTATTTTCCTTAGAATTCCTCTCACAGATTTCAATGAAAACTCGGGGAGATTAAGCGGTATTGTATTAAATATCTAATACACCAAGCGTTAATCCAAAAATATGTCTCAAGAACAACCAAGAAAACGTAAACTACCAAATGATAACGCTTCAGAATTGTCAGGCAAGTGAACTTATTCATTTTAACCTTTAATACGCGTTCACGCCGGCCGTAAAGTTTTCAATATCGGTGCAGACAGAGAATCAAAGGTTTATCGGTCAGCGTTTAAGACAAATGCATAAACATAACTTCTACATACCACAGATTTTGCGATTGTTCCAACAAGATTTATAAGTTTACCAGTCCCTCTTGTAAATATCTATTAGTATCTATTGAAAGCCTGTTTTGGCTAACGTAACATTTTTCTGGAATAAAAATTATCCAGTCTCAATCCAGGTAATAAATTAAATGTGTGCCAAATTTCATCCAAATCCGTTTAGAGGTTTCTGTGTGCTTGAGTATCAAACAAAACAAACTTTCACATTTATAATATAGTAGGAAAGTAGGAATAATTAACATGGTTTTTTCTTTCAGAGCCTTTATCAAAAGCATTGCACATACAATGCCCCTATTTGGATACTATTAATAGACATGTGCTAGATTTTGATTTTGAGAAGCTTTGTTCAGTCAGTTTGACTAGAATAAATGTCTATGCTTGTCTAGTTTGTGGAAAATATTTTCAGGTGAGTTCTTGTTCATTTCATTATTTTGATTTATAGTCCAATACACAATTACTAGTGTTTATTTTTATTTATCATAATCTTAAAGATCTTTAAATCAAACCATTTAATATCTTAATAGTTTTGTTTTATTATATTTTGTGACTTACTTATTTAGTATATTTTATTCTTTTTGCAGGGTAGAGGTACTAATACTCATGCATATACACACTCAGTGGCTGAGGGTCACCATGTCTTTTTAAACCTGCATACTTTAAAGTTTTATTGTTTACCTGATAACTATGAAGTTATTGGTAAGTTTCTTTTTAAAACCTTTATTATTCTTGTTATTGTTTTATGTAAAATATTACCTAATATCTTAAATTGTAAATTATCTTTTTTAGATTCCTCTCTGAATGATATCAAATATGTATTAAATCCCATCTTCAGTACGGAACAAATTAAACAGCTGGACACAGACACAAAGATGTCACGCGCTATTGATGGAACTATGTATATGCCTGGTATTGTTGGACTCAACAACATCAAAGCTAATGACTACTGTAATGTTATTTTGCAGGTAAATTACATTTTAAGTTGACAATTTATATTTGGGTAAAAAATTATTAGATGGATTGGGACAAAAATGTTTGATGTGAGAAACATTGATTTAATGGATTTAACAACTCACTAGATGCAATCACAAGCATTAAATGAGAATATTTTATGCAGTTTCTATTATTGGAATCTCCTAGGAGGATTGATTTTGGGCAATTCAGACATTAGGGATTGGAAAGCAGCTGGGTTCAAGGTTAATTTTATAGTTTTATGTTAGGATGTTGCTGGTTTCAAATCAATTTTTATTTAATTATAACAACAAAAATTTTATCAACTACATCATGTAATAATAATCATTTACCTATTTTTAGTGCTTGTCACAAGTAAGACCACTTCGAAATTATTTCCTGCGTGAGGAAAATTATGCAAATGTAAAGAGGCCACCTGGAGATTCTTCATTCCTTCTTGTTCAAAGGTTTGGTGAATTGTTACGAAAGCTATGGAATCCACGAGCATTCAAGGCCCATGTATCACCTCATGAAATGCTGCAGGCAGTAGTTCTGTGGTCCAAAAAGCGTTACCAATTCATAAAACAAAGTAAGGCATATATCATCATGGGTCTTCATTTTTGTTATTGTTTATTTTGATTTCATAGGTTTTTCTTTCTGCAGGTGATCCTATTGACTTTTTATCTTGGTTCCTGAATTCATTGCACATGGCGCTTAATGGCACAAAAAAAGATAATAGCTCAATAATATACAAATCTTTTTTGGGTCACATGAGGATATATACTAGGTAGATATATTTGGAACTTTAAAATTGCAATTATTTTTGTAAATATATAAAGTTACTACATATGTACTTTGTTTCAGAAAATTGCCTCCACCAGATGCTGATGATGCTGCAAAAGTAGATTTAGACAGTGAAGAGTATAGTGAAATGATCACAGAATCACCATTTCTATATTTGACTTGTGACTTACCACCAACCCCACTTTTTACTGATGAATTTAGGGAAAATATTATTCCTCAGGTATATAATATATATTCAGTTTTTACTTTGTCATAGTTGCATTTAGCAGAATTCATAAAACATTAAATAATCTTCCTATTATTTTAGGTCAACCTCTACCAATTATTGTCTAAGTTTAATGGACAGAGCTCAAAAGAATACAAAACCTATAAAGAGAATTTTTTAAAGAGATTTGAAATCACTCAACTGCCACCTTATTTGATTTTATATATTAAACGGTTCACAAAAAATACATTCTTTGTTGAGAAGAACCCTACAGTGGTTAATTTTCCAGTCAAGTAAGTATAACTATAATTCAATCTGAAAATTATTTGTAAGCACTTTTAATCCTAATGATTGAGTTTTATTATTTTAGAAATGTTGATTTTGGGGATATCTTAACACCAGAAATAAAGGCAAAGCATAAAGGCAGGACAACTTATGAGTTGGTTGGCAATATTGTGCATGATGGCACACCAGAGAAAGGTACATACAGAGCACATGTACTACACAAACCAACACAGCAATGGTAAGGAATACTTTTGAAAATTTCCATCTGTTCACATATTGACTGATATTTTAGTATCATCTCAATATTACAAAATATTTAATTTGTATTTTCAGGTATGAAATGCAAGACCTTCATGTGACCAGTATATTACCACAAATGATTACCCTCACAGAAGCTTATATCCAAATCTATGAATTAAATCAGGACTGATTTTACATTATATTTAAGAATAAAAAATAAGAAATATTGCCTTATTGCCTTTTATTTTAATGAATATACAAATAGCTGATATACCAGGATTTCATTTCACAAACTGTGGTCTTTGGAATGGACCTTTATGCTTATAACAATAATTAAATTACAAAAATGTCATATTTTATAAATATGCGACAACACAATCTATTATCACTATATTTTTGACACAGTTTGAAAAATGTATCAAGTTTATTAATTTGTCTTTATAAAATAAATTGCTGTCAGTTCAGTTCTAGAAGGACATAATAGTTTCCATACACTCACATATATACTGTAGCACCACAGGGTATTAAAATTTCATAAAAGTAGTTCTATTCAATGAGATCCTAAGAAATACATATCAGTGTATGTACCTATTATAAAATTTCAACCTTGTTGGACTCTACTGCAATGGTTGAGAACTGAACTATCTATAATTGGTGCACCCTATCCCAGTTAGTGACTTTCTCCTTTCTTTCCTGCCACTCTCTTGAATTCTCCCATGTTGGTAGTAGAGATTGGAGAACCGTAGAAAGCCAGATGGTCAATCTGTGTAACTTCTCCACCAGACTGGTTGTCCTTTATGAACAGTTGAATGTTCTGCACATTTTGAAATTTGACAAATCTCAAGGGAACTGGGTTGCCTTCCAAGTCACTTGAAGTAAATCTGTAAAAATTTATAGTTCCATAAATATTTTTTTGCTGCTCTGCCACTGCACTTAAAAACAAATACTTCTTTCCTACAAGGTGGATTAAAAATTTTCTTATACATCCTAGTGGTTTGAAACTAATTGAATTCATTGTTAGGAGATAGTCAAAGTCGAGAATATTTAAAGATAATGTTCCACTTACTCCAAATCTTGCACAGATGTGTTTCCAGATGCTTGGTCAAAGTCCAGTGTTCTTGGCTGATTGATGAAGAGTTTAACAGTCTTGGGTCCCTTATCAGCCGGGCCCTTGATTTTTAGTGAATGCAGTTTCACCAACTGTGGAAATAAGTATATAGAAATTTTGAAATACCATCTCAGTATACTGTTTTTACCTAATAAAAAGGTGTATTTGAATTATCAACAAAAACACAACCGTGAACCTAACACAGCCTAAAGGATTTCAATTAAACAATTGAAGTCAAAACCAAAAACAAACATTATTGCTGTGGATGGTGGAAAAATTATACTTATTATTTTTAGGATAAATAAGAAAGTACTTCAAATATTATCTATTAAAATGTACCTACTTGATTAAAGGCAATGTTGATGATGAGTTGTTCATCACAGTCACTGGCAAGATATCCTCCACCACTGGTGAGAGCATGACCCAGTGGATGATCATCTGCTTCATTCAAACATTCACATTCACTTTTTGTGACGAATGTTATTAAATCCATCTGTAAAGACAAAAGTACTCGTATATCAAAATAGAAACCCAAAGTGATGAAACTGATAAGAATATTTTTTTTAAATCAGTTTATCAAACTTACATGACCAGCAACAGCACTATCTTCTTCACCTGCATCATCAGTGCCATAATATTGCCTAACTTTATTTTCTAAAGAAGCTGGGTCAGCACCTTGCAGCCGATCAATTTTTGTCTGCAATTAAAATACAATCAGTTTAGTAGATTAGTTTTCAGGGTCTGCACCACCTTTTAAAGTAAATGTATGCATAATATCTATTTATAGCTACATTCTAATTCTGTTAGCTGTTTGAAATCTTAGTGATTTTTCAACTTCTAATGTTTTATTTATATTTCATACAAGAACTTTGGTGCAAGACATAAATAATTTTGACATAAGTATTTAACTTTAAATGAGTTAATACCACTTCTAATACTATAATAATTATAAATAAATATAATAAAAGTCAATGGATTTCTTAGTTCTAATAATAAACTAATATTTTCTTATTCTGTTAAGTAGTTAAATTTCAATGTTCTTTTTTTATTCACTGTTAAACTTACTCTATTTCTGTAGAAAATGAACGTAGGCATAGCGCTTACGCCTTGGGCACTTGCGGTCTCCGCACATCTATCCACATCCACTTTCAAAAATACTGCTCTGGGGAACTTCGCTGGTAGCTGCTCGAAAATCGGTGCAATACGTTGGCATGGTCCACACCTGTCGAAGGAGCATAAATATTACTGAAATAGTCAACAAACTAACGATGACTCGGTAGTTTTGACCGTAAAACAGGTTAGAGTTATACTAACCAAGAAGCAGTAAAGTCCACGACAACTAGCTTTGTCCCAGCGTTAGCCATTTCAGATTGGAAATGTGCCTCATTTTCAATTACTGTTGCTAAGCCCATATTTTCACACAATTACACTATAGACGAAGAAACATATAAATTGCACTAAACTGGTGACTAAACTGACAACGGAAGATGATACTTCAAAATGGACTCAACTATTTTATCTTAATTCTTCTTTTATAGGAATGCAAAGGATACTAAATCTATACAGCCTAGTGTTAAGTTATATTTATTCATTTTTATGCGGATGCGTTTAATTAACCAATTTCAATTGTTCATCACAAAAAATCTTGTGAACTTACAGTTTGTCTATAAAGTCGTGACATTAAATGATGGCGCCACTAGTATGCATGTAGCAACCCTATACAGTCTGACCAAAATGATTTTGATACTAGCAGTTCATTCAAGTAAAATAGGTAATAGGCTAGTTGACTCATGTCGAATTGTATTAAATAAATGTTTATTTCTTAAAGTATTTGGTCTAAGGAACCTAAATATATCGATTTCACTTCATAAAAGCAGAAGATTGCTGTAGAAATTTAATTTTAAAAAATATTTTTTAGTCTATATTTTTTAAACACTAAAAACGCTGTTCGCCACATCCGCCATGATTTTGACGTCTCTTGTGGTAAACAACTAAATGTCATTCGCGTGTTACTGTGGGTGGATTCTTTCGTCTGACTAAATTTATGTTAAAACACTTTTAACTTTAGGAAAGAAAAAAACAGTAAACTTAGTTTTTTTGTCAAAACTAATTATGGATGCCGGCTTTGTGAAAGCAGAAAGCACAAATCTGCCAAGAATAGACGCATTGATGATTGGTGAATTTTTTGCACTAAACCCCGATTTCTGCTGTGCGGAGCAGAGAAATGACAAGGTATCTATGTAAGTACAGTGCATTTAGTATTACAATGTAGTAATAAACATAAAACTGTTACAACATATGAATAAGTGTAATAAAGTTGCGTAGGTTAATTTCTTTCGGCACTTTAATTCACAACTTTCCTGGAGTCTTCAGGGATGTGTTTTTATATTCTCGTACAATACAGTAATGATAATTACTTTATTTTTCGTGGTATTTATTAGAAACCATGTTTTTTTTATTATAAACGGAGTTATAAGTTATTTTCTACGTGTTTACGAGTTTTTGTTTACCACAGTTGACGTCATAGCATAGATAATCTATAGACTAAAATGGCCGACAGCGTTTTTGTATGTCCATGAAAAGTCTATTTTTAAATTAAAATTTTGTAGCTTTCTAGGTTTAAAAAAAATACAATACATTTTTTTTTCGGTCTAATAGAACATTTATTAATCATTTAAAACCTTTTTCCAAAAAGGGTCAACTAGCCTATTATTAAGACACACTATACAGTCGTATTTTGTTTCTGTTTTATATATAGTAGGTACCTATGCTTATAAAAAGTTTAGCCAAGCATATTTAATTGAATCAGAATAAAATTATTATAGATAAAATAGTACTTTATAGTGTAAAAGTGTGTAATGTTGGTGATTACCGCTGAGGTGCCATTGAGACCAGAGCCGTTAGTTAATCATCAATACACACAAGTATCATCATACGACGTTTTTTTAACACACTTGTTAAGAAAATAATACTAAGAATCATTTTATAGTATATAAAAAGTTTATTTAGAGAAACAATTTGTAAATGTGCAGTTAGTAAAATTAGTGATAGGTATCTTTACTAAAAGCATCTGGCCATGGTTCTTTATGTGACCATTTCTTTCTTTGGTCGGCCTTGCCTGTTTTCCCAGGAGTTTCAAACTTAAAACCTTCGTTGACTATCCGACTCTCTGATTTTCCTGAAAAAAAGTAGAAAATATGTAACGGAATAGTTACAATAACTTATTGACATGAAGCAATTAATTCAAAATTGGTAGAAAACCTGACCGAGCTGAACCATAATAACGTATCAAAAGAAATGGTCGTACTACAATATAACCTATTTACAATGTCAATCTCACCTAAAAATGTGCAATGTAAACAATGCCTTTTTTGGTCTCAAAATCGTAAATTGAGTAAATTTGTAACTTCAGGCAGATTATTAACAAATAGTTACACGATTACATCCCCGTCATAGATGCTGTTCGCCCATAAACATCGTCCAAATCCCACAAAATTCGTCCAGCTTGGTAGTCTTCGAAACATCGCTGGAAAACTTTAAAAATCACTTCCCGCGTGCCACTCCGATTTACTTTACTCATTTTTATACCTTTCTGCGTAGTTTCGTCTTAATTTATTACAGTTTAATCCAAACAATAAATACAAAAGGAAAACTGTTCCACAACTGAAACTCGATGACAGCTGATGTACATAAGTTTGGTGTTGCCAGACACATGAATTATGTTAGTTTCTCAAACATTCATGTCACGACTATATAGACAAACTGTAGGTCTAGTGCACACCACGATTTTTTATCGCGTGATTATTGAATCGCGGAAATGTAACCTAGCGCGCATTAGCGATAAAAAAATCGTCGCAATTTTAAAATCGTGAATTATCACATTTTCCAGCGACAGCTCGGGACGGCTTTGTCATAAAAATAAATTACTGCATATGAAGTAATACGGCCTAGTGCGCACCGCGACAATAACATTGCAACCCGAGTCTCAACGCGATGTCAGTCGGCATTCTGCTGTGATTCTGCTCTCCAAGCGAAAACGTAGTCGGTGCATGTTTCTCCCAATAATCTATCAAATGTATCAAAATTTGTCGAAGGTCACTAACAAATAGTTTCCCATTTCCTCACTTTGGCTATTAAATGAAGTATCTAGTATAGCCGCTTGGTCAGGTGGTAGAAGTCGAAGTTGGTGGAAGGAAACTTGGCAATACCCTTCGTCCTGTCTTGTTATCAATCGTCATCTGTCTCCTGTCAGTCTAGTCATAATATCTGCCTGTCATCCTTTAGCTAGTCAGCAATCAGTCCAAGGAGGCTGGACACCGCGACATTCCAACACACAGTATCAGAAGGCTGATGCTCAAGGTTGGGAGACGTCCAGTCTACACAGATTCGTTGCCGGTGGCATGTTAAGTCCTTGTCTCGTCTCAACTTCTGCGATGCGTACCTGGTGGTCCTTTCCAGGGTACATTTCCGCGAGCCGACCCCGAGGTCATTGTCCCTTCGGAAGTTGGTCATCCAGGATTATTATTATGTCACCTACGGTGAGCGGTCTATCAGATACTTGTAGCCACTTATCTCGCCTTGTCAGAGAGGGCAGGTATTGGCGGACCCACGGTTTCCTCGTCGGGTCCACCAACTCCCGCAGACTCTGGGAACGACGTAGTAATTTCTCGTCAGAGCGATGAAAAGTATCGAAGAGTCTGTGAATTGCTGAAGTTGCTGTAAAGAGAAAATCGTTAGGTGTCAGTAGTAAATCATAGCCGGAGTCAATTGGCACTTAAGTTAATGGGCGGCTGTTCACAAGACGGCGTCTGCCAGAAGCATTCGGAGGGTTTGCTTGCTTGGGAATCGGATTCGCTCCTTTAGCGTCACGCGTAGCGCCATCTCTATGCTGCGCACCAGTCTTTCCCAGCAGCCTCCTATTTGGGAAGAGTTTGGAGGCATAAATCTCCATTCAATGTTGCGGGTGCTGCCGAAACGTAGTAGCTCCCTCTAGTCAATTGCTAGTACGCCTGTTTTAGCTCGGGGTCGCCCCACCGAAAGCCGTCGCGTTGTCACTGTGTATTGTATAACGAGCAATAAAACAACATAAGTTCAGAAACACAGAGTTGGAAGTCATGTTGTTGACTAAATCTACATGCACCGCGCGTACGGTAAGGCAGGTGTATAAAGACCCTACCTGTTTTCTTGTCTGGGGCCTATTTTTACCCGAAATATTTCAATCCTGTGTAGATGAAGGGCCGATGTCCTTCTTGGAGCCAAAAGTCAGGTAGTTGTCCCATGAGCGGCGGTGCAGCTCTCACGCATTTTATCTTGCAAAGGAGGCAGTTATTCCAAGTCTTCTTAACAGCATTGCGTCCGTTAAGGATCCAATAACGCTTTCTTAGTTCGTTGAGAACTCTTTCTCTACCGAAGTGTCCGGATTCGACATGGTAGCGAAGCATCTAGATTGGGTGCTTTGTATTGTAGTCAAGATTTGTCGCTTCAACTCTTCGCCCAACAACCCGGAGGACGTCGCATATGAAGGGGTTGAGTTGAGCTGACGAAGTGAGCTTGATTTGTCTACATGTCTATGTATTTTTATGCTGTGTTGATGTCGGTAGAAAACCGTTGTTTCTTTCTTTAATATATCTTTTTTTGAGTTCACCACTTCTAGCGCAGTCAGTTCGTTTCGAAGCCAATCAGGATTCTTGTTTTTAAAGTTGTGAAGCTCATGGAAGAACCAAGCTGTGTTCGGTACCAGTCCCCAATACTGAGAAATGCATTTATATCAGGTAACTCTAGTGCCGGTGTAACGTACCTCAGGGACGATCCTTCCTTTTGGTATTCGTAGGTTCCATTTCACACATTTTGTTTCTAACATTATAGTTATTCATCAGGCATAAACATATTTCATTATTAATTCCTAGAAACGCACAATTTCAAAAATATCACGCACTATTTATCATTTCGTGAATAGGTATAAGAATTCCATGTACTAAAAATCACTAGTCCAGAGTGCTGGACCCTTACCGGCATTTTTCTATATCCTTATATTTATTTGTAATAAAAAAATCATTTCTTTTTGCCATATTTTATTCCGTTTTATTTATTTTTAGGTATAATTTTGTTTATTTATTTTCCTGACATTTGTGACACCTTAATGTTTTTATCCGTTGCCATGACTAACCATGATACGGATACTCTCTCCAACTAGGTCTATGCCTATTTAACCTCAACAGACTACTTACTTTTATTCTTTTTTGATTGATTCGAATCGTGTCTAAATTAAAATGGTTCCGGACCTATAAAAGGCCGAGCCACCCTGATCTTACAACCATTTCTTCGGCAAAAGTTGCCTAGCTAACCTTTTTTAGCTCGCTACCGTGCTCTAAATTACTAATCTAGGCTGCGGGTTCGATCTCCGTGTGTAGCC